AAGAGAAGCCCTGGAATATTATTCTTTTCTTGACTGTTTGCTGTTTTAAACAAATAAATATGCATAACCTTTTATTTGGATGGTCATATTAATCAGGAAAATTATGCAGAACGGATAAAAAGCATGCGTGGCAATTTTTGAGTTTTCCGAGATTTGACAGAGCGCTTTCGCGATGAATAGGAAGCGAAAAGTGTGATTACTCGGCGCCACGACGTCCTTCACAAAAGTCATATTTTTCAGCCGGTTCTGTTACAAACAGAACATTGACAGTAACCAGTAATGCTAACCGGTTCGCTGATCTCATAAAATTTCGTGAGACGGTTCTATAGAACCGACTGAATCCCATCACTGGTTGTAATGCTTCTTCATTAGCATACTTTCGTTATTCACGGCAAAACTGTAACAAAAAGATGAGAGCGTAATTCACTGTGGTATGGTACCGGTGCCTTAACTCACCAGTAACATACCGTACCTGTAAGCCTGATACCGGTATTCGATTGTGGAATGGTTTTCTTTTGGCATATACAAACTCAATTCATTTTCTGTTATCAAAATAAACTAATACGTTAGTATACAAAACTTGAATTTGTGCAATGAACCTTTCCCCGACCTTTGACCCCCGAAAAATTCCTCTTATACTTTACCATTGCAAAATTTTCGGGGCTATTTTAAGAGTGCCTTTGCATTTGTGGCCAATTATAAACTTACGGAATACATTGCTTACATTCTATTCTAATAATATTAGGCCGCGAGCCGAGGCCATGAAAAACGCCTAGAAAGTGAGTTTCGTAGCGCACATCAGGTAACTACCTGAAAATGATTTTAAAATGTTCCTCAAAAATGTAGTAACAAATATTGCCTTGTTCCCACTTCCAAAAGTTGCACGTTTTACGGAAAAGACGCTTTTACTACAAGAAATCTGTGCTACGATCTGTCCTATATTCTCTACATTTTCGACAATGAACAATGACTTCTGCATGACGTAACAATTAAATCGAATCAGCTGTTAGCGAGCGGATGAATATTAGTTATTACCGCTCGACCTTGCGTTGAGCTGGGCAGCCTTTCCATCGCCCTGTTTAGTTATTATTAGTTAAGTTATGCTAAGACGTTGTTGAAAAATGTATAAGTAAGTTATTAAACACTTGTAGATCCTTACAACGGATATGGGCCGTGAGACGAAGCCTTGAAAACGCCCAGAAAATGAGTTTCGTAGCGCACATCTGGTAACTAAATAAATTCTTCAGTTTAGTGTGAAAATGAACATACTGAACGCATTACAGCTTGTTCCACAATCCTGATGCAAAATTGAATATATAAGAGGTTCCGGGAAATTCAATAACCATAAGTTCACAACACATACATAAGAACTATGCAATTCGAGAGCCCTACAGCACACTAACACAAATGTATTCCTGTAATGTTTTGCCTGACCAAAATCGGACTTCCTCAGTCAATCATAATTTATTAGGTAGATTATGAAAAATATGGCATACGTGTAACCAACAACAAAAAATACTTTAATTGTGTGACAGGAGTGGCGAGTGACCTCGAAAGCAGCGACACCAACAACGCTGATTCACATTAGCGAATAAATTTTATGTAATAACCACAAGCAGTTTGCAACAAGAAGAGCATAAAAAGCTACATCCATTTTATATAAGCTATCAAACGTATTTATTTTTAAGCAATGAAGTCACAAATTAACATCGTGAGCACGAAAACACAAATAAATCAGTTATTTCTCACTTAGAAATTTACCAGAAAAGTCAAGAAAATTGTACAATATGTACATAACATAGTGAACAGAAATATTACAATTAGTCTTTTTTTAGTTTATGTGGTTATGTATTTGAACAAAGGCAATATTATTTCTAGAAACAGGACTACGACACTAACAAATGTTCGAAAAAAAAACAAATAAATGATACTTATTAAAAATCAACTGCAATATCTAATTCACTTTCTTCTGAATTGTTTTCGAAATCTACCATCTTGAAAATCGACTTTTCCTCTATAAGTGTACTGTGATTTTTGCAGTCTTGCATAAATTATTTTGACTTTTTTTCTTACACTTGCAGTTTGCCAACTCAAGAACTGATTTGAGGGCCACATGCTTCAGTGAATCATTGTTGGGTATAATCCTTATGTTTGCCAGTGTTAAATAGACGTGCCCTGGTATCATTTACATTCTTCATACAGTGAACTAACAAATTCCTCAGCTTTATTTATTAATGCCTCGTTAACCTCAAAAGATCTTCATAGTTGAGAAAATATGAATTGAAACCACAATGAAGTCTCCAACATGAGTTTGATGGGCAGTTCCAATTGCAGAAAAGTGCTAAAGTATTTCAATATGAATAGCCCATCTAAGCTGTTTGCAACTATTATGATTCTCATATACCTTTACGCTTCAAGACTTCTTGTTTAATCCATTTTATAGCAGCAGGGATTAGAGCCTGCATTAGGTCGGATTGGTGGAACATTGCCGTCTTCTTTTGTAGTACAGTATCTAAAATGAGGAAGAAAATCATATTTGGAACAGTATGAGTGTAAAAATACCACTAAATACTAACTAATACCTTGAATACATAATGCATTTTATCTGATGTACTCAATGAGCGTATGTACTACAGTCCAGCAGTATTTGCATACCATTACTAGACTATATCGACACTAAATTTTGATATATCACAGTCTGAAATGCCCTATGACAGTATGAGTATGGACTATAGGCCTAGACTATATTTTAAAACATCAACTGTCTGTCTACAACTTGATTTCTCACCTCTCAATCGTTTCCAATGCTACTTTTATTTCCACTCCGGCATAACTTACCGTATCATTGCTTCCCAGGTTCTTGTCGACTCTATGAATTTAGATTTAGACCAACCGACATTAGTAAAATTGATTATTTTCTTCTCTTTCACACAACCGTGCATTACAGAAACAGCCATTAATTTCTATTTCCAAATATGCTGTGGCCTATATAGTAGTATAAGTCTGCTGAATAGTCAAGAAGAGTCATTAAATTAATCATAAACATTTCATGCAAGCCAGAAAATATCGTTGTTTGTGACATATTATTCTAGGTCTAGCCTTCCTTGGAGTTACCGCACCGTACCTATTCAATAACGTCTTATGAGCTAGTGCTCAACTAAAATTGCTATTTATGGTAAGGATATACAAGTGTTTAATATCTTACTTATACTTTTCAACACCTCCTTAGAATAACTGAACTAATAATAACTGAAAAAAACTATGGAAAGGCTACTTAACGCAAAAGCAAGCAGTAGTAGTACATCTGATATTCATCCGACCACTGGGGAATCACCTACAGCTGACTAATTCGATTGTTACGTCATGCAGATGTCTGCGTTCATTGGCCCATGATACCGAAAAGAGAAAGTAGGACAGATGGTAACACATATTTATTGTAGTAAAAGTGTATTTTCTGTAAAACGTGCAACTTTTGTAAGTGGGAACAAGGCAATATTTGTTACTAAATTTCTAAGGAACATTTTAAAATCATTTTCAGGTAGTTACCTTATGTGCACTACGAAACTGAAAGATAAATGGCCTCGGCTCGCGGCCTATATGTATAAATACGCAAATAGGGATATATTTACCGCAAAATACGCGGTTATAATAATAAATTTTAAAAGATTTAAGGCTTTAATTCTACGCGGCCCCGCCATAAGAAAAGCATTGTTTGAGGCTCCAGAATACGATTTTACAGAAGGCCACTCAAGCGTGCGACGTCTGCGACGGTAACACTGGTGTTTTCTATCCATTATGTAGTCATCAATGGTCTGATATGAGTGAGAAAAGTGTCTGAGCGGAAGCAGGGAGCATTGTTACGTCAAATTTTGCATCTTGCTGATTGGCCAATGTCACGAAGTAAACAAAGAAGTCAATGCACGGGAAAGGTCCTAGGAAGAATTTTTCGGGGGGCAAAGGTCCATTCGGCGTTATAACTTATTTCCAGTGAGGAATATCAGAATTGGGTAAAAAGGTGAATAAAATTCACGGGGAAAAATAACCATCACAATTAGCTGAATCTAAAAGGCACACCCTCAATGTTCTACCGTCAGAATTTGAATCGATAAGATCAATATATATGGCGGAGTAATATTAATGTGAAAATTGTCATTCAGATATTTGGCAAATTGACCGCTACGGCTACGCTATAGTATAGTACCGGTAGTGATCTTACATTCTTATGCATGTATGCTGAAACTTACCGGTACCAGTAAAGGACAAGGTACGGTATTTCGGTTACAACTTCTCTTTTTGGACTTTGTTTTTATCATTTTATTGGCATGCAAGGGATTGTTTTTGACCATACAGCAGTACAGTCATAGTTAAATTTTGGTTTATGAGTAACTACTGGAACTATGGTACAAAGACATTCTTAGCTAGTTTTTTAGCAACCAAATAACATATTCCATTTTCATCATTAATTTTATCCTGCTGATTGGAATGATTTATACCAAAGTATAGGAAAATATTATTGAAATTTGATATATTTTTTAGCCACATTACACCACCTTTTCAGAACTATAAGGAATACGTAATGCGATTACTAAACTCAATTTATTTAAAGAATAGGAAGTAAAACCCCAAATTGTCAAAAACAGCAACTAGTACCATATGGTGGAAACCAGCAATAGCTTGGTCAATCCAACCAGAATAACTGCATAAAGCTGTAAAGGAAAATATTAGGATTGTCTTGAAATTGCACTTAAATTTAGGGCATGACTGCCCTTCGTTGCATTTTAATTTCTTAATATCAGTTTGTCTTTATAACTAAATTTGAAATATTGGCTGATTGCATTTCAATTACTTAATTTGATTACATGCGTGCATGATCTGACTTCTGAAGCATATTTTCATTTTGCATTTCGCACTGCTGTCATGTAAAAGATGTACTAAATTGTACGTTGTTGTTGTTCTATGAAAAAGCGGTGAATTAGTTTTATATTCGCCAATAATACTTTCACATATTTGTTTGACTTTCAATCCCTTAAATAGAATCGAATGGATCTCAAAATAGTTGTTCTGGTTTAATTTTTGTCTGTGATAAAGATTAGTCTGTTAACATTGTACAGGCATATATATTTGTATTGGGAAATTTCATCTGGAGTCGTTTGTTTTCAGAAAGGACTCTATTAGGCTGCTGGATCGAATCATCAAGGCATGATCATTGTCCAATATGAGGTGCTAAGGCTGCTATTCCTGGCAATTTTGTTGTCTTGCAAGTTGTATAAAATTATTCAGACCCACATCCTTGGCACGAAATTAATTTGAATATTGTCATTTTTACCATACATTTCAACCAAATATTTGAAGTTGCTGAAACAATTTTCTAATGTGGCGGTTTATCTAGTTTGCAGACTTTACTTTAATGAATAGTTAGTTGTTTCATGATTGCCTGGGTCATAGGTTCTCAATTCTATATCAGAAAATGGCAGATGATGTAGTTTCACTTACATCACCAGATGATAGTCATGATAACAAATTGACTAATTCTGTGAACGATAGTGCTACATACTCCAGTACTGATGTTCAAAATACTACTGAAGAAACCTTCACAGTCGAGGAAGCAGTTGAAGCTATTGGCTTCGGAAAATTTCAATGGAAACTTTCCATCATGACTGGGTTTGCCTGGATGGCTGATGCTATGGAGCTTATGATATTGAGTATTATATCACCCCAGTTACGTTGTGTGTGGATGTTATACTCTTGGCAGGAAGCCCTCATCACTACAGTGGTATTTATTGGAATGATGTTATCGTCCTCAATTTGGGGAAATATATGTGACCAGTTTGGTCGTAGAACTGGTCTTATTTTATGTGTGGTTTTCACATTTTACATGGGCTTATTAAGTGCATTCTCTCCTAACTATGTCTGGATTTTGTTGCTTCGTGGTTTAGTTGGCTTTGGTGTCGGGGGTGTTCCGCAGTCAGTGACCCTCTATTCAGAATTTCTACCACAAAAATCTAGAGCAACTGCGATTGTTCTTGTGGAAGTCTTTTGGGCAATTGGTACATGCTTCGAAGTTCTTCTCGCTCTGCTCGTGATGCCAACACTAGGATGGAGATGGCTCTTGGCTTTAAGTTCCTTACCACTTCTTTTGTTTTCTCTTGCATGTAAATGGCTTCCTGAGAGTGCGAGGTATAACGTTTTGTCAGGGCATCCAGATAGAGCCATTATTACACTAAAGGAGATTGCTGCACAAAATGGGACCACATTGCCTGCTGGTAAGCTTATGTGTGGTCAGCAAGAAAAGCGTGGTCGGTTGGAAGATCTTTTCAAAAATGCAGAAATGACTAAGACAACTGTATTATTGTGGCTCATTTGGTTGAATTGTGCATTTGCTTACTATGGAGTTGTGCTCATGACGACAGAGTTATTGCAACAAGAAGGCACAGAAAATACTTGCTCGAGCATTGCTCAGAAGAAGAATGAATGCAATTTGAGTTGCCACAAATTGACATCAGCTGACTATGTGGATCTGTTATGGACAACTTTAGCTGAATTCCCAGGATTGTTTTTTACATTGGTGATAATTAATTTCATAGGTCGCAAAAAAACAATGGCACTTACTATGGTTGGCTTTGCTGTGTTTTGTCTTCTATTGATGATATGTTCTTCCCGTAGTTTAATGATTTTTTTCTTATTTGTTGCACGAGCATTCATATCTGGCGGGTTTCAAGCTGCTTATGTCTACACTCCAGAAGTTTATCCAACAAATGTACGTGCAATAGGATTGGGAAGTTGCAGTGGTATGGCTCGTGTTGGAGCAATTATAACTCCATTTGTTGCTCAAGTACTGTTACACAAATCACTCTCGTTAGCTGTAGGAACATATGCTGGTGTCAGTTTGCTTGCCATGGTTTGTTCACTGTTACTTCCGATCGAAACTAAAGGCCGTACCATGCAGGATTCTGTTGCGGTGGATAGTTCTTCTGGTGTGAGTCGTACAACTTCTACGCAATAGATCATTTTATAATTATTTACCTGATACACAACAAGAATATGAGTTTTGAATGGATATAATTGTGCCTGAAATAGGAAGTGAAATTGAGGTCTCAGCCATCTTATTCTGATGAAAAGAAGTATTCCAAATATTTAGTATATTAAGCATTTTGATTTTGTCCTATGGTATACATTACATAAGTTAAATGTTGTGCACATATATGTATTCCATTTGTTTTAAGTTGTGCAATATTATTGTGGATAAGCTATGTAATCAAATAATCCAATCTCTGGACCAAAATCAATTAACTTTGCACTTGCCTTCCTTGCGATACAATGTATAATCTAATATATATATCTATATATGTGGGATAGCATGGAAATATATACACAATATTACGTACAATATATAATATTCCTCACTTGTGTCTGAATATAACTCATTTTGATTTATGCATGCTTCTTTATACAATTATTTGAATCCAAATGTTTTTGCACTCTGTGAAATCCTAGCACTTTATCTAGTATCAATATTTTCCCCCTTTTGCTGAGAAAGATTATGATATTTTTTGTTTGAAGTAATATTGTTTTATTTATAATATGCCCATTATAATGTGTACATGACACCAAACAGTTTTCACTTGTTCATTTCTGCTAATTAGTTAATTCAATTTCATAGTCAAATCTTGTCAGTTCGTTTATTCATATTCAAATATATCCTTGTTACTTCTGTGTTTACATTACTGAAGTACAAGTTGAAGTCCCTCAATACCTCCCTTCAATACTTAGTTTGTGATCATGTAAATATAATCAAATCCTCAGTGGTTGTTAGCCCTATAAGGCAAAGGATATAGTACGGTCACCACTCACCACTTCTTCATCAAGGCTATTAATGTACAACATGGTTATCTTCATTTTCAATTTGTTTTCACTGGGTTTGTTTTGATGGACAACCCAAATGTTATTTGAATTATATTGTTTGATTCTTTAGATTCTCGTTTTACATTAGTCGGTCAGTAATCATATCTTGTTACTTTGTAGGGTAATCCTCAATGTTCTCTCTGCCTTGGGGTGTTTATTAATCATTACGAAATCAGTCAATATTATATACATTCGCAAACATCGTAGTTTATATTTGTGATGATCATTAAGACAAATTCAATGTTTATTTTCAAAAATGCAAATCAATTTGTGCATAGTTTTGCATATGAGATTGTTCACACCAAAATTTGAGTGATGTGAATGTAATCTACCTACAAACTTGTCGACTCAGTTGTTTCGTATAAATTTTATTATTGTATGTAGCGCAATATATTGGTTTAAACTTGTGGTAATTGATTGGAGCCTGTTTTGAAGTATCTTGATTTCTAGTAAATTTGATTGTCTCATTATTTATTCTTGACGCATCGTCCTAAGCGTTATCAATACGCTTGCCATTGCACCTCTGATTACCCTACGCAGGTTCAAATCCTCTTTGGGATAATTATGTGCGGAAGGATTGCTCGAATCCTCACCGCCGTGGGATGGTTCATTCAAGCGCTGGTCGGTTATAGCTTCCTCCACCACAAACTCCATGATGCATCTGAAATAAATTACTGTCCAACTAATTCTATACCCGACGACATGGCTGTTATTATAAGGATCACTAAGTAACCTACAGTAAAAAAAATTTAGTGAGGCGCGACATATGAACAAGGCTATACCTTCGCATAAAGTTCGCTGCTTGATCGAGAAAACCAATCTTGAAGAAATCCGCTAATTCATGCCAGGCCAATCATTACGCGTTTATCTAAGATCAATATGAATTTCAAGGACTCTGTAGGTGCATTTGTTTTGTTAGTGGGCAATTTAGCATACAACGACAAAAGACATTTTGTTCAAGCATGCCCGAATCACTCGAAGCCTACTTGCACATGCTAGTTGAACATCAAGAAAGGGCATTGGCATTTGAAATTACTGCAAAAAAAAACAGAAATTAGAATTTTCGTTGACATATATTAATTTAATTGTATGCGCCTGTCACTTTCTTATATTTTTTTGATTGATTTTTGAGTTCTATCGATGTGGGACCGTATCCGTTGAGTTTACCATACCAAAAATATGGCAAAAACAGTATTTATACCAGCTATAGTTAAACTGCTTGATTCAGCTATAGGGATAAGTGTGTCCCCATCTATGTGTTTTCACCCCAGTACTATTTAACGTAGGCTACTTTAGCGGAGCAAACCACACTAACTCCTCCGAAGTCGATAAGCACATAAAAAATTATGATGCCAAATATTCGTATATTTCAGAGATGTACGATCGTATAGAAATTGTCCAAAACAGTTAACGAAATACACTTAATACCTTATGGATAGTATATATATATATATGTAGTGGAACAAAATTTTTAACCAACAAATCAACAGGTGGTCACGAGACGCGCAAAAAAGCATGGGCCGCAGCCCGCAGAGATCATTTCCAGTATTTTGAGCAGACACGGTAGGATTTTGAGCCTGGTGCCAAGTTACCGACGACTTTGTCATTGTAATGTAAATTCATTTCGTTTGAGGCGTCGATCATCGATAAATATGATGCATCCGACGAAAAACAAAACGCTTGATTAAAATTGTGATTACACTTTACAGTCCAGATTTAAAAAAGATTCACAGTCACAATTTTGGATATCTCTTAATAACGAATACCCGTCGCTATGTAATCGAGCAAGCAAACTGTTGTCCGTACTTTCAACCAGTTACTGTGTGATGCGAAAAAAACCTTTAATTAAAACGAAGCAAAAAAAAACGGTTTCAAGGCTACGCAATGTAGAAACTTCTTTGAGGCCTCGTTTGCAATCCTATATCGGAAACGAAACAACAGCAAAATTCTCACTAGAGTCAATTGTGTTTATACGTGATTTGGCATGTACTTGTTTATCATGTGAGCTGTTTTATGCGTGCCTTTATTACGCATAATGGGTGCCAAGCACTGTATTTCATCACGAAAATATATGGTATCTTGTGTTTCATCCATTTCAATTTTTTGCCGGCACATTGTTTGATAGTTTTTCTTCGTGTGAACTGTTTTTAAGTGTGCCTTTTTTGTCTGTAAGCATATTGAGTGTCCGACATTGCATTATATTACGCAAATATATGGTATTTCCTCCCGTTTCGGTCATTTTAATTTTTTGCCGGTCCGCGAGTACATTTAATTCAATTTTTCCGGTCCGCCAGGGTAGAAAGGTTGGGAACCACTGCTATTAGTACAAAAGGATTAAATACCATTGATGCATATTCGCTACACCTGAACTATAGAACGGATGTTACTAAAGATAAGTCAGTACACGAATATTGGAATTATTTTTTGTTGCGGAGGGATCATGTTCGCGGCATCAACTGCCTCGTTAACTCTGAATCAACCCACCCCGCCCTCGCGAGTAGAAGCGGGAATCATGACCTCACGTTTCGGGTATCATGTCGTTTCATTACAATGTCATAACAACTTCCTAATGTTTTTAAATTAAAGATTTTACCAAATATACTTACTTATAACTACAGTTTTGTAAGTTACGCGGATTTAACTCTAATTCTACCAGTTTTTAACTATTCATCGTCCATTCTATCTCAACTAATTTTGATATTTTCGCTACCAAACTTTTATCATCAACATTTTAAATTATATATATATGGCAATTACGAAGAAAAATATCAATGAAATATTACAGTGGATTTTCCCGTTGTGTAAAATACAAAATATGATGACAACATACTGTCACAAATCTATGTATTGTTTTAAAAACATTAATGTTCTTCATCACGTGTAGTAGCCAACACTCTATGAGCTTTCTAATTGAACAACGCGATTCCTGGCGCCAGTGCACAACGGAATTCTGCAGTAACTGCTGTAACTTGTTTAATGGAAGGGTCGAGGCCAATTTTTAGCTCAACGACAAAGTTACAAGGCAAGTTACGATGCAATTCAAGTATTTTATTGAACCGTTAGTAGTGAGCACACCACTTATACATTTGAATCACAGATATCAATTTCCCATTCTCTGAAATACTTGTTCTTAAGCTATAATAATGTTCACTGTAAATATAGTTTGCAGACAACTATTTTATCCGGTCCGTCCCTAACTCGAGATGATAATACATATTGTCGGGGTATCGGTTTTTTTAAATACCGGTACGGCGTTTTCGCGTTGGTATCGAATCAGTATCGGCCCAAAAGTGATATCGGTACATCTCTAATTTAGTGTGGATGTTGAATATATTGATGACGCTGACACTCAAACGAAACTTCTGGACTCGAAGTCAAACCAACTTTCCAACAAAATTCATTAAGTATTGAGAAATGCAAAAATCTAGATTTATCGATTTGCAAGCACGTACAGTTATGAACGTGCATTCTCAATCACGAAAATAAATCAATATTAGCTACGGACTAGGTTAACGGATGAACATTTGGATTCAATTATGTGCATCGCTATTTCTCCTTTGAAGCCCAACAGTTTGGTCCCCTAAAAACGTTTTCAAAGAAGTTGTTTTCCGGGACATGAAATTGTTCCAGTGAATATATAGTTTTGTGTTTTACGGAAGTTCGTTTACAATACCAACAATTATTCGAACTTGGCGTGGCACGCAACAATATTATTTTGATAACTTATAATTTGATAACTAAAGCCTACTTGTCAACTTTTTCTCTTTAAATTACCTCTTCATAACAATATATTGTCTCAATATATATATATGTGAATATTTTTTAATCTTATATAAAGCCTACCAGTAATCTCAGCATTAAAAATTGTTTTTGTTGTATATTTCCAGTTTATCAGTATATGTCATATCTTTCAACTTTTCCCAAGTTTTGAGCGTGGGGATAATATAGCGACATAAACCCCAAATTTTCCCCAATGAGAATTAAAATTGAGAAAACAAAGTTGATTCTTCTCAAATTTATAATATATAATGATTTTCGTAGAAAATTTACAATTTAAGCTGCCAGGAACATGTTTCATCTCGTCATTATCAAATTAAAGTTTATATTCCCAAATAATATTCCCACCAGTACGTCTCATTTGATACTTCATAATTATGATACTGTTTTTGACGTGATTACGAGGTCATATTTGTCATTAATTTGCTGTTTGATTGGTAATACATACTGCTCAATATATTTTCTAAAATAGTCTCAGTGGTCTAGAAAAAAGTTATAGGATTATATTCTGTGTATCGTCGAAAACTGCCAATAAAGTCGAGTATAGAAAATTTTCGGTACTCACGTAGTATGTGTACCAGGTTGGAGTCTATTTTATTCCGATTTTCCATATTTTAGTTCTATTACGAGTTGGAGGACTGTCTGTGTTAGTCAAGTGAATATACACCCTAAACATAGGTTTCAGTCCCTTTACACAACTTGTTGTAAAGTAGGCGAACAAAATTATTTACCTCCATATTGACACACACACGTCTGGAGCGCCGAATTTACAATGTCTCTTCATTTACTTTTGGGGTGACCTACTGACGGTGATTGTTGGAACAAAGTCGGTTTACGAGTTTGAATGAAAACTATTGTCGGTCAAGTATCTTGGATCATACAGTACAAGTACAGCCTTCTAGCAGTGACGCCCGATGTTCGTAAAACTGCAGAATCCGTGCTCGTGTTTCACAAAAAGTCGTCACGGCCGCATGTTGGCATTGGAGAATCGTAAAGTGACCTAGAAGTCCTAGGTGACCAATAATTCGATAGGAGCAGTGGCGTATCTACTTAAAATGGCGCCCATGGCAAAGTCTAAAAATACGCTCCCTAGGTAGTTATTTGACAATTTATAATGACTATTAATGAATTAGGATACTTCTACGTTATTATTTGAGTAAAAATACGAGTTTCAGTTATTCCCAATTTGAAATTATTTCATTGAAACGTTTCATTATTGATACTTTTCGCCGTTTTTGCGCCCCTGTTCAAACGGCGCCCATGGCACGAGCCATGGCTGACACACCCTAGATACGCCACTGGATAGGAGTTATGGTAAACAGAAGTGGAGTTATGGTAAACATGCAAGAAGTTCATGTTGCGTGGTATATCTATATAGGAATTCGTCCAGCAGTAGTTGGTACTACAGACTGCACTAGCATGTGTGGCAAGCTGACAAGATATTAAATAGCAGGTAAGTGAATTGTGCAGCAGGTTCAACAGATCATGATATCACTCAGTTACTGTGTTTTGTACGGTATGGTATATACAGGTAAATAATCATAACCGAAGTCAGTTCATTAGTTATAATAAAATTTTGTTGTGTATGTTGCAAAAATGTCATACCCTGGAGCAGAGGATAAAATGCAAGATTTTAATTTTTGGGCTGACGCAGAAAGAAGCCAAAGTTATACCAGTGACAACATTTGTCCATCAGTATTAAATAATAATCCCTTGGTAAAATTTAGGACAATAACTTATCTTTTTTACATTTCTAATTTTACAAAACGGCTAAGGTTTTACCGTACAGGTGCCGACGGGCTATTTAATCTCCGTATATTTAACAATTGCTCTATTATAATATGAACATATAATCGACACTATTTTTCAACTGCGAGCGTTCGCCAAGTCAGTTTCGTACTTTTTTCTGATATTGTCTGCACTTGTGGTGATATTTCATGCAGTGTATTTATCGTTATTTCCATTTGTGCCGGGCGCACGGAGTCTAGTAAGGGTGTTACGTGAAAAAGCTTTACGTTCTTACCAACGGATAGACACTGTCCCACTTGAAGAAGCTTTAAGCTGATACAGTACAGACTGTGCAGTAGTTCCTTGGCGACAGATGTTGGTTGCGACATATTGTTTCGTAGGGTCTCTTTTTATATTTCCACCACAGTCGGGCCGATGTCAACTGCGCGATCGGTTTCGGCTTTGTTCTCACTCGAGAATGAGACTTCACTACTTGCGTTTAATGATGCAAGTGGCTACAACTCAAACTACAGCTTGTAATAAAGAAATACACATAATAAAGAAACTTTGTTTTTGGCTTAACTGACTCTGTTTCAGTGAAAATGCTGACTCAGAAGAAAACCAAGTGTAAATAATTGCAGTTGAATTCCGACTCCATACATTAATAATTCCCAACAAAGCGTGCGTAGTAAAAAAGAATACAGTTTTTGATTGGACACTGGCCAAGCAAATATTACCTTAGTGCAAATTTAACACAATACCACAAACTGCTGACATATCTAAATCCAAGGATGTTGTTCTTTTCGCACAATGTCACGTTCGTTTTTGTGATATTTACGCGTCCTTTCGTGCTCAAACAGTAAATGTTTTCAACTCGAATTTAACTTTTTCTTTCATATTTTTATTTTGATAGGCAATAAAACCGGAGTTGGTACCAAAGTTCAATTTCCGTTATATAACTCATCGCATGTGTAACTGCGTGAAATCCTCTTTCACGCCATGTGCTCCAATCGTGGACATCTGGTATTTGTTAGTCACAAACAAAACGCAACGAGCAAATGACGCCAGAAGGCCGGATTGAAACGCCCACTACGCTCTCTCGTTCGATTGGCTAAGAATTCATTTACTGAGTCTTGCCTTTCTTTGTCCCACTTCTTCATATGCGTGGAACTTCTTCTACGTATTTTTCCTTACAAAACTAAAAAATTACAATCAATCATACAATTTTTTTCGTACATAATATGTTTAAAGACTTATTTGTTTAAATATTTGTCAAATAAAGCAACATTTTTAAATATTAATTAAAATATAATTTTTGCAACAATCCAATGATTTTTTCTGTGTTCCATAAACTAATTATCACGCAATCTAAAGATGGTCTGATCAAGAGTTGTCAACGATTCATTTTAAATATTTTTCTGTCAAATAAGAATGCTGCAAATTTTGTAATTTTGTTTCAATCAACTTTTGAAACAGCTAAGGAATATTTTGAAGTTTAGCGGTAGAAATAGATTATCGAAAATTTTATCAAGATAAAGAGTATTTTACCGGATAACAGAAACTCTACCCCCCCCCCCCCCCCCCTCCTCCGAACAAACCTTACTTGTTAGAAAAGTTGTTTGTCGCGTCTGTTTTTTTTTTTTTTTTCAATTTCCCAATGGACTTCAGTACATTTCTCACTGCATTTTGCAAAACATCACTGGTACGAAATATTTGGTGCCAAATTTGTTGTTGATTCAATTAAATATAAGCAATGATGCATAAAATCCTTTTATATTTTTGTGGAGCACATTTACATATTCAAATTCGTTTTCAATCTTAGTTGTACACATATCCTTGGTAAAGAAATCTAGATAATGAATTTTTCACATTGAACCGTCGCTGGGAAATCAGCGTAACTTAGGAACTTACACAAAATTATAGCTAAGGCACTTAGCAAAAGCACGCATGTTTCTGATTCACAAGCTTACCTGCATTAATAAGGTAGCAGATCAGTATATAAACTGCTTTCCCACTCTGACCCTCAGTGCAACGACCGCTAATGACTTAACTCGCATTGTATAAAAGAGAAAACAAAAATGATTTTAGTGTTTGGATTTTTTTATTAAAAAAGTGGAGAAAGCTCAAAGAAAATTGTAATTTAATAAAAAATATATTATTGCATAATACACTATACATAAAATAAAACATGTAGAAACGTCAAATTAATTTTGTTTATAACTGTGTGGTGGTGTCATCAGAGTTGTATGCTGGGTTTTCGTTCCCTAAGTTTTCAAGAATATATAAATGATCCGAAAAGCCTTGCTTTTCTGAAAGTATCGGAGTAGCACCACTCGAATTGATAATTGATTTTTCATAGTCCACATCTATAACAGAGATGTTTTCCATGGAACTATCATATGAAGGTGGATCTTGTTCTTCTGCTTCTTCTTCGTTGCAACATTTGCAACAAAGCAAAAATTTAGAAAACACTTTGTCGTATGGTTGCAATGATCGCAAGGGCGCTGGGAGGAACTCCCACGTCTGCATTGACTCCGGAAGCCATTCTGGCTTACGTGATTGCAACACATTGAGAATAATAACACATATTACAATAACTGCCACCAATATAAGAAACCCCCCCATGATCCAAATCCCTGCGAAGGAAAGGCCTAGAATTACTCCTGGAATAAGAAAAAAGGCAAAGATAAGATAGAGCACTGCGAACCATTTATACTCGGCAGTCGTGTTTCCCATGAATCTGGCTGCTCGCAGAGGGACTCTTCGCATTATCGGAATTGGATACCATATTAAAATCCCGGATATATTAAAAAAGAAATGACAAAGAGAAAGTTGTAATGCGTAAATCATTCCAGCGTCGCTTTCTGTGGCAAATGCGGCAAGGATTCCAGTTGCTGTGGTGCCAATGTTTGCACCAAGTGTCAACGGGTACATACGCTTAAGGCTGATGACGCCAAGTCCAACTAACGGAGTCATTGTTGAGGTGAAAACAGTACTGCTCTGCACCACGAAAGTAAGAATAGCTCCAGAGAGGATAGCAAGATAGCCTGAAAAGTTGAAAAAAAAACTTGGTAAATATTTTCATTCTAATTATATATAAACAAGTATAAATTAGGCTAAGTATTTATGTATATCATACCCATTAAAAGCAATTTGTGCAATAAAGAACTAAGCACCTACCAGATATCCATCCGAATGGGTACGGGAAATTTGTATTGAGAACTTTCTTTATCACACGCGCGACACTTCCTTTTAGCATAGAACTCAATAATTTCACCATCATGACGAGGCATGCGCAGAGAACAAATAAAGATAAAATCAGAATAATTCCCCCGACAGCTGGATCAGTCATCCCAGTATTGGCGAAAATGAAGTCGTGTACGTTGCCTAAGAAAGTATAAATATCCACTGTTGTTATTTTTATACCGTGAGTCTGTACTTACCGGTATATTCAAAATCTAGGTTCAGCATTAAAAACAGCATTATTAAAAAGACATGTCATGTCTTACAAAAGTATATATGTTATAAATTGTTGTGATATTTTACCTGTGGCGTGTTCGAAAAAATAAATGTACTTGTTAATAAATTGTTGTGCTCACATTTTTCTACTCCAACTAGTACTGTTTCTTCCACGTTGCAATCTGTCGCAGTAAAATTACATTGGGTGCTGTTTCCTGAGTACGTTACGTTAATAGTCGCGTCATGTTGTTCACACCACACCTGAAAGTGAAGGAATACGGAGATATATTTTTTAAGTAATAAACAGATTATTCATCCCATTGTTTCACAAATGATTTATTATATTACCTTTATCATTGAAGCGTCTGCTTCCAATGGAACTTCTAACGCGATCAAGCCGATGATAGTCTTGTTGACTTGTATAACGTGTTCGGTTAGTGGGTCTGTGATTACCTAAAAATATATTGAATTTTTATGTAATTTGTCCAAGCAACGATATGAAGAAAACGCTTCGATTACGAAGCAATGTCAATGTCAATACTAAAATGATAATAAAAACCCTGATGAGTAATTGTGCAAACTCGCTCTAAATTACATTGCATCACTTACATCTAACATATCGGGAGGTCCTTCACCACCAGCAGAGTTTAAATTAGAGCTTGAAACGATTGCTTCTGTTGTTTTTTCCAAATAGCCGGTTAGTACTTCCAAAGGCAAAAGTATTATTACGCTCAGAAAATTGAACATGTCGTGAACAGTTGCACCACCGAATGACCTGTATTAAGGAAATAGAAAAGTTTTTTTTTTTAAATTTGAAATTGGTAGAGAAAAGAAGTTTTCTGTGCTTTTTCTTAGTGCATATTCATTTTGCCGAAATTTATTTATAAACGAAGGATTTGAATTCTATTACGCACTTTCGAAATTGATCTCGATCCATCGATTGTGTCAAGGAAACAATGGTGTTTGTAACCGACGTTCCTATGTTTGATCCCATTATGATTGGAATTGCCTCGTGAACGTTCAAAACTGCAGAAAAAAAAGTTTTTTTTCCATACAAATACGATTTTGAGGGGGCTTCAATTTTTTCCTATTAGTTTAGTAATCTACGTTATATGATTGATGAAGCAACTTACTTCCGGCCCCAACCATAGTTATAATGATGGAAGTCGATGTTGAAGAACTTTGAACTAATACGGTCACCAAAATTCCAATGATGAGACCAGTTATCGGGTTACTCAGATATTCATTGTTGAAAAGCTGGCCTCCAGTTTTTCCACCTGAGAAAAAATTGCACTGAATAATGTGATCAACCAAGCTGTAACCTATTATCATTAAATTGATCGATCGATTGTATAAACCTACCAAGTATTTGAAACGCCGAACTCATGAGACTCAAAGAGCAAACAAAAATGTATAACGTAGCTAACACTCCAAATATCTTCCCGATTATTTTCATAATATGGAGAATCTTGTGCTTTCCTGACATATCGCTAAACTTTTCGACGTCATCTACAAAAAAGTTCAAAATGAGTTTGAAATTTTTTTGAGTGCTTTTGGAGAAAAAATACGAATTATGCTTTTTAACATACCGTCATCACAGTCATCAATAACAATTGCCCAAGCATCCTCTTCTAATTTTTTTCTCAACTCTTCATTCGTCATATCAATGTTACTGTTTTGAGCATTCAATTCCTCAGCTTCAATCATTTTATTGGTTGCCATTTTAAACAACAGAAAAATGAGCGACCGTAAAATCAAAAACTGACAGGGCGCCTTTCTGAATATCTAGCATCAACCGTTACCGATACTGGAATGGAGATCGCACCCGGTGCATGGCCCTTTTATTCTTTCCCAGGACATATTATAATCATTAAATGTTTTTCTTTCATGTAAATTTCTATGCATACTTATATTACTTGCGTAAACGATCGAAAGGAAGAATCTGCGTGTAAGTAAATATTGGTACATTCGTCTCGTGCTGAACGCATGGCATCATTCATGGCTTGTTGGAACTTTGGTTTGATTTACAGAAACAAATAAAGTACTGTGGGTTACGTTTATTGGGTAGTTCTCTTTTCCCGCATCAGACACTCCTTCCTCGTAACGTGGATAATTATGAGGCGCGCCGGAATGGGCGTATCCAAGAGTTCAAATCATGGACAGCTGTCTTTGTTTTAAAGTCATTTTGTGAGTTGTGTTGTATGTTTCTGATTTGTGAGTGGAGTACTTTAGTCACTGGATTAGGATAATTTATGCTGCATGTAGTCGTAATTTAAAATCTTTAGACTGCGGAGTAAAATTCTAAAATTTGGAAAAATATTTTATTTTCGTCTCTTGAAAACTTTTGAGCAACTGAAACATCATAGCTTTATTATATACGATGGTGAAAACGAGTTAGAGTCACTCATATCCGACATTCCTTATCAGTAAAGTCAACATTAGAAACCAAAGTCCGCTATTAGATGACTAAGACATCACCACATAGTAAGATGGTAAAGTATTTTTCGTACTATTGGTCATGGTTGCGTTATAAACTTTTGCATTAATCAACTATTGCGTACATGACTTTTGAAATTTTTGTCCAAACGCAAGTTCAATCCCACAAACAAAAGCATGTTAGTGGAATTATCTATCTATAGCACCGTTCCTTCCAAATAATGCAAGAATATAAGATATTTTGATGTATTTAAATCACTCAATATTTTCATTAGCAAAACCGGCATTAATCTCTAGTGCTTCAAACGCAGTATTTCTACCCGAGTCTCTTGTATTTTTAACACGTGTGTCGTTGAAATGTGAATGTTCGTTGAATTGCATTAATTTTATTATTTTCTTTATTAATCATATTTATTCGGCTTAACCTCGCCAATACGTTTCGAGTAATCTGAAAAATAAAAATGTATGAGTTGTTTGCCTTTGTATTATATAATCTAATTTAAGAATCACCTGTCAATATATCATATTATATACCTTTGTAACATGCATGCGCTCAACGCATGGCACAATATGTGGGCGTGATAATGCGCTGCCTTGTGAGGTAGATATAATCCAATCGTATCGCAAGTCAGAGTGGGCTTGCTGATGGTGCAACTTATGTCCTGGGTATATTAAATTAATCAGGATGGAAATGGATCTGGGGGAGATTGGAGAAGCTGTAAAATATCTTTCATCCTCAAACTTATTAACCGTCATATATTAGAAGATCTGTCAAAACGAATTTTTATTTTTTCGTAACAGTTATATTTATCATTAAAGATTCTTGATTTGATGAATGTTTTTACCGACAGATTTGTTAATCGCACAACGATAAGTCCAACAATTCAAGCTGTACCTGACTAGAATTTCTCTTATTATTGATTAATTTAGTTTTTTTTAGTCAATGACTAAAACTAAACTTATTCCACCCAGTTAGTTATTACGGTGAATGAACTCGCTCACTCAGAGATTTCATAAATGTAAAAATGTTTACTTTTACGTCGGTGTAAACTCAAATCGGCGCTCCAGAATTATGTGTACCAATGAGGAGGTAACTAATTTTGTTCGCCTACTTTACATCAAGTTATGTAGAAAGACGGAAGCCTGTGGGCAGAGAGTATATTCACTTGGCTAACACAGACAGTCCCCAAAGTCCTAGTATATCTAAAAAAAGGGTAATCGGAATAAAAGTATGGCATAACCCTAACCTTGTACACATACTAAGGGAGTGCCCTCAAATCCAAAGTAGAAAATTACTGGCAACACGCCTGTACTGTGAAAAATTAATTTGGGAGGTAGTATGGCTAGTAACAATCTGCTAGTCGATTTTGAAAATAATGAAATATGCGTTAGACGTGGTAAATTTCGTTGTAGTTTTTAGTCGAACGGTGTATATTAGAAAAGAAAACTTATATTGCTGCAACATGCAAAATAATACAAAATACATGCGAAATTGAAAAATCATCAACCTCAAAAAAAATCGTCATAAAATGAAAAAAATTTTTACGAGCTACGATATATTGTTACACGCAACGAGTCGTAAAATATCGTTTTTTCTTATTTGGGAAAGCCCAATGGTAGCACCAATCCTGACAGCAGTAGAAGTTTAGATTTCGATTGAAGCAATCGATAAACATAAGAACAACTTTTTTTCAATATATATATCCATATCGACTGACTAAATTTTGCATCAATAAGATATCTTCTCGGCCTGATGGTTTATCTACTTTCGTTTTAAAAAGTTGTTCTGTAGAGCAAATAACAGAAGCCTTGGTTACATAGATGTATGTTTGTCACCGCACACGTCGATATTATTCGACGATACACAAAAACAGAAGAAATTTACGTCGGTGCTATCAAATGTAAGAAATATAGAAAAATCATCTCTTTTGCGCCACTTTGGTTTATAAACTTATTATAAATGAATGAATATGCTAGTAATCGCATTTAGAGGTATCAATTTCATAAGTTTTCATGGTGATGTTTGAAGATACATTACATGCATATATGCATGGCTCAAAATTTTTAAAATTTAGTTCAGTAATATTGATTTTCAAAATTGGACGTTTTCGTAATCCTGAGAGGTCAAAGTTTGGCTAGAATAAAGTCTTGGAAATGAATGAATGTTTTTTCACAAGAACGAATTTATGCAAGAATACACTTCACATTGGGTGTACTTTTGCGCACCGCAATACGCAATGTAAACGAATTGAATTTTCGGCCAACCAATTAATGCATGTTTCCCCGAGCGCCGATTTCCTTGTTTAATGCCGTAACAATGACCAATCAGCAAAAAGTAAACAATGACGTAGTAACAATTGTATTTTGTGCGGCCGCTCAGACACTTCTTACGTTAAGACTAATATTCAAGCATGATTGTAAACATTGCCTCGTTTACGTGTTTTGCGTGTTATTTGTCAATTTTTATTTCTGTTTTCAAAAAATAGTTTCAAATAAATTAATGTGGATGAACATATGAGCCAGTTTGTAAGCGCTAACTCTCCAAAACACACACAATTTTGCAATGTGTATACAAAAATACAAAAACGACGGCCATAAATTAATTGTAAATGCAGCACACGTGATAGAAAGTCACTCCAGCCGAACCAGAAACGGAAAAACGCAATGCCCTAATAGCACCTTTACAAACCAGACTAAAACAATGCATCTGGGCAGACTGACTTTACAAACGATTACCACGTCAATAGTTATGGCTAAACAAACATCAATAAAGCAATTCTCGAATGACTGCGCCCCAAAATATCTAACGAAACCTAGAGTGTATAGATATACCGGGAACATCATTTGCGAAGTAAAAATACTTTGTATACTTTGTATATTGTCTATACCGAAAAACTATACATTTTTGTTGTTGCTATTGTTTCAGTGTTTTTTTTTTTTGGTTGACGAAAATAAAACTCTCTCTCTCTCTCAATATGGATTCATAGCCATAAGTGACATCAAAGAAATTTGTCCAGTTTGTGTCTTTTGTCATAATAAACTCTTAAATGAAGCCTTAGAAACTTCTTCGAACGATGCGATTGTCTCGTCGACGTCGAGATTGTGTTATATAGGGCAGTTGATTCAAATTTCAAATGATAATGAGTTGAAAAGCATCTTTGCGAAATATACCTTGGCAGTGTTTTGGTCTATAATTTTCTATGAATACCCAGACGTTTGCGGGCGCTGTTACATTTTTTCTTATGTGAGGTCGAATTCTCAATATTGACAACTACAAAAAAGAAGGCTGAACGTAAGAAACACGTAACGTGTATCACTGTCGACCATGTCTCCAAATTGGGAACAATTATTGGCCAGCAAACAAATGCAGATTTCGCAATAGATGGCATCACCTTTTTTTGAATATATTGTCAACACAAAGGTGGTCCGCCAAAATTTTGGTCAGGCTTTACCGGTCCGTCACTTAAAAAAGATTGCCGACCACTGGTTTACATCAATAAACATAGTAAAGTACCTTGGAAAAAATATGAGCCCATTTCAAAACGTCAAGTAATTAACCAACGTCAAGACCACGTTTTTCTTGCGTTTGTTGATTGTGTGATTAAAAACTATTGTTCGAGCCGACCGGAACAGAAATCTTCTGTATTTAAAAATCATTTTCGATGCAAACTTCTAGCCGAATATTAGTTCATGAATCTTGTTACAGTTAACTAAAAACATTTTCGTTAAATTATCAACCTCACTAGCTGAATGTTTACGTTTGAAGACAAGCTATTATGATAAGCTATTGATAATGTTAATGTACCTTCGGCATATTAGTGTAGATTTCACAGTATAATTTGGTACAAGCTGGTACACATACTACGATCCGGTGTCCGCCATCTTGGTTCACATACTACGGGAGTACCCAATTTAATGATGCTTGGTAGTTTCAATACCTTTTCAGGTTCCGTCATGAACCAATCACGTGAAGAACACGAGATATACATACAATCTGACACACCCGCTGGCTGTATAGTTCACAATCAACAAGCATTTCGTGCGAACCTTCTCCGTGACAACGGATTGAATTGCGTCACCCGGGCTTGTATAAAATGATGAGAATCAATAACACATTGCCCACGTTAATATTGGAGCACTATCATTGTTGTGTTCATCAGGCATGATGACAATACACACGATGTGACACATATCTAAACGACCTCAATTGCGAAATAGGGCAGTTATAATTTACGTGACTTCTGAATGACGACAACGGTGGGATAGCAACGTAGGCGGGAACATTACTAACAAAGTTCAAAGCACATGACATGGAGAAAGGTAACGACACAGATGAAAAGAGTACCGTGTTGTATAAAACGGAGTGATTTAAAATACTCTACAGTCCTATCAGAAATTGTTAATTGTTTTTGTAATGAATGTATAACTAACGAGAAATATTTTCTTTGTTGACAGCATTCGACACCAAGTAACCAGTCGCGGTGTAATTTATTAAGAAAGAGAAATAGGAGTAAGAATATCGAAGAAAATTGCAAAAAAAATATAAAGAGGTATAGAGCACAGATTGCCTCACAAGTAGAGAAACAAATAATATATAGAAAATCGAACTAATGAGGTCGATTTGGCCGGCGATAGAAGCAAGAGCCTATCGAATTGTAGCCGCAATTACATTCATTCGTTCAATGATTATCCATCAATTTTGTTCTCTGTACCTATGTGCCTTCTCGAAACACTCATACAACGAGTACATAGATAAGGTGAGTGGGAAAATATTTTTCTATGAAAGAGCATTTTATCGTATAGTTATCTGAAGAACGTTTGCCGCCTCGCACATGGCATTCGTTAATAAGTCTCCTTCCGGAGAAATGGCTTCTGTCATCAACCCAGGCGTTGTTAGATGATATGATTTTCTAGCTTAGATTGCTAATTACTTACTTATTGGTTTACGGCAATTGTTATTATTATTTTATTGCGCATGAGTTGGATTATCTTTTTGCAGCATTTAACGGTCCTATATTTGAGCGTCTAAGGTTGTGTGACGGTGATCGTACATTTGAACCAACGTACATTTGAGCCCATACATTTGCACCCGTATATCCGCGGATTCAATCTATATGAGGGTGCTAAAATCTATGGGTTAGGGTTAGTATAAGTTCAAATATCCGTAAAAAAAATCCATAGGTGCAACAGTATGCAGATGCAATTGTCGTGGGTTCAAATGTAATGGAACCCGGTGTGACAACGACTGTAGTTAGTTCAGAATGCGTAAATTTCAAGAAACCTGAACATAATACTGTGAAACAAGCATTTTTACTGACCCTAGCTTTGTACCAAGATTTCCTGTAAGTCCTCGATATGTGATTACTAAATTCGCCTTATTTCTTTTTGAAGTGTCTTTTTGTGGTGGACAATGAGAAATACTTAACAATCGCAGAGGATGGCAGGTGATTGGCCTATAGATTCGCAACAGAGACTACGCGTTTCTACCGCAGAAATAATATAATTTCCTATAACAGCAAGTCACTACCAACAGAATGTTTTCCTATTCGCTGTGGGTTAAGAAACTGTTTTAGAGGGTTTCAAATGCGAAAACTCGATTTTGTGAGATAACAGCGTTCGCCGCTTTAAAATGCTTCTAAAATTCAAAAATTGCCTGCGCAAAAATCCACTTATTTTATATTTTTGTATGCCATGCTAGCGGGAAGCTCGTGTATTCCGAAATAGACATATCTGCACATTCATTAATCACGAAAATAATTTTCATTCATTGGCAATTTCGTCTAAACCCAATACTATTACCCACCACTGATTTCAACAACACAAGGTCATTTCATGCAAAGATACCGGTATGTTCAACAAAGATTTGCAAGTATTTTCAGGACGGTTTGAACTTCGTCCAACTCCAGGTCAAATGAATGTAAACAACAGCACGCGCATTTTTCGCAAAAGACAAACTAGTATAGTTATACTACTTCAAGTGAAAAGCAAATTGGTATATTTTGCATGTATTCAATAATAAGAGGTAAAGACAAGCATTCTAAATAGATATCAAGAAAATAGGATGTTCTTGAAGTATAATATATTTACTAAAGACGCAGATGGATAATACAAACACTATATACATACGTTTACATTAAGACCAGGAATAGAACACAACTGGACTATGAAAAAATACAACTGAAATGTTGAATTGCATCCTCAAGTCATTCCCAAGTAAGAATGATTTTCAACGTCATAAATGCGCGAAAAAATGATGGTCCTTTTTAATTTACCAAACACACTATCAGATGTTTGGCAAATCTTCAAATATCTGACTACTTGAAAAAATTAACTTCGTACGATAAAAACATAAACTCAATGCGATGACAAAATTATAATTATTCTTGGATAACACTGAAAGTTTCTAGGATATTCTGTAATAATTGAATATTAATATGGTTTTAGTTATGCATAAAGCGAAAGACATAAATAAATATAAGTTTAGTATAAAATAAAATCATAAGGAATATTTCAATGCGAAATTTGTCAAAAGAAAATCATTTAATCAAAATTAATCATTGTAAAAATACAGCGCGTATAATCTGACTCCCCATCATTGATTTATTTTAACAATAAAACTTCATTGAATTTGGAATAATAATCAACATTTTCTATTGCGTAGTGCATTCTGGTTTTGCCATGATTTTGTCCATCCACTTATTATAACTCTGTACCCTGGTATATACTCCGGGTATATTTGTTTTACATCGAGTATCTCCCCAACTCGTAATACCAACCAAATAGAACTTGTCGTCTCTTTTGCAAAGTAAGGGGCCGCCAGAGTCGCCCTGTTTTCATTAAAATATTTGAAAGTTAGCCATCGTTTTATATTGTAAAACTGTACCAGCCTCTTGCATGATAATATCTCAGATTACATAACAACACTTTACAAGCTTTGAAACAGCGCTTGCGGATTACTGTATTAGGTTTTGGAAATAAAAGAATGCTGTGCATCAACTCTAGGTAAACTTTAAGTGCAAATCGACACATTGTTTTTGCTACGAATCAGAAAATCGTGCAGGAAAGTCTATTCTATTTCTACTTAAAGTTATAAAATATTTTAACTAACCCGGCATGAATTTCCACCTGTTCCTCCCGCACATACGTATGAGTTATGAATCGTATAAATTGACCAGAATGTTGCTTGGCATTGTTTATTGCTGATGATCGGCATTTCGACTTGTCTCAAATATCGCTCAATTCCAGGCTCTGAAGAAACATAGATGCAATTAAATAAAATTGATTATAGAACTTCCTACTTAATTATCAATGTATATGTCAATTGAAGGACAATAATCTGTTTTCGTCATATAATAAAGTATAACAGTAAATTAGTATGATCTTTTCGGATTTCAAATTGTTTATACATCATGAAAACAGACAAAACACATCGCTATGTTTGAAATAAAATTGTTTTCTCACTATTTGCCTCTACTCTTCCCCACCCAGTCGTGACACACACTTCACCGGTTTTGAAAGGGGTTTCTTCGGGTTTTAATAAGCAGGCTGGTTGGACTGACTTGGAAGATCTTGCAGGATATCTGTTCCAAAAGAATTAAATATTTTATGCTGACTCTTTTAAGATGGCATGTTATGATCAGAAATTTTAAGCCAGCGTGTTTGTTTAATACAAATATTTGTATGTAATGAACACCATGGATATACTGCACTGAAATAGTTACCTTAGCTTAATAAGAGCAATATCGCCCACCAAATCTTCTGAGAATTTATATTTTTCGTGTAAAAATATTGCGTCAACTATGATCTCCTGTTCGGTGCCTTCATCGGTGTAAAGATCGAAGTCGCCGATAACGATGTTGTGAACGTCTCCTCTGAAAATGTACATTATAATTAATTTTATCATTCCTATCTTAAATTAAAAATTTTAAACCAAAATTAAACAAATTTTATGTAGAATTGTATTACCAATTTTTATTTTATACACAAAACTTAATCTGTCAAAGACTACTGAAAAAAGGAATTTGAATTTTTCATCCGTAAGCATTATACGACTTAAGACTACCAGTTACATTTCAATCCAAATGCTGTCTGAATGATTGTATTTCTTTTACTAAACTTGGTGAACTAGACTAGAATGATGAAGGCTATACTGCTAGGGTTTGCTTACTCTATGAATTTGTCTAGGTAACACAAGAATTGAACCTATAAAGTACTTACAAATGAGGGCAATGTGCTGCTGTTATAACCCAATATCTGTCAATCAACGTCGCACCACAGAAATAATGACTTTTAGTTGTTGACTCCGTGACGTAGTAAGCGACCTAGGACAAACGGAATTGGGTTATCAGGTCAGTCGGACGTGATCAAAAATTGTGGAAATACCAACAAATTAAATTTCTATACTTCAAATTCAACAAATATCTTTTTGCACATATAAACTTTAAGAAGTCAAATAATAAGCTGAACCTAATGAACTCAAATTTTGCATTTTGGAAATTGGGATCATTTATTATTTTATTTTCATATTACTCTGCTCAGAGAGACCCGTACTTTATTTTATTTAAAACAAACCAGGATAAACATTCCAAGTTTTTACAATCGAATCTTGTTGCTGTAATACTCTATTACAAGAATGATATTATGTGCCAACGTAATGAATTTATATTCATGACACACGTGCTAATATTACTTTTATTTTACTTTATAATATCATACCTGCCAAGGATAGTTATATTGACTTGTTTGAACTCCACCAATAATTTTCTTTACTGAACGTTTTGCTCTTCTTATTTCTGATTTTCTGTAAGATTTTGATAAAAAATGTCACAAATAATACGGCATGATAATATGGTATGATGTAAGTAGATGGCAATTGAATACTGCCAAATCATATGGGATTCTCCATATATTACACATACTTTTGATATCTTTTCCATGGTGTCATTAATTTCCATTCTTCGTTTTCAATTTCATGTTGTTTTCCCATTACTTTTTGTATTCTTACTCTGTACTCAAAGTGTTTTTCTGCAACTTTTTGTTCATCCGCGGTCAGGTTTATAACAGAATCACCTTGTGATATTTTTTTGTAATGCCCTTGAATTTTAATCAAATCTATTGACTCATAATTCTCCCCTTTGTCATTTGCTATTTTTTGCGAAGAATTTGGATTTTGAACGATTTTTACAGTTTTATTTTGTTTGATGTATTCTGGTGAATAATTATAAGCATTTTCCATGTTTGATCCCAAACTACGTTTTTCCCGTTCGACGAATGTTTCAACATTCTCGGAACCCCTCAGATCGAATTGCATATCTTCTGAATAATATCGGGGATTAATGAGATGCTTATTGTGATTTTTTGGATAAGAAAGAAGTTTCATTTGTGTATTTGATATTCTTGCAGCACCGCCGTCTTTTGTCTCTGGAGCCATAATTACGATTCCATCTTCTTCTTCTTCCTGTTAAGAGATTATTCCATAAATCTGCTTTAACTACTCACATAGTACATGTCATCTGTGGTTCTTTTACGACATGCAAATTCATCTAAATCTATATTTTAATTTGATCCTGAAACAAGTAGTTAAATGGTTCACATATTCCTTGAGATATATTTAAGTTTATTCATAGTACAAGTACTACTTACCACTGGATATGGTATCACAGATTGACTAGATTCATCATGCATAACATTATCAGGAAGATCCACGGGTTCTCTGATTGGTGCGTAGGAGTAGGGTGTTCCACAAGGTGGCCCTATAAAGACAATAGTAAAAAAAAATCATTGATCTGTAATCACCAGATTGCCAGAAACGCAGTACAATAATGCAAATGTTATCAAACATGTATTTACTGTGCCGATTTTGCCGATTTTGATAAGTTCAATAATTAAGCAGGTCCCTGAACCATATAAATTTTATTTGTTAAATTTATCTAATATATTATTAAGCGCTCTGAATATTTCAGGATTGATAAAAAGTCTATATTGCTTTGAAATGGATGTGTATGTGATTGATCAAAGTGGCACATGTGTTATCATACTATATGTTGTGAGTTCTTACCGTAATCGCAAAATGACTCGTCACTGCCGTCGCCACAATCATCTCGATGGTTACATCTAAATCCGATTGGTATGCAGTAATGGTTGCCACATTTGAAATGCGTCTTTTCGCAACAAGGATTACATACTCCATCTATTATTTTGATGTCATCAATAGCGATATCTCCCAAGTAATCGAGGCCACGAACGCCTTCAATCATGATCTATATGAATAAGTGGAAATTTAGACCAGGGGAAATTTGTTACTTCCATAGAAAACGAGACTTTCATTTTAAGTGACTACAATTGCAATAGGTGGAACCATATCTCGTTATAGAAACAAAACTTTTTTTTATTAAATGTTACCCTATATAACAAACACAAATTTTACGGAGTATATTCATATCGGAGTCACAAAAGAATCCCAGTCAAAATGTGATATATATAGGCATTCGGGATTTAATTAATAATGGATATTTTATTGCGGCGGTAGGACCTGCTGAAGGGAGCAAATTCCACTGAAATATATTTGAAGGTTGAAAGTTTTTGCGCACACCATTGCTTCATTGTCGCCTCCAATATAACCGACGAAAGAAATCACTTTACCTGGTAAGGTAGTTCGCCATGAACGTTGATCTTTGCAAAAACCCATTGATCGCCTTCATTTCTAGCATTTATCCAAATTGGTGATCCCAGGTACGAAGAATTTGTCTGTCGCGCTTCGATTTTATATATGTTTATAGCACCAACGTGATCACCAAATGAGTGAAACCAAAATGTGACACATTTAGCTGTAAATAAAATATATTCCGATTATACCTAGTTGCTGCAACAAAGAACAATCAATTCACGTGATGCGGTTGGACATTCAGAGACAGTGTTTCAAAACAATGAAGTTTCGTAAACGCGCCGTTTCCGTCTAAAAACTGGCATTATGATACTAATTTAAATTAAAATGATTAATGACGTCTAAAAAAAGTTGCTACGTATTTTGCTTTTGTTGTCATTGAATATGTTCGTACGACTAAGAGCAACGCCGCTATCAACAAAGTTAAGCCACGTTGACAGAGACTGTTTCACCACCAATTCCACGCATGTAGATCCATAAAACACGCTATTATATTGTCTGTGATTTAGTTTCATTTGATTGGTTTTTTGATATTTATTAGATTTGATATAAATGCTAAATAGGAAAAAAAAATTGGGTTTTGTATTTTCCTACGAATATAAGGAAATGAATATTGGTTAACCTACTATTGTCTGTGAACCTTTTGATTCCATAGTATTTCAAAGGTGAAATTTTGTTTTGATTGTCAAATAGCAGTTTTTTTTTAAAATTCACGGACATATCTCAGAATACGAAATTTTGAAATAAATAAATATTTGAAACAAAATTATGTAGTCAATCCCTTTGTGAGTGGCATAGACGCGAACGTCCAATGACTAACCGCGTTATTGGTAGTAAATGCGACTTACATGGGCATATTATCTAATCATTTATAAGCTTCGAATTCAAACTGCAATCATGCCAACAACAACAACAAAAATTCAGCAAAATAATCCAAAAGTTTCGTGACCACAAACTCCTTTTAATAATAGCGTTAACATATCTTACTTGAAGAGAGTCCTGGGTCTATCACTGGGCTGACCAGCCTTGCCTTGTCATAACGCTGTCGTGGATTAGATGCTTCGACATACAGATAGGTTCCATTTTTGTCTGAATAAAACATGATTGTGTTTAAAACATTTCATTTGATTGATAAGCTAAAGGCAATAATAGATTGCCAAGTGTTGAAATGCATTTGGAGGATATATATGTATCCAAAAACATCTTATTTAGGGTATGTTTCTTCACGTTGTAAAAAAGGATCCTTAGAGTTTTTTGTCTAGTTTATCCATTTTGTGCTCATACATGCTTAATCCACCAAATTGATCATTCGTTCCAAGTGAATCATTCTTTATTTTGGGATTTATTAAGTATTATTTATTTGAATGATAAAAAGCTATGACAAACCCACTTCCTAACGTATGATCGTAATCTGGGCCTGTGTTTTTTGATGTCGTTTTCCCTTGATGTCTCGTCCAGTTAAAATCAACATGTTCTAACTCGTGTCTCCAAGCGCAGTTATTCTCCTCAAAATTGCAGTCAAATGTAGCTTTAAACAGAAATAAAAAAAATTCTATCATCCAATTACATTCACTGATGGAATTATACGATCAGCGACGACTTATGGAGAGTCATATGGATCGATTACCTAGAACAGTCATTTTTGTAAGCAATCGACAGGCTGATAAGAAACTAGGTTATCTTCGAATAATACTTACGACATTTTCCTTTAACCATTTTGAAATCATCGATCGCGATATCTCCCTTCCAAAATTCTCCTCTTTTTGCCTCCAAAACCAATTTCGTGATTCCCCTTTTTCTCATATCAACAGTAGCTTCAAGCCATTGACTTCCTTTATTACCCCCATTCGTCCACAGCGGAATTAATTTTCCAGACTTTGGTACTTTTCTATAAAGAGTCAAATTACCAATATCTGTTGAGAAAAAAAGTGATACGTGTTAAAAACCAATAATGTATATAAACTGTGGTATAATGGAATTCTAAAAGTAATTTCACTATTCATTACCTGTCCCAAACATGTGATACCAGAAATGAAAACACATATCGGATTCGACCAGATATTCTGGACTCTCTAACATTGCTCCATCTCCTTCATCTCTTGGTGTGGATGCATCAATGTAAGCATAATCACCCCTGAAAAAATATAAATAATCTCTGTTTTCTCTATGGCGGAGAGGTTAGGGTTAAATTTTAGACACCGGTTTTATCCGCCTTAACAATAACATTTACGAGGTGAACGGATAACGTCATCTAATAGCGGACAAGATTGTAACGCAGATATCGTAAATATACCAGAATTTTTTTGCGACTGACAATAGACTATTGTAAGATGATTACCTTTTCTACTTAAATATTGAAATATCGCGTATCAGATAATGAATTGGCGAGTTAGCATCTCCGTCTTGATAAAACACAACTTTTAATATCTGCGAATAGAATCAATCTTTCGACATTGTGCTGTGTACGTATGACATTTTTTAAGTTTCCCAAATGCCTTGAGCGTGTTATTAAACGTAAACTTTGAAATACACACAACAATATAAGGCATTAAAGTATTTATTTAATAAATGACAAGATAAATATCATCGTCCTCTGCGTTAGCATCGTATTTATTAATTAAACATTCCCTTTCGTCCATTCAAATGTATATAATCAACTGGTAATAAATTTGTAAAAAAGATATTCAATAAAATTGCATGTACCTACTTCCTGACGTATGATCGACAAAGGGGCCTGTTTGTGACGATCGAAGCTTACTGGATTTAGTTTCCACTGTCCAGTCAAACTCATCCGATGGAGACAACACCTGACTCCATTGGCATGTTTTACCTCCGCTGAAATCACAATCGATATCATTCGACGATGGCGCTGGATTAAAAATAAAATTCGTTGTGTTTAATTAATCAGTCCAATTAACATGTATATTTTCAGAAAATTGAAATCACAAAAAGGGCACTTCGGAAATCGGGAGACTGGATTAAAATGCTTGGGCAAGAGAAGTTGCAGTGCAATACAGTACAATGGTGTAATTTTTTACACTGATAATAAATTATACCTGTTGAAATAACTTTATTTGCCTTTGCTGTTGATGGCGGACTTGAAACTGTAGTAGTTATTGTTGTTTTTTCTGCAGATAATAAAAATATTCTATGTTTGTGGATCGAATGAACTATAAAGCCTGTAACTAAGACTTGTCCAATCGTATCATTGACCAATAAAAAGTAATAATATTGTTCCAAATTACCCATATTAGATTTATTTGTACGTACTAGAATAGCTTAGGTGCACCATAAATCCATGTAAAGGCGGCGGATGTTAAATCAAATTATTGGTTAATGTGAAATGGTGGAGTTAGTTTTGAAATTACAAAATACCATTAATATACAGAATGTAAAACGTGACAATTAATATAATATAGGGGAAGAGAAATAAATAAATGAGCAAATACAAATCTAACCGCATGGTGTAGCATCAATTTTGACATCATCAATGGCAATATCCGAGTAGAAACCGTGTCCGATAGTGGCTCGAAATGCAAGAACGTAAAATGTATTTTCTCGTATTTCTGCTTGAGCAAATTTCCAATCAGTGTCATTTTTGCTTTGCTGTCCTTGTTTAGACCAATGTTTTGTAAATCTGAAAGAATTAACAAAAGTTTTCTCATCAGATCACAATAATACTTGGAACAAGACCAATTCGAATCGTTAAAATAGTGATTGATATATGGCAACGGTAGCCGCATGAGCTCTTGGGAGTTTTTATGCGGCTCCTTTCGCTAGCATTATTTAATATTTAAATTTCCCTAAAAGAAACTGTAGTGTAACAGTTAAGCGATAGAAGAAGTTTTTATCAATAATTAAGACAAAGTGTGTTTTAGTATAAAAAACGTAGCGTGGAATTTTAAATCGGTCAAGCGACAAATCGTACGTCACAATGGTAAAATGCTTGTTGCTGCATTGGCGGTATTGAACCTTGGTTGCGGTTAGTCTCAGTTACAGTGCGATATGTCCTCAAGTAAGAAGCAACGATGAAAAACAGAGTTGTCAAGTCAGAATGGGAAGAAGAATACGCATTCACTAGTCAACAAAATAAACCTTTTGCTTAATCTCTCATAAACTGCTAAGTCAAAATAAAGTCAGCAATGTTAAACGGCACCATGAAACGAATCACAAAAACTTCTTACGAGACCAACCTCGTTAATCAGCTATAAGGAAACACATATTAAATAGGTCTAAATTATTACTAAAAAGACAGTAGAAATTTATGGCATAATTTGGCAAGGAATCCGATGCAACAACTGAAGCTAGTTTTGTTATATCGTAGAATATCGTGCTAAACACCCATACTCTGACTGTGATTTTGTGAAAAAACAAATCTTGGTGATGTTGTCGCAGTCAATAGCCCAAACGCCGGTTTCGCGTCGCACTACACAAAGGCGCATCTCCCAAATTAGTACCAATGTAACAGCTACAATGCAAAATGATTTAATGAGCTGTAATATCGCTATCACATATTTCTGACTTGCTGCATGCTCTTATACTAAAACATTTTGCACACCCCGGAATGGTCTCAATCGCTTCCGTAAAGGATTATTTGGCTGTCATACAAACAGCGGGTTCAACATTTTAGGGCAGTTGTACAAGATGTATACTGTCACTCAAGTACAGTGTTTAATGCAACGATTTGTTCTTCAAGCGTAAAAGATTTAAATTGGCGCTAGCAACACTATTTAGCATATTATTTATTGTGATTTACAAAAAAGAATATATGCAGCGACCCAGCGACATAAAAATTAGCGTCTGTTTGAATGCGTTGTGCGTGTCTGCATCTTTAATTGTTTCCAATCGACGCGACTAGAGACGTGTTTGTAATTTCCGAGTCGCCTTCAAACATAATCCGTTACAAAGGGGATTATCATAAGTATAAATGTAGCGGTTAAATGCAATGCATCAAACATGATCCCAAAACGGAACACAAAATTTTCTTTAAGAAACTCATTTGTTTATGCAACATTGACTACAGTAGTCATATTTTAAAGTACGGTCGATTTGTAATACTGGATAGCAATATGATTATAAAAAACACCAGTTACCTTTGGCCCCCACGAGCAACGGAAAGCAACTCCAGTTTACCCATGTCTTTGCCTTGCATGTGATAATAAAAACTGATGCATGAAACGACAGATGGAGGAATGGGGACGCTTCTTATTACTGCTTTGTCCCCTGGTTTCCTCGGTGATGAAGCTTCGACATACAAGTACCAACCCACTGGAAAATGAGAATTTCTATAACGTGTTGCCTTTTTAATGACAAATATATATTTTTGAATGCCACATTACTCCCTGCAGTTTTCATATATTTTGAGATGTCTCGTTAGTCGTTACTGAATTATATTCAGAACATGCAAGGGTATGATAATCGTATTCCACAGTTGGGGCTTGGTACTTTACAATCACAATTGCCATAAACTATGTAGGTGAAGCCGCGTGAATTGAGAAATTACAAAATTTTCAGTTAGTTTTATATCTTAAGCGGTTTGTACTTCTGTTAGTATGATCGGCAGCAGGTCCGGTTCTTTCCGAATGAGTCTTCTCTCTGTTTAATTCCCAGTCGAACTGATCATTGAAATCCTGTTTCCATCCACACATGCTTTCTTGCTCAAAATTACATTCTATACCTCCTGTAAATGTAAAGCATTAAAACATTGTTAACGGCGCTTACACGTGTTCCATTATTCATTGTTTTGGCATATTACAGTAATTAGTGTATTCTCCGGATTTTGGACATAGGTAACTGAAATCTTTACGCCCTGTGTTAGGGTATGGATATACATCAGCTGTCCATTGTCAGTTGTCAAAAGCTAATATATTAATTGTGTTTTCATTTGAACTGAACACGCAACGTACCTGGTAATTTGTTAGGATTTCCCGCATCCCGAAGCCATGCTTTTGTTGTGGTGGCTTTAGTGGTCCTAGTTGTTGTTGTAGCAGTAGGTGTAGTTAAAGCAACTAGTTTCCCAAATGTTGGTTCCTCTGCACGACATCCCGTCAAACTGACGTCATCTATACCTGTGTCTCCCTGATAGTCCTTCCGTTCCGCTTCAATCACGATCTGTGTAATTAAATTAGTTTATTTATAGGGGAACTTCAACAAAAATATGAATACCAATCTATTAAAATTTCTACATACCATAAAAGATCCTTTCGATAGAAACGCTGGCGGGATTGTTATTTGTCCGTGCCACCAAATGTTTCCTTGGTTGCTGTTTTTCTCCCAAACAGGATTACCAAGCCTTCCCTTGTCTCTCGTGACGTATATTTTGAGTGGACCAATGTGTGGGCCATTCATGTTATACCAAAAATTGAATACCGGTGTCGCACCTTTGTCACAAGATATCAGAGGAGAAAGTAACTGGGCTTTGTCGCCTTCTACCCGAGGCCACGATGTTTCGATATACAAATAGCGGCCACCTGAATTTGTTATGATATTACAAAATTAAATTCTGTAAATTTGTTCAGAAGAATTTAACTGTGAAGATTTCATATTTTTTAATAATATTGTCACATGTTAATTAAACATACAGAAATTCAATATTCAAGTAAGTCATGTTTCCTTAAACTTAAATTTCATCAAAATATAATTTAAATACATATTTGTCACACAAAAATGTTTTCCATAATTATATCTTGAATATTATATTTACTGTGTTGCACTTCGATGTATAATTTGTCAAAAATTTACGATTTCACGAAATATCCTGCGACAACTATAAGTAACATGCAAGATGTTTCCTTTTGCCATCTGCGTATATTGCTTCGGGCGAATTACCGCCTGGTTAAATTTAGCATTTTGGTTTACAAGGATTGGTTTTCTAAATACTAATCCCTTCCGGTGGGTAAGATCGAGTTTTCTGGATTATACGACATTCCTTCCATATATGATAATTGAGAATAGTATATAAGTCAATATTTTAACAACAATTTCGTTACATCAAAATATTTTTCAGATAATGTGCTTATAAGATGACTGAGAAATTGCCCAAAATTCCTAAATTTATGAATACCAATTAAGGTAGTATATGTTTATAAAAATGAAATAATGAAAATATTAAATAACTAATTTGATTTGTTATAATGCACAGCGACTCGCTATCAGCTGCATACTCACTTGAGTTTCGCAATGTATGATCATGAGTAGGTCCTGTATTTCTGGTTTGTGTCTTCCCTCTGTTCGGTAACCAGTTGAATTGATCACCTGACATTTGCGTCCATCCACATGTATTCTTCTCAAAATCACAGTTGATGGATTCTAAGATAAACAGTGAAATAAAGTGATTATATTGTACATATATTCTAATAATACTGCTCGTTATACAATAAAAATGCCTCTGGTGAGGAGGCTTTTGGAATCAGGCGTTTCAAATCGACATGTACCCATCTGCCATATGTCTTTGAATAAGAAGCAACTTTAAACACCAATGGCCAGAAACGGCTTCGCATGACACCAAAATATGAACAGAGTTTCATGTAAAGCCATGTTTGAAAACTGCACAATCTTCATTATAAATATCAAATCCGACGAAGTATGTTGATGATAAGAGATAATTTCTTGGCCTTGACTTATCTCACCAGTCAATGTAAACATTCTACGTATATGGGGTTCATGACCACGACGAAAATGTTATCGAAATGATCTGGCTGCGCAGGAATAGTGCTTGTTAAAGTAAATTTGCACTCAAACACTTCTTCAAAATCACTTCTAGAGGTATATTTTATCCCATTTGTGATGTTGTCTTATACATTTTCTATAAAAATCAAATTTGGAATCAACAATGCTTCAATTGATAATTTGTTGTAATATACAATGATACCTATACGGATATTACATATATATGTTCCATTAGATTTCATTTTGAACATTTATATAGAAAATTAGGTCGAACAGAAGGTCTTGAAATACTTTTTTCAACTTTGTTTGGTTTGTAGACAGAATTGCATTATATCTCACGGTTGTAAATCCGCTAAATATTCATGAAAAGCTTTATTTTTTTTTTTAATTCTTTACTCCGAAGTAAAACAATGCGATTCTTCAGAATAGGGAAGAAACACTAAAAAACAACGATTTCATTTTCATTGACTTTTGAACTAAGTATAAATCACTGAACTCACTTCTCCCGCATCTTGTTGGCGACAACAAGATGTCGTCAATAGCGATATCGCCTCTGTAATTCTTTCCACGAACGCCCTCGAATATTATCTGAAAATGTATGTGTATAAGAATGTCACGGTTATCTGATAAAGTACCTGGAACAACCAGGAGAGTCGGTATTGTAGAATGGTGACAAAATGTCTTCGATTTTGTTTTTCATTGGTTAAGTAACCTTTTTTTAACTTATTCCACCGTGTGGATGAAATTCCCATATAATACTTCTCAACTAGCGTTTGTTATACTAGTTCACTTTTAGAATAAATAATGATTTTTTGAAGTCAAATCAATAGCATTTTGTTATTTATTATAATATTATCTTATTATGGGCCAGATGATGTATGACTCATTCGCACGAAAGCTCAAAGGAACATTCAAGTTAAAATATATATAATTGTCATGGGAATGATATTTGAAACAACAAACAACGAGATGTTAACCAAAAAATGAATCGGAATTTGACTTGAAACGACTTTTTTGCTATTCAGAATTAACGAAATCAAAAAACAGCAAACAACATTTTATAAGTTCAACTTTCTTTTCGCTCAGCTTCATTGACTATTCAAGCTCACAAATTTTGCGAAAAAATTTACTGGACTGGATATAATAGAAAACAATGTCCTCTGAAGCGACATCAGACATGAACACTTCAATGATGGCTTCTCTTTTATTATTATATGAGTTATCTGATCACCTATGAGCTTGATGATACTAAACTACTACTAGATTTAAATTGTTTTTAATAAATGTGTGACACATTGTAGCACGTACGTTTACGGGTTCCATAATGGTAAATTCAACCGACTCCTGGTTCCACCAGTCATTATCTTCACCCGCAAGGTTTCTGATGTTACTTCCAACCGACCATGGACCCGATAGGTGTGAAATTGTTTGTAATTTTTTTGACTTTCGACCTTTAAGATAGACGTTCAAATCCTTCACGTCAGAACCGTGCATGTTATGCCAGAATCTGATATAAAAAAGATCATCAGATAACATATTAATAGAAGAAGATGACTAACAATTTTTCCGGTTTTCAATAACTTGTATTGATAAAAATACAGCCAATAAGAATCACAACATTGAGGATTGAGGATAATACATCCAAATTGATTGATTAAAAAGACTGCTGAAAAAAACTATAAAACTTCGAAATCTGACATCACTGTTATATCTGCCAATCAATCGCTATCTAACCACATGTCAAATGAATTGGTCTGAGTGACTGTTTGCGACCTCTCCAAGAGTTTTGCTGAATTGCTTCATGATATTTATTTAAAAACGGCTCTTTCGCCATGTAGCACCACTTTAGGCCGTTCATTTTTCAAATACTTGTACGATCATAAAATATATTTGAAGCTTATACATGTAAACAAACATGATGTTAGATTGTGTCGTAACGTAATGATACCTTGTCGTAAATACCTTACTGAGTTGTTTTCCTATGGTCTCTAAAATGAATTTTCATGTATTCAAGAGCTAACACTCACAAGCTACCTCTGGTGGCATTCAGTTGAATTTATACATATGAACAAATATTGCTATACAAAAAAACAGTTCACGATCTTCCTTTCAGATTTAGATTAGTTTGTGATTGCAAATACATTGAAATATTATAGTTACGCCAACATATTATGTTGTTTTTTATTTTGGGCACTATCAATTTTATTTCAAAACTGCACCACGCCCTCATACTAAAATCGATGTGGCTTTTATGGATAATAAATATATCCTATCAATCGTGATTTTATTTTGGGATGAACATGTTCGTATATATAGCATGAAATGGTTTTCGATCTAGCTGACATAATACTATTAATATCTAATATCTGTTGGCACTTTAGCAACTGATTGAACTTGACCTTCAGATTTCGACTTAATACGTCATTTCAAAATGAGTTTTTTATCTAACGTTACTGAACAATTTCGGAGAGTGAAAATTATAGGCTTACGTCAAGCAAAATGTTCCTTCTTCAGACAGCAGTGGGCTGATTAATCTAGCATGATCACCGTTTTCTCGAGGGACGGATGTTTCAATATAAAGATAGTGTCCTTCGCCGCGGTCTGAAAAATAAATGCATTGATCGTCTTTTTTATATTATATACTTTTCCATCTTGATATTATCGTGAAAAATATAGAAAAAAAACAGTTTTTTTTTTTTAGTTTCAGGAGATTACTCAATTTCAAAACCCTTCCATTTCTCGTACTTTCAAATATCATTTGCTTTAAGCTCTGGTGGGCTGTTAAGTTTGCCGTTCGCAGGTATGTGCATCTAATACAGCAAAGTCAACTTGCTTCGCTCGGGTATACTAAAATACTAAGTGATTGAAGTAAAACATTTAAATGTAGAGGATAAAAACTGCAAATTTCATGTTTTGTGCAACATGTCGTGTAAATGTGCGGCAGACAGTACGTCATTATTTCAAGTGGTTAAACCTATTTACGTGTTAATTTTCGACCAAAGAAATTTAGCCGCAATCTGAATAAGACGTGAGTACAAAATGACAATGAACCAATGACAAATAAAGTGGTTGACTTTGAGAAAATGCTTTTACTATTTTTCATCATCTAAAGTTCAAACGTGACGGGAAAACAAGACAAATAGTCCTATTTTTGATAACAACATCTCGCTACATGCTAAGCAGGTTAGCCGAACTCGTGAGTCATTTGCAAATTTGAGTCGTCAGCAAATTGCAAACAAATTCGTTTTTAAGTAGTTAATCTATATTACTACATTTCGACAAGCATTACTCAATCGAAACATTTTAGAATGGAAAAATTTTACAAAGTAAGAGCTAACGCTACCAGCTATGTTCAAGATTTTGTTTTATACTGTATTGTAATGTAAAAAGATGGCAATATTCTCTCGAATCCATTCTTATATATCTATATATTATGTTATGAACGAATGACGTAAGAAATACTGACTTCCAATAGCTAAAGTGGTTCTTGGATATGAATTATTGGACACGAAGTGTACCTATGGATCGTTTTTTATTATGTTCTTGTTGTTGTTAGTATTTATCTTCTTATCATTATGAAAAAAATCGTCTTTCTCTTTAATTACTGGACCAATTGCTTTAATATTTTCAGGGGTTGAAGATTGCATTTTCCGCTAGAAGGCTATTACTTTACTTTATTTATTAAAATTAATGTGACCTTTACGGGATTCGTTTTTCTCTATTCAATTATTTCTATGGCAACAAAACTAAAACTTGTGGAATTGTTATGCATGCAAATGTGATATTATCAATACTTTAACAATAGGTGCATCATTTCACACAGTATTACCTCCTGCTTTTGTGTGATCCCATCGAGGCCCTGTTTCTCCTGTTGGTGTTTCGGTATTTGTTCTGAACCATTGAAATTCAGCTGTTGAGTCATTTTTCCAACCACAATATCCACTTTCAAAATCACAGTTGTACCATGCCGTGCCTGTTACTTTCCGTTCAGGCTTCCTCGTAGGTCGACGCATCCCTGAAAAAAAACATTTGTGATTCACAATTGCGTGCGGCAGTCATTTTCGTCATTCAACGTACATTTCGGAAAAACCTTTGCAAAGTTTAACCCGAATTTAATTGAAAGTTTCTTGTTACTCGAGTCATTTATTCCACTGCACCGTAATATTTGCCGATATGGACCTTATTGTTATGAGGGCAGCAAGGTCTACGTAAGTGATTTTGGAGAAAAAACTACTCCACCTCTACATTTGTCGAGATAGTTCGGGTAATATCTCGCATTTGAACAGTGTGCGCCAATACATTAATGTCAAAGATAAAATGTTGGAAATTTAATTTTGCGATAAATAGGATTGTATATGATCCTGATACACTGATTACAGATTCAGCAGCGTTTATATTCGAATTAATTGACTATTTTTGTGACATAGTACTTTTCTATCACTTGCTGGTTTTGTTCAGTCCTTTCGTAACACTGTATAGTTTTATTTTCCTTCTCTTGCCTCGATCTTTAACCCAGTATTTTAATTAACTCTTTTAAATCATTGAGAAGCAGCTAATGCTTGTTCAAAGATTTATAAAAGAAACGACGTGGTAAAAGTGTGAGAGATGAACACATTATGGTGTCTTTCTGATCGCTCATATTTCTCATGAACATCGCTTGCATATTTGAACTATTATTTCCGAATTAACATATACAGTATATGAAACCAGAGAAATGCTTTAGCCGTTTCATAATAAATCTCATTAGACAGATTCATCTGACAGGCATGGTTTAGAAATCAACAACTCGTTGCAATGATAAAATGATATGTCTGTCGTAATATCATATATAATTGTGGAAATGTAACCTGTTGTGAATTTAACGTGATAACGTTGGTGTTAATCGGAAACTTTTGAGACGTATTTTAGCTAGATCATTTCTACCCATTTATCACTCATCTTGGTTTCCCATTCCTGAAGACTATAATAATTAATTTCATAAAAGTTTCATTATTTGTAAACTGAACTTTATTTTGATTTTTTCGAAAGATTGAAATCTAAATCCCAATAGTCTACCCAACATATCACGAGTGTGGGCAATAGAAATGCACTTAAGTTGAGACTTAGTGGGACGTAAGTCGAATGTGGCGCAACAGAGACGCAATATAGTTGAACCGTCACAGTTACAGTATAATGTTGTTGTTCAATGGTGCTCAAGGACACCTTAGGTTCATAAAAGATTATTTTCTGAAGAAATTTTTAGACATGTTGAATTTGGATTGATATAAGTGGAATGTTCGAGTTTCAAAAATACACGCCCATAAAAACTGTTTTAGGCCATTTCTCCAAAGGAAATCGTATCTATTTTGGTGACATCAAATTGTCAGGGTCATTAAAACATAACGAAATAGTGGTAAGATGTCGAATTGATTTTGTCAATATGCAAAACGAATATGAGTTTTGAACTATTTTTGTTGTCATCTTACAATAGACCATGAAAAGATTACGAATAATTTTCCACGAAGAAAAAGTTCAATTATTCGCGAAATGGTAATATACATATTACAGTTTATATATATTATTTTTCCAAAACCTGCTTGCTGGAGACACGGATGGCCTTCTATTGTGCAAAAAAAAATTTGATTGAGAAACAGATCTAACCTCGTGTGAAGACATGTAAATAATTGTGTTTATATGGCGGGTAAGCCTATTTCATAGCTTCAATTAAAATTGCGTTTAGAAAGCTTTCGGTTTTGTACTTTGTGGTTCATACCGTCCTCCTGCTTAAGACGTTAGGACGTAAACTCAATCAAAACCCTGAACTTATAGTCGAACTCCATGTATTAACCATGTGGATCTAAGCATCATGCCATAGCTTGTTCATTTATTTACAACTAGTGGTTTTTGAAATTTCTGTGTTATAAAGCGATTGTGGTGTTTTTTACTTTATCTAGAAGAATATGATTGGGACATATTTCGGAAAATATGGAATCTGATAATAAAACTAATTACATGTAGCTTTGGGCGATCATACAAATGTGAATATGAAATTTAGCGTGCTTCAGGTACACGTACTTGTTCGTGATTGATTATAACCCAATATACATGTTCAATATATATATAATCGATCCTGATTATATTACCTCCATATTTTTATAGGAAGTTAATTTGTCCGTAATTATTCCATGTTATGAATGTTTATACTTTAAATACATATTGAGTAACGTAGATTCTCTTCAAATGAAATGCGTTCTGAATGTGCGTAGACACAATTTGGTGACGACATAGCAAAATTACGAAAATGACTCAAATTAAAGAGTCAAAAATATACGAAACACATTACCTTGAAGTCGTACAGGTCTGCGCTTTGCACCAAATGTAGTTGATAATCCATAAATAAAAAAAGTTATTAGTAAAGGCACAATAAAGGAAGTTCTCATAATTACAGTTAGTTATCACCTGTGCTATTCAAGAAAAATTATTTCAATTTTAAATTCTGTAACATATATAAATGCCTCAATTAGCACTAGTTTTATTTGGTAACACATGGGCTAATGCTGGTGGTATTATCATTTTGAGGCAATTTGATTCTTTATCCTGTCATGAGGCATGTCGCCGAATCATATTTTATGTATCACCAACTTACAACATTCAATTTTAATTATGAAGCTATCCGCTAGTTGAATAAAATATTACACACGAATCGACTAATTGGATCACAAAAATAGATAATATTTTCAATTATCATTATGTTCACAAGACAAAATGAATTAACTCATTAAAATCGTATAAGGAGGAGAGGAATAACGAGAAACGTAGTGAAGCATAATGATATTCGATAGTAATTGCAATCGCATAAGTTGGTTACAACGCGACAGATATGTATTCTGGTAATTACATTTCGAGCTGCTTTCTGCCACAGTATCGTACTCGCCATGAATATTTTAAGAGCCTTTTTCCAAGCGCTTGCTTGAAGTCAATTGTCTTTCCATTTCTAAGCCAATTCTACTGACATAAAAACTAACTATCACTATACACGATCCAACCTTAATTAGCAATTTAGTTGATTAGCAATTTCATTTTATATCGGATTCTGAGAGCTCAGACTGCGTCATACCACCTATGGGAATTTCAATTCGTTTCCCCATGCCGTCTGATACAGGTGAAACTTACTGCTTATATGATGTCATCAACACTATTCAACATTTTTGCCTAATTATGGCAATACACTGTTCTTATACTGACGCATGTCGTTTTAAATTCCATTCTCCCGCTGTCTTTTTGAACAAACATCCAATTTTAACGATTCCTATGTCTATGGCACAGTCGACAATAATAATTTCTACACGCTGAAAAAATAATAGCTTGCCGTAGGCTGATAAAATAAGGTTTCGAGTATATCGTATCAATATACGTGCAATATAATATGCTTTAGTCTACGAGAATAAAAAAAACATACCGAAATTTATCTTTAATTACTTATATTGAAGATAGTGAAGTAAGTTTTAATATCTATTGACGATTGTAAACGGAGAAATTTAACAAATTTATGTGATTTGAAAAAATAAACTTTTGCTAGGAAACTCTATTCTATTCGTCTCTATCACAAAATAATTTTAAGTAAAACGTCAAAAAAAATTGAAAGTCGGCAATTTTGTAAACGCTGACACATACCAAACAAGAATGCATTTACAAGAGTTCGTGAAAACGTTTTCATAACATTTTTTTTTTTAATTTAAATGTCTCACTAAGCACGAAGTAGAAATTGCTTCATGACTCGGAAATAAGTGAAATATTGTTTCCTAATTCGTTACTGTGTATTTAGACAGATCAAAATTTCCATTCCTCGCATGTATCAATTTACAGTTTTTAAATATACATGAAAGCGTCTTCAAATGGCCAACCTCCAATATAGTATGATTAAGAGCAATATGCTCCATTATTATAGTTAATTTAAACTTTTGATCTTTTAAATTTATATAGGTTTCAACATGGAACTACTTGAATCTAGTTCTAAACCATTATTTTTTAGCTCTTCAAAATAAGAAAAACTGACAATTCATATAATCCTGCCTTTCAAATTAATGATATATATAACAAATACCTACACCTGTCTGAGCTAAAGTGAGACATTTATCACTTCTCTGTCTGCGCCTTCTGTATAATTCAATATAAATACTTGGATTACTCGGTATAACTATCTATTTACAGCTTACAACGTATGATAAACGATGTTATGTATTTGTACAAGAATGAAAACCTAAGAAAGTAAATTTAGGCTGTTTTAGCCGGACCGAATAAGTGAACTAGGCAGGCTTAGTCGTCAATGTGCCCTAGGCCATTTAAAAGGGCTGATTTTGTATCGATTGTCATATAATGACCTATCATTAAATCGCAGAACATTTATAATAAAAAGAAGTATAAAATCAGTGTGTAAATGTAAATCAGTCAAAAGTCACTATTCAGCCAAATAAAATAAAAAAAAATATTTAGAAAGCATGTCAAAGGTTGACAGGTAAAATACATTCTCACGTGAGAAATCCAGACTTAAAATTCATTACATCCGTGATTAGCTATTAAATTGTATTTGGCCGACCTTCTTAGATAATTATAAAAGTTCATAAAATATTTCAGTCTATATAATTCCGCTAAGAATAATCTTAATTACTAATATGACATCCACGCAAGGAGCAACTGACCTTCTGTGATGACTAGAAGAGCTCATATTATAATTCATCAAGTCACATGTATAAAGAGTGATTAATGTATTTTACATCATTCTGTTTTCAATCTGTAATATATCACCATTCTTTGATATTGGCGCTACATCATATTATTCGAATGTTGAAAAATTCTCACATATGACGTTATCTGCTAAAACCCGAGTCGTCGGAAATTAAAAACTTAATTAAAGTAGATTAATTCGTTTAAAGCATTTCAGAAGGTTAAAAAGTTTTAAAATGATGGCGTTGTGTAAGCCTGTGAAATGTTGGAGAATACAAACGCTATATTTTAAGGAATCTTCCGTCAGTTTCCTAAAAACATACCATAAAACTCTTTTCATATTTCTATTCATACAATATAACACATAACAGGGAGTTAGTAACAGAATTTATCTTCGAAATATACTATTAAGCTGACATCAATCCAACAAAAATAATGTTTGGTTATTATCGAATGTTAAAACTGCGACAAAACCCCTGAAACAAAATTCAGTCTTATAAGTACGCGGACATTGAGAATATTAAACAATAACATATATTTAATTTGTTAGGAATGGAAAAGCACGCGAAATAACATCGAGTGTAAATCACGCAAGGCATCATATTTTCAGTCTTGTTTCCAAAATACCATAAGCGGGTATACGAAACCACATAATTAAAAATTGATATTTAGAATAAACTAATTCGAAACATCTATTCATCTATTTGCGAACGTTAGCTGTTATTTAGGGCAAGAGTGAAATGCATAAGTGGCCACTCTGAAAGTAACCAGCGACAAAATGAAAATTACAAATCGGGAGTTTCGGTGGAAAAATCACCATTTACTGATGAATACTTTCCATCTGTACTGCGTACGTCGGAAATCAGCTAATTTTAAGCTCGAAACCACACAGCAGCAATCCGGTGCAAGACAAAAGTATCGTGACCGTTAGACTGTTTTCGGTCACTTTCATACTATTTTCTCAAAAGTTAAATGGTGTTACTATTGATGAGAAAACCGGATCTGCACCACAGGTCGCATTTTTTTGACGCAATAATAACACTGACTAAAATCAAATAAAGTAAAATTATACAGCAATGGCTATACACGCTAACGGGTTGCATCAAATGTATAAATATTTGAACTTATACAGTTGTGTTTTACAATTTGCTTTAAAAATTTATCATATGTTAATTCAATGTACGCATCTAAAATGAAATATGACAAAACTTAGTAAAAGTGGAAATAGTCAACATTATTATCGAATATTTTAATATTCATTGATTGATATAGACTTGTCTATAAAATCCTTAATAATGATAGTAATGTAAAGTACCTTAAATATATTTAGTGTCCGTGTTCATAGCTACGACATAATCTATTTATACCACAACATGACAGCATGAACGGCGCCATTCCATGTAATTTTCGCGACCTATAATATAGATGCTAAAAGCATTTCAATTGATTACATAGTGACTTTTTAATACTTATATTTTATGATCTGTACTCAAAGTCAAAGGTAAAGGTTTGTAACAGTGATATTAATACACAACAGGAATATTAATATTTTGAACGAATACAGCTTGGCGCTCTAGTCTAATCAATAGGATCGAATTTTTCCAATCAGCATTGTCAAGTCCGTAGAATTCAAGAATCTTTCAAATATAATAATTACTGCTTTTCTTTGGCTCAATTTTTGAGTCAAATTTAGAGCTGTTTCCCATAAATACATTATATATTCACGAATTATGACATCATTATGTAATAGTCGGAAACATTCTTGCTTGAACATATCAATACATTCCAGTACGCGAGAAAATCGTATAGATCATCACAAATATTCAACGTTATTGAAATTACATGATTTCCGACGTTTTTCCCGTAATGAACTAAAACTGGAAATGCTGTGATGTGCACTCGTCGCCAAGGGTTCCATAAATGTTGCCATTCGAGCACATTATGCATATATGTTACAGAAACATTGAGTCAACATTTGTGTGTTAATAATCAAATGCCACGTTTAAGTTTGTCGAGGCGTATCTAAGCTTGAACAATTGATTGTGCATTCGACTAAAAATAAATCGCTGTTAGTTGTGTTGATATATTTATCCAAATTGCTGTTAAGTGATATTAATAACACGTGAATTTATTTTGCCCAAATCACGGGTAACGTCTAACAAGATAATTATCTTGTATAATACGTGTTTCAGAGAATTTTCTCCATATTGTGAAACAATTGACTATTATTATTCGAATAAGAAAATTTTAATTTTATGTCGTATGTAGTTAAAACATGTCAAACATTTATAACGCTTCTTTTCCATTTTATTCCACTGTATATATCAATATCTTATTAATTTCAACGCGTGTTTTAAAATTTTATGAAGCCGGTCATAAAAAAATTCACGAATTTACAAAATTAAATAAGAAAATGTAGGAAAAGCTATATAGAAAAAAAGAAGATCCAAATCACTATTTTGAGAAAATTTTTTTTTAATTTTATAATTTTTGGAAATATTGATATATTAGTTAATTAACAACAAAACAAATTGATCTTATATATTGCACTTCAAATATTTCGGTAATCTATAGCAAAGAATAAAAATTTTTGGCAAAAAAAAACAAAGACGCAAAATGTAGTTGAATGTTTGAATTCATTATGTTTGCCATACAAAAAATACAACTTAGTTCACTGTTAAGCCACTATGCTTGAAACACACACTGAAGCAAATACAATAAAAGATGTGAAGTGGTGAAGAATTATTTTACATTTATAAAATATTGTATCGCATATTCCAATAGTAAAATTTGTAGTAATTGCAAATAATTTGGTATATCTTTCTGTAGTTATTCATCCTTATCTATTTGGACGCAAACAACGTGTCAAGCCATAACATGAGTCATTTAATACCGGTTAAAACACCGACCTAGATAAAATCAGTAAATACTGAAAAAGAAAATTGTGAAATGTGTATATGACATTTACACCTACGACGAACAATAAAATGAAAGTTGAATCCCAAAATTTAAAAAAAAACTTTTGGTCGATCACTAACCACACATATGGCTATCATATAGCTATGTTATTGTCAAATGTGTATATGACGTTTACACCTACGCTAAACAATAAATTGAAAGTTGAATCCCAAAATTTAACAACTCCCTTTAGTCGATCACTAACCTCACAGTGCTATCATAGCTTAGTCATTTGTTAGGTTCCTTTTGTTAATGGTGCCGATATGAGACAATAATCTTTAAAACTTCTGCCTGAATATCGTACTGTTGACAATTTTTCATTGTTTTTATTAAGTTTTGTGTTAATTTTTGCACGTATGCTGGCTTGTATAAGTCTTACGATCATGAACGTGAAATGGCTGATTGGTCTGTTACTTTCAATGCGGTAACGAATTTGACTACAGTTTATGATTCTTCCCACGCCAATCTTTGCAAATCAATCGGTTAGTCGAGCGATTATTGGACACGTAGTGGACCTATGGATCGTTTTGTTATTATACTGTTGTTCTTGTTCTTTGACATAAACAGGTATGGTACTGGCAAGTTACCGTACCGCATATGATTTTCGAGGAATTGATGATAAAATATTTTGTTTCGCCTTACGTTTCCATATATTTGTTATTGAAAACGATGCAGATGAATAGTTCGCTCAATGAAACAAAAAGTGCATTTAGAAATCCTACAAAAAAATTATGTCGTTAAGGATTTGGCATATTGTTGTTGTTCGAAGTCGAATATTAAGAAAAAGTTACTCTGAATAATATGAGTATATATGTAGTAGGCCCATTTTTCTAGATATGAAGTTTGCGGCGGCGAAAATAGCCCGCATTAGCCAAACGAACATAAATGATGCGGCATGGGATACTCGTAGCATAACTTGAATCTCTGTTGCAAAGCCGATCCCACCCATAGAGAAATACCAGTAGTTTTTTAAAATTCATTTTAAGTTCTTCATCGTGTAGACGGAATGAAAAAAAATATTTGTAACGTAGGACAGTGGTATACAAGTATGAGATTCTCAAACCAAGAGTTGAGATAATTGTCTTTGATTACATGCTTTCAGCAGTCAGTTATAGCCTAACTGATTATAGAAGTGGTGCTAAATCTGAACATAGTGACAATGAGCAAAAAATGGATCTGAGGGTGACGGATGAGGTCCATGCATAAATCTGCCTCATACATAACCTAGGAGAATGTACCGCTGAAAACCAGTGGTACTGAAGAGAAAACGCGCCATGGGCAATATAAATAAGTAAACTCACACGGCAGTGTGCAATAGCAGCGCCGGGATAACCAACAATGGGATCCAGAACCCCGTAATGAATTAATTCAATGCAGTGTACAACAATGTCTTGTACACTGGACCAATATGAGAATATTATTGATAAAAAATCAGATTCAGATAAACACGATGCCAGATAGTTTGAGTCAGCGATCTTAAACATTTTTCATCGTGTTACACCTTTTACAAATTTTCAAAAACTCTGTACACCGTACAAAGACCAATGTTCAAGTATACTCAGAAAGTAAAAAAAAACTAAAATCTAGGTGGTGGGTCAAGTTATTATAAATGAAATTTTAGTTTTCACTGGCAAAGCAATTACTTAATCACGCAAAATTTGTGCAAAATACGTAAAAACGAAGGTAAATTATTGGCTTATTTTTCCATGTATAGTTTCGGCAATGTGGCCATAACGGGGATTTAGTCATTTCTCAAATGCTCCTAGCATCAGAGAATCAAAATTTAAGTTGCGCTTTTTGACTCGATTTTAACATAACTAAAAAAAAACTTTTCACGCAAATAAGTTGAAAATGAATTAAATCTGATAGGCTACTGTACGCTGTACCCCATTTGAAAACGGCATGAATTTGACCTGCCCCTGACGTCAAACGGAATAATATTTAATGTTAACCAAACGACGTGCATGGTAGCCGACATCACCAACCCCGACACGTGCCTGCTATTTATTATCTATATAAATCGTGATGTAACAGTATACTCAAGTCGGTTCTTTGCGTAAATTATATTTCCTTGCTTTTAAATGCCGAAGTTAAGATAAATTAAAACATTGTGCCAGCTAATTAACGAAACTGATTACAGAATCAGGAGAGTAGACAAAGCCTTAGATAAGGTTTAAAACGAACAGATTTTTGGTGCTATGAAAACAGTAGAAAAATTTCTGTTTCCCTACATTAACAGGATAATATATTTGGTCTAGTCCAACGGTGCACAACCTGCAGCCGCCGTGACAAAATAATGCGGCCGTCCACATACAAAATTCTATAAAAAGAAATAAATAAAAAGTTCGAAATATAGGATTTGGCGGCTATGCTGGCGTATATTAAAGAAAATCAGAAGCACTACAAAAAGAATGATGAGCAGCTTGTGCAGAAGTTTAAAGACGAGGAAAATCCGCTGGACACATGGAAAGGCGCAGTTGAATATCCAGTGCTACAAGAGTTGGCAAGAAAAACTCTCGTTCTTTTTGGATGCACTTAGACGTGCGAAGCAACGTTTTCAAGAATGAAGTACCTGGAGAATGACTACCGAACCAGATTGTTAGACGTCAATCTGGAGTCTGAACTAAGGCTGATGATATCCAGCCAGTTACCTAACTTTGCAAGTTTATATGCCCACATGCAAGACCAAGGGAGTCATTAATTTGCTACAATGCTTTGAAAACTTTTATAGAATAAATTCATTAAAATATTTGACATTTTAATACACTTTTGGAGACAAGAAAATGGGGACGACCGCCCTTCCCCCCTCCGCGACTTTCAATTTTTTTTTAAAAGTTGATGTATAGCATCAACTCTATCATTAATTCGATAGACAAACGACATGGGCCACACCCCTTTGTTGTTGTTTCGAGGACGTAACAAGTTCGTACCAGAATGGCAAAGGCGTTGCAGTAAACCCCGAACGTAAGTAATGTCAGAATGTGATTACAGATTACGACATATGAAGAAAATTCATAAAAGTGTTATGTGATGGGAAGCACCCCCTCCCCAAATGGAAAGCTGGATAACATAATGTTTTGTTAATTTTACCAAAACGCGTAAATGCTGTTCTTCTTCTATGCTTTTGTGCCGGCGGATCCGTATGCATATAATGCAAGAATGCTGTAGCAAGAGTAAAGATAACTATTCTAAGTGATTTAAGCGTCTTGCTGCACACAAACACAGATATATTTCTGTTACGTTTCGTTCGACCAAAGTCAGACTTCTTCAGACATACAAAGTTCAACTAGAACACTGGTTCTCAACCAGTGGGCCATGGTCCACTGATAATGCACGGAATCATTTTGAGGTCAGATCAGTAATTGCTAGAGTTGTTGACTGAAAAAATTGATTCGCTAGGAAAATCAGCTTCATGGATCTTGGAAAAGCCATGATATCTATTTGCAAAACATTCCTCGCTGTTGAAACGCATTGGGACGCAATAAACACGTTCTATGGTTAGATGGCAGTAGACGTGGGATATTAACAGAATAGTAATCGTAGCGTAATTCAAAACTTGGAAATCAGTTGAAATGGCAAAACGAAAGTTCATTGAAAATTACATTCAGTATGGATTCACACCATTTCTTGAAAACAGAGAAGGTAAAGGACAGTGTGTTTTATGTTGTAACGTTTTTGGACACCATTCATTGAGGCCATCAAAACTAAAACTTCATCTGCAAAAACTTGATCCAGATTACGAGGATAAAGATGTTTTTTTAAACCAAAGTAAGATAGTGTTAAGCGTTTGGATTTAACAGCATAATTCCAGCAATATTTCCGCAGCATTGTTGAACCGTCTTATGGAATAAGTTTTATAAACGCAAAGTCTTTACTTGTGGAAGAATCAAAATGAAATTACAAAAATTCCTTCTTCAAACGATACTGTAAAGAGGGGAATTTCTGATTTGTCGGAGAGTATAAAAAACAGCTAATTACGGAAATTAAAAATTCACAATTTGAATTATTGTGAATTCAACTCGATGAAACTACCAATGTTGCCTCTTCCTTTCACCTTTGGTGTTTTGCAGAAACATGTCAGAAAAAGACATAAAAGATATTATCCTGTTTTGCTCTGCATTGGAGACCAACACAAGAGCTGTGGATGTGGTGGAAAGAGCTGTTTTTTTTTGACCAAGAAGAGCTCGCCTGGGATAATGTTTGTGGTATATTGGAATTGAAAGAATTTCTGAACAGACAGGGAGAATACGAATTAAAATCTTGTTTTGCGGATAGTAGCTTCATATCTAAACTTGCTTATTTAGTTGATATTTTTGACCAATTGAACCGCTTAAATCTCAAGCTACAAAGAAGAGATACAACTGAACTCGACTTCGTTGACGCCCTGAATGCGTTTATGGAGAAGCTAGAAAATTGGAAGCAAAAAATTGAGAGTGGAAATGTTGCAATGTTAGAAGCTCTTTCATCTATGATTGTTGAAAGTAGTACCCTGGACAGGAATCTGTCATCTGAAATATTGCAACCAACATCTTGTCTATCTACAGAAAGAATTTTTGGCCTATTTCACCGGAATATCTGATGTTGAATTGGAGCTGATTAGAAAGCCGTTTACAGTAGCCTACCAGTGGAGAAAGTTGCTGATGACTGGATTTTCCACATTGGTGCAGATCAAAACAAAGGCTCGGACTGACTCGATGTCGAAAATGGTATGCGTCGTGCACTCTCTTCAACGCCACCAAAATTAATGTATTAATCGATAATGTTCAGCACCAAGTATCTCACTAATGCTCAGTTGAATAAAAAAGCCATTCGGAAATATGTTCTGCTGCTATTTGTTCTAAACTTATCTTGTAGTTTTTTTAGAATAAAATACTCAGTGGGTCACAGAACTTTTGTGAAACAAAAAATGGGCCACGAAAGAAAGAAGGTTGAGAACCAGTGAACTAGAATAAGAAAAGCAGTTGTATCGTAAATATGGTTGTATGCATATTCAAGCAATCAGTGTAAAGCTATGGGAGTTACGCATGTTATTACGCAAGTTACGCAATTATTAAAATCGGCACATTTTTGATTAAATAACAGCGGCTGACTGAAATAAAAGGTCATTGATGAGATCTCTTTGTTATGTTTAACAATTGAAGTCTAAATTAAATAATGGTGTTTTTTGTTTCTCAGCATTGAAGGATCCAAACCAGAAAAGTCGTCCGCGTGTCAATTATAATTTAGTGATTGTTTGTCTGTTGGTGACATATCTGCCCATGTATGATCCAACTCCGAGAAGAACTTTAAGTACAGAAAATGAGTTACACAAAGAATAAAAAAATTGTAATTGTTCTAAACTTCCTTCATATTCATCCCTTGTGGCTTATGTGACCCGAAGAGATGAATGAAATGAGATTCCTTGCTTTTTCGATAAATGTGGTCATCACATCGTTTTTCAATGCCAATGACGATGATCAGTAATCAGTAATCAGTAGTTTATTTTTTCACCACACATGAAATACACTAAATGCATACGGAATGTAAAAGGAAGCAAGAACGGATAATTCGAGGTGAAAGGAGTCGCGAAAACCAAAATTGGTTATCGAGCAGCGACACCTGAGCTAAAGTCTAATAAATGAATCATAAAACAATGAAAAAAGTCAAACAATGAATAAAAGAATATAAAGAAGTGAAAAATCGAGACGACCTGAATCCAAGAGACGCTCGAAACACAGAAAAGCAAAACCAAAAACGACTCCAAGCACAGATGTGCGAGTAACTATGGGAACGGCAGCAGGAATGCAGTACAGTGCGATGACAGGATACCGAACCGATATCGCAGCATTATGGAATTGATAGTTATTTAAACAGATTTTAAATATATCCCGGTAGGGATATTATGCCAATAACACGGCGTAATCATAGTTATAAATGTTCGCCAAGAGTTCAAATAAGGTGCAAGTAGATTGCAAGTGCTGGGGTAAGTCGAATCGTCATTAATACATTACAGATGAAAATTATTCTAATCTGTGAAAAACAGGTTAACTCAACAAAGTAGATGGGGGTAACAATAAATAGCCTTGTAAATTAGTAAGCATACCGCTTGGAATCGTTGAGAATATAGAATGAACACGATATGTGTATGAACAGATGGATGAAATAACCACTGCAGCACTGAGTATCAACAGTGCTATATATATACAAATTTCGAAAATGCAACAAAGCACAATAATAATAAAGTGGTAAATATGATAGCTTTTTACAAAAATATATACGAGATAGTTATTAAATTGTATTTGGTGAGAGACCAATATCAAGGATCATGAGTGTAAAACTGTTCAAAGATACTGCTAACACTATACGATTAGGCTATGAGCAAAGTTGAATTACCATTGTATGACAAATGGCCATACAGCATAATATAGTGCAGAGCATGCACTATGGAAGTAGATGATAATAGAGAAGCAATTTAAATATTTACATGAAACATTCAGATTCACTTATTACAGGTACTGTCGACTCTGCAGCTCTGGGAGGTTGTGGACCTAGTCAAGTATTCTGCTGGCAGTGCCGAGGGAAAGTCAGTGAGCACATCAAACAGATGTGCTGGAAAAAGACAGGTAGGATGAAAGCATGAATTTTTTATATTTTATTTTGAAAGTAGCATATGTGGAGTCACGTAAACTTTGGGGAATGTTATTCCAAATTATTACGCCTTTGTATTTCAGGGAATTTTGAGATTTGCTCAGCGAAAAGCGAGGTACAAAAAGATTGGATTTGGTCGAAGAGCGTGTGTTGTGTTCATGCACAGAGGTAAGCGAAATAAAATAATTGTCGAACGCTGTGGGCAAGTAATTATTCTGAAATTGGTGCATAACTTTGGCAATCTCTAGAGTATAAATGTCGGATAGTTTCAACACCCTGGTTTTATGGTAAAGGGTGTTTAAGTTTGTACGAATAGACGCTCTGGAGAGAGTTCTAACAGCTTTATTCTGTAAGACCTCCAATTTGTGAATGTTGGTTTGTGTTGCAGAGCCCCATGCAGTTATAGCATATTGGATGTGGGATTGAAAAAGAGCAAAATAAATGGTTCGCAGGGTAGCATCCTGCACATAATGCCTAAGTTTTCCCAAAATCCCAACAGACCTTGACAATTTCTTGTGCATCTCGGTAATATGAGTGTTCCATTTTAAGTTACTATCTATATAGAGCCCGAGGTATTTAAAGGATTGAACAACTTCCAAAGCAACCCCCCTGATTTTGATTAACATGTTGGAATGTTTTTTAATTGATTTAGGACTGAATAGCATGACTTTAGATTTTTTTACGTTCACAGTGAGTTTGTTGCATAACATCCACTCAATTATTTTATCTATTTCAGTGTTCATAGTATTTTGGAGCGTGGTTGAATCTTTGGCACTGGCAAGCAAGCAAGCGTCATCGGCGAAGAGTTTTGTTAAAAGATTCGAACAGTTCGACAAATCATTTATGAAAAGTAAGAAAGCCAATGGTCCAATGACCGAACCTTGGACAATTCCACAGTGGATGGGCAACATCGGAGACCTATGACATCCTACTTCAACAAACTGTGATCGACCACTCAGGTAATTACATAATAGTTTGCATGCGTTACCTCTAAAACCACAGTGTGTCAACTTTTGGACAAGAATTTGATGATCAACTGTGTCAAAGGCCTTCTTTAAATCCAGGAATGCACAACAGACAGACTCCCCTTTATCAATTTTTTCATAGATAAATGAAATAAGATCTAGGATGGCATGGGAAGTCGAGTGATTGGATTGAAATCCGAATTGGCATTTGTCGATCAGATTGAATTTGTTACAGAAGTTGAGCATTCTTTTATAGACTAATTTTTCCAGGACGATGCCAATACAGGGTAGAATTGAAATTGGCCTATAATTTGAAGGATTATTTTTGTTGCCACTTTTGAAGATGGGTATTACCCTAGCAATCTTCAGAGCGGAGGGAAAAATTCCTAAACTAAATGATAGATTAAAGAAATGACTCAAAGCTGGGGATATGCTGTCTGCGACTAATTTTAAGAAAAAAGAAGGAATATTATCATGCCCAACTGCTTTGCCTTTTTTCAGGTTCATTATTACTTGGTGAACTTCTAAAGGTGTTGATGGCTCCAGAAAAAACGAATTCTGTGTAGGAGCACCCAAAAAGGCTTTGAAAGATTTCGTACTGTGTGGGACATTATCGGCAAGTCTCTTTCCTACGGATGAAAAAAATTTATTAAATTCAACGGATATCGCGACAGGGTCTGAGACTATGGTACCATTTTCAAGCTTCAGTTCCGAGATAGTGGTTTCATCATTGGACCTTACTTTGATGATGTCATTTATAGTTTTCCAAGTGCGTTTAACATCGCCTCTGTTGTTCTCTAGGATGTTATGGTAATACATTTGTTTTGATCTCCTCTGCAAATGTGTCAAAATATTTTTATATTTTTTAAAGTGGAGACGCTGGGATAAATTTCCTTTCAGGAACTTACTTTTGAACATCTTGTTCTTATGTTTAATGGAATTACGAATTCCTTTAGTAATCCAAGGTTTGGAATAAAATTTGTTTTCTCTACGAGAAAATGGTCTTAATGGGGCATGCTTATTGATTAACCACTTGAAGTGACTAAGAAAAGTATCAAATGAGCTATTGAAGTTTACTTCAGATAATATAACACTAGTATAATTATTGCACATTGACTCAACTTCTAGCCTGAACGAGTCAGCACAAAATTTAGTCATGTCCCGTTTCATGCGAGTGTTTGTTTTAACGTTACTATTAGTTGCTGGTATTGTGCACATTATGGGAAAGTGGTCGGTGAGATCACTGAGCAAAATAAATGACGAAGTGTGGGAATCTATGATATTAGTGTAGATGTGGTCAATTAATGTGTGGGAGGTTGAGGTCACTCTGGTTGGTTTGGTGATAAGTGGACATATGAAATTGGACATTAGCATATCAAGATACTTGGTAGTAGGATTGTCACAAGAATTAAAAAGATTTATATTAAAGTCGCCTAATATAATAAATTGCTTTTTAGCCATCGCCAGCTTCTCAAATAAACAAGACATTGCTGTGGTGAATGATGGTATATTATTTTTTGGATGTCTATATATTACACCGACAACAAGATTTTGAATTTTTGAGGTTGGTTGGAAATATTTGAGTTCGATCCACAAGTCCTCACAGTTTGGAAGGCAAAGGCTGAAGTCAGTGCATAAATGAAAGTTTAGATTGTCCCTAATATAAAAACCAACACCGCCTGCGCGAGTAGAGGAGGGAGCATGAATGAAAGTGTAACCAGAGATATCAATATTGACAACAGCAGTTTCACTCATGATCCTAGTCTCGCTTAGAGCAATAATTTGAGGTGGAATACAAAAATTTGAAATTAGCTCAACTAGATTATCGGCATATTTTGCCAATGATCTGATGTTATGGTGCAATATAATAAAGTCTGTTGCTAGAAAACTTGAAGTTACTCTATTGATATTGGATATTTCAAGGTATCGACTTGCAATAGAAGGAATTTCGGGATGAAAATTGGTTGATTCCCAGGTAGGATAAGGATCACTCATAGATGAGGAATGCTAATGGGTTCGAATTAGATAACATTAGGTTGGTTGAGGCGAGGGGGGCAAAGTCATTAGATGGGCTATTCCAATGGGGACTGAAGTTATTTAAACCAATAACATGATAGAATAATTTACTAGGATATGGCAGTAAAAAATTAAATGGACTCATCTTATTTTATCAAGATCTTCATCTTCAGTTATGGATAAAGTGTTAGTGTCTTTGTTCTTTTTTATCAGCACTTTGCCATTTGATGTCCATAGGAAGGCGTAACCACATTGTCTTTTGAGAATTTTCGCTTTGTAAAATAAGTTCTTGTTTTTGTCGGTCAAATTCTCAACAACAAATGCTTTAGATAGGTTCCTTATGGATGTTGAATTGGTAGCGGTTTTGATCAAGTGACGATTTTTGAGAATTTTAGCTCTGATTTTGCGATTGGTAAATTTTGCGACAATCGGTTTATGGATGTTGGAATTTCGCGTTGGACAACGATGTGTTACAGAGATGTCAGATGGTTTGATGTCCACGTGGATGATCTTTCCAATTTCTGTTATCAATTTGTCGGTGTCCTCATTTTCATTAGGTGCGATGCCATGAAATTCTAGATTATCCAATCTAGATCGGCGCTCTTGTTCCTCAATTTTTTCTGTGGCATAGTATAATTCGTCCTCCAAGTCATAGACCAACTCTTCTAGATCTCTTATTTTTTTGCCATAGAGCATAAGTTTGTCATCTGTTATTTTTTGCTTGGCAATAATCTCATCATATTTTGTTGATTGAAAACTTTGAGATTCTTTAATAGAAGCTAGATCTTGTTTTATTTCTTTTAGAGACACCATTTGGTCCTCCATACATTCTTTTAGCCCAGGACTCATAGGCAGGTATTCAGAGGTGAAGTTCGCGGAGTTGAAGTTTTCGGCAAGGCATTTGGCAATTAAAGATGGTTATTGGTCTACTATATTTCTTTGTATTGCCTCCTGGAGATTCATCTGGAAGTTAGCTTGCCCCTCCTGTTGTTGCGTTAAGGGGCCAATTGGTGAAAGGCCAGGATCCGGGAGACTCCTGGTCAGGAATTGCTTGGGCTGCGAAGCCATGTTGTTATAGATGATTGACTTATATGCTGGAATTGATGTTGAAGTACACAGTGATGATTCAGTTAGACTATTCTGCTAGTTTTAGGTTAGTTTTTAAAACCTGTAGATCTTAATAACAGCAATAATGGCCTTGAGCGAGTGGCTCGGTTGACTGAAATGGGCACCTGCAACCAGAACTTTGTTTTTGGTTTTAATACTTCTGATGTGTTCAATTATTCTGTATTTAATATGTCTTCCCGTTTCTCCAATGTATTGTATGTCACACTTTTTGCAGCTCATCAAGTTAATGACATTTTCCGAGTTGCATGTAATTATTTGATGAATCTTTATTTCTACGGTCTTGTGTCTGGCTGTCTGCTTGTTGCAATTATTCTTTCTTCGGAATGTTGGTAAGTATGCATGATATTCTGCAATGACTTTCTTTCTGGTATTTTAGCAAATTCGTTACATCCAACCATCAAATTTACCTTTGAATGCTCACTAAATTGCATTGCGTTCTTAGAAGTTAAAGTTCATATTATTAACGACAAATTGAAAACTGCAAAAATTCATTAGATGTTGTTCATGCTCCAATTCTGTTTGTGCATGATTGTATCCGAAAGTTTTAGGATCTAGGACGCTTTGCACAAAAGTTATGTTCGATCTATCTAGAACAGTGGTTCACAACAAAATATCCATGCGCCGTATAGTGAAAAACAATAAAACGAACAAAAGTATATGACGAAGTTTAATTAATGAGATGGGTTGGGATGAGTTCAATGAGATTGAACTCTCTCTGTGTGAATCACAATGGTGCAGAGTGATCGAAACAGTAAGTGAAGAATTAGTGTATCCAGCAGTGATTGCAAAAGGTGACAAATGTGTAATTGCAAATTTAAGCACCTAATTTTTGTTATATCAAGATATGAGATATACAACAGATTTTTTTCGCGGACCCTCCAAACGTACTTCGCAGACCCCAAAAGGTCCGTCAACCAGACTGATCTAGAATATGTTCCAAATCTTCTCCAAGGCATAGGAGACAGACTTGCACGCGTTGCGCAAAATCGTCACACACACTCCTCTATGGGAATTTTTCTGATTTTTGTTGCAATTGCAGTTTTGGATTGATGACCATTTATAGCAAAGTAGTCTATAAAGACCTGTGACTTCAGTTCGCCATGAAAATAGGAGATTCGGGAAAGAGTGGTGGGGAAGGGAAGCGTTTCTGCATTGACAGGATAATCTTCAACGGTCATTGCCAGAGTATAGGCATCATTTTCTCCCACATTACAGCCAACATTTGGCTGTGCATGAACAGATATACTCTGCGCAATATGTAATCTATCGCGTGTTTTTTTTGACAAAGTGACGAGGATAGTCAAAGAAAGTCATGGAAAACTGATTGGTCGGTTCTGAGCAGCTGATGAAATGGTTTACAAAATCTTCTGAGAAAATTTACGAGCTTTGGAGAAAGAGCCCAATGTCACACAAAAAGAGTTCAAATATATGAACACGAACGGCAAAAAAAATATTGATCCTAAGTGATTCAAGAGTCTTGCTGCACACTAACACAAATATATTTCTGTACGTTTCGTCTGACCAAGGTCAGACTTCTCCAGACATACATAGTTCAACTACAACACGAAAAGCAGTTACGTGCATATTTAAACAATCATAGTAGAATTATAGGAGTCACGCATGTTAAATAATCAATAAAGTCTGTGAATTTCTTGATTAAATAACAGCGGGTGGCCGAAATAAGTGTCATTGATGAAATCTCTCTCTTTGTTTTATATTTCGCAATTGAAGTCCAAATTACACAATGGTGTTTTATTTCGCAGTATTGTTAAATGCAGACCAGAAAAGTTGTCTGTGTGTCAAATGTAATATAGTGATATTTTGTCTGTTATTAGCATATCTGGCCATGCATGATCCAATTCTGAGAAAAAAATATATTAGGTACAAGAATTGATTAAAACAATGAATGAAAATTTTTTTGTAATTGGTCTAAACTTTTCATCCCTTGTGGCTCGTGTGTCCCGAAAAGATGAATGTAATGCGATTCCTTGTTCTTTCGATAAATGTGGTCATGAAATAGTTTTTCAATGCCAATGACACTCAAATCTTTAAGCGAATGTCCCGGATGACTGAAATGGGCGCCAAAAACCAGATCTTTGTTTTGGGTTTTTATACTTCTAATATGTTCAGTTATTCGGTATTTTAAATGTCTTCCCGTTTCTCCTATGTACTGCATGCCACACTTTTTACAGCTTATCAGGTAGATTACATTTTCCGAGTTGCATGTAACTTTTTGACGAATCCTTACTTCTGCTGTCTTCTGTTTGTTTTTTGCAATTTTCCTTTCTTCGGAATATTGGCAGGTACTACATGATTTTCTGCCACATTTGAAAAAGCCTGGATTCTTTTTAACGGGAGTTTCTGGTTTCAATTTTGCTCTGACTAATTTGTCCCTTAGTGTGGGGCATTCACGATAGGCTGATCTTGGTGGTTTTGGGAAAATTTCTTTTAGTCTATCGTTGTTATCTAAAATGTATTGGTAATCTGAAAATATTTTTCGAATGTTTGGTTGGGTCGGGTGATAGTTTGTGATGAAGGGAAGCAAAGTTTCTTTTTTGGTTTCAGTTTTTGGGATTAAAAGGAGTTTTCTGTCGAGTTCTTTTGCAGATTGTATTGCATCGTCAACTAAATTTTCTTTGTAGTTTCTCTTTCTAGGTATTTAATCAAGAAATTCACAGATTTTATTGATTATTTAACATGCGTGACTCCTATAATTCTACTATGATTTTTGTTTAAATATGCATGTAACTGTTTTTCGTGTTGTAGTTGAACTATGAATGTCTGAAGAAGTCTGACCTTGGTCAGACGGAACGTCACAGAAATATATTTGTGTTAGTGTGCAGCAAGACTCTTGAATCACTTAGGATTGTTATCTCTACTCTTGCTACAGCATCCTTGCAATATATGCATACGGATCCACCGGCACAAAAGCATAAAAGAAGGATAAGTAGTTAGTCTCGCAGAAACCAAATAATCAGCACAAAATATTGAATTCTCAATTCCCAGAAAATCATATGCGGTAACTTTCCAGTACCTGTTTTGGGGGTTCAGTGACTGTCATAGCTTTTCCATGTCCTGTGGCGATGATCCATTCTTCATAATTAAGTTTCAACGTGAATTGAAATACCAAGTGATCCAAGTTACTTCTGTATTACCAGATCAGGTAGGCTACCGCAGTCTACCATTCCCCATAATACTCCTCCCAAAACCATATGCGTTAACTTATCTGTATCGGTGTACGGTACCGGTACAAATACTGTCACAGCTTTTCTGGGTCGTGTGACGATGACATGTGCTTCTTGATTCAGTTTCAACGTGAATTGAAATACCAAATGATCCGAGTCACCTCTGTATTACCAGATTACCATTCAAATTTTGTTGAAGGTAGCAAGCATGCTATCTAGCACCGGTATGCACTATTAAACCTCGATCTAAAGATTTAGTTCTAGTTATAGATTTCAAATTGGTTTTTTGCCTTTCGCCCATAAATATACATCAATATATAAATGAAGATAGGGCGAATTATAGGGCAAAATGGGATTTAAACCCTATCAATTGTTGCAGTAGAACTGTCGATTTCGGCAGCAGCGCTAGTTGTCCAGACCCAGTGATTTCCCTACACCCCCCCTATAGGGGGTGAACACCCCCCCTAAAATTTCAAACACCCCCCCCTAATTTTGAGGTGCGATTCCACACTGAGGGGTTCTAAACCGCAGTCTGCGGGCCAATTACGGCCCGCGTGACCATTTAAAATGGCCCGCCGAACTTGAGTGAAATAGTTTAACCCTTCATGTGGTACCTTTTGAGTTTTAGATACCGTCTATTGTTACATCATTATCACAGTTTAAGCACGTTTATTTCGTAACAATTGAATTATTCAGGTATCTTATGTATAGGTATGGGTATTATGATTACACACTGCAGTATTTTAGATATCAGCCGTATATTAAGAAAGCTTAAAGATGTCACAAAACGAAAACTAGGCACTGAAAACAGACGTTTTTTAGATGAATGACAGCGTTTTTATTTCTTTATTGAAAAGAATCAAACTTCAGCGATTTGTCTTCTTACCAACAAAATATTTCAGTTCTGAAGAAATACAACATTATGCGACATTATGATCAGTTGACGAGCGTATTTCAAAATTTAATTCATACAAAAGTCAAACAAACATGTTCAAAAAAATTAGAAATGTGTAACAAAACTAGCCATTCATACAATGACAGATGAGCAAGTAACTTCATTAGTCACTATCATTTGCAAATTACTTGTTGAAACGTAGTAGTATATATTTACGGTTGAAAGCCGTGCTTGTTATCTATTCCCCGGGAATTCTATCAGCTAAATTTTATAATTATTGATTTTATTACATAACAAACTGCGATGCTAGGTGTATCTAAAATCAAGCTTAGAGCCTATTTTGGTGCCTATTTCTCAAATTTTTCTCAGGGCGCTTAAGCGCGCCCTGAACCCCAGCCGTGTCGTCCCGCACTTTTCTTCGCTCCCCTTTTCTGGCCCTACAATTTCATTCTGCTGTGGATTTTGGCTCGCTGTCAATCAACTTGGGGGGGGCTCCCATGTACATCGTCTCTTAAATACATACCATTTTTAAGAATACAAATAGCCTAGTTTTATTTCTGATAGCAAATTATTCACCACCCCCTAAATTTTTAAACACCCCCCCTAAAGAGAAAAGCTGGGGAACATACTGGTCCAGACCTAATCACGAATCTAGATTCTCGCGATTGTTTTTAACCTTCGTGTTTTACAAGTGTAATAAATATTTAACTTGAAAGTGGTTGCTGGTTTACAAAGAATTACAGTTCATAAAATATTCCTGACTTCGTTTTTTATGATTAACAAGTGCTATGTTCCTCTTATGCAGTGGTTCCCTACCTTTTTCGATAATTTCTCCCTTGCCTATTTTAAACTCTCAATTATAGGTACACATTCCTCTCTTTCTTTTGCACAGTTTAAAATGTGTTCATCGATATGTATTACAATAATACTACTAAATAACTAAACAATATGGCGCGGCGGTGTGGCTCAACGGGCTAAGCGTTAGGAATACGCTCGCCACCGCACCTCTAATTACTCTGCGTGGGTTCGCATCCCATGTGCGAGAGGATTGCTGGGCTCCTCGCCGTCGTTGGGTGGTTCACGTAACCGCTGGTCGGTTAAGGCTTCCTCCACCACCAAGTCCATGCTTCCGAAAACAAACAATATAACTAATCCCATACCCGACTTGGAATGGTAACCGGACGAGAGGCCGTGGATCGCCATATGAATAAGCCGTCTTATCGGCTTTCCTCTCCCCCGGGATAAATATGTAAATCCTAATCCTAATATCAATAAAACTACACTAAATACAAAGTCAAATTGTTTCCCCCACAACAACAAAATTCTTCCCTGTGTAGGAAATCTGACCCAGTTGGGGAGGAACGCTGCTCTAATCTTTCGACTCTATTTCTACGTGAAACTGCAAAATAAATTGTCAAAAAAATGTAACCACTCACGATATTCAATATCATTATTTGATAGCGTGAAACGTGGCCCTTCCAGTATATATCTTCGAAATCCAGTTTGTATTTCGACATGAATTTCAGGGGAATGAATATAATGACAACATGAAAATATTAAACTGAGAAAGAATCTTATGTTTTGAATCGTATATCTACTCACTCACTACTTACTATTTGTCCCATCCAATCCTTAGTTAGTTCAAAAGGCTCAGTTCATTTTTTACATTAGCAATGGAACAGACTCATTTAAAATGACACCAATCTACGGAAATTCAGTTTCAGTCTACACAACTTGAAACAATCTGTTTATCATCTGCTTCATATGTATGGCTGATTTCAGAAGAAGCAGTTACACGATTTATCTTACATTCTTGAGTAACGCAACTGTCAGAAGTAATACTGATGACTTCACGATCCAGTTCTTTACACAAGTAAATTCTAAGGCGACTTTGTTGGGGGATCCGCAGTGATACAGTGATATTATCTAATTATATCAGATTCCGTCGTCATAGAGGTTTCCTTCCACTCTTCACAATCAGCATCCATCAAATGATATACGTTAATTACTAGCTATTTGAGACTTCATATTGATGGCCAGCTCTTCCAGACATTATTGTAAACAAATAAATAAAATCTAATCAAACCATAATTCAATCTGAAGAAAATGTGAATGGACTTCAAAATTTGAGTCAGAAATAGAATGAACTACATATTGGTGTCAACTCATAAATATTCCTCTAATTGAATCAGTCATGAGTTTTACCTATTTTAATTTGAAGTCTTCACATGGTGAAAATTATTGGACAATCAAGCACTACACCAAGCAAGTTAGCTCATAAATGATAAAAGATTCTACTAATGAGGATGAGTAAAGAAAATCTCGCAAAACAATTGTCATAACAGACAGGTGGATTGGGGCAGACAATTAGTGAAGACGACTAATAAATTAAACATTCGACGCCAATAGCAACAGTCACTGTTGTCACTGACAAGGTTGACAGCAACTATACATTATCAAATTACATACATACATTTATATCATAAATCAATTTCTCCATTGTTTCAAAAATATTGTAAATACCGATTTGAAACAGAAAAACAGAACTTATTTATATGTCACAATAAATGTTTAACAACAAGTGTTTAACATGTATTTAAAAGTATTTGATTGAACAGCACTTCGTATTGTTTCGGTTCCAATATTTTGGACCAATGAAAGACTGGACTCGCGCAGTTTGTCCTCCACGTTCGATGGAAGACTGAATAGGAACCATTTCTTTGGATTGAGCATGACAATCATGCAGGACCATTCATTTTGATTTCGGATGGTGGATTTACTGCCGATGAATCTCTGGTATCCTCAGAGGTGACAATGTCAGTAAGTTTTGTATCCACGGCAGATGAGGAAGAAACCCCATGGTGTTGCACATAGTGAGACAACCCATGTTTCAGGGGATTCCCTGTAGATTCAGAGCCTTCTCACTGCGACACGACGCCAAAATGTGTAGCAGAAGCATTTGGATGTGTCAGGGACAGGATTATTTCTGTAATTAACCAATTATCATCACCTGAACTAGCAGCGTCAGCCGCATCACTAGTGTCACTTACAGCACTCTGTTGCACCAGACTTTCGATCGCTGGAGTAGGATCAGTTGATTCTGTACTATTGTTATCGCCATAAGATATTTCAATGTTAGCAGCCTTGCTCCCTGTCATCAATATCAGATACATTTTCACCTCCATTACTTGAAGTCACAGTAATCGTACTTTTATCCGTCCTTTGGTCATCTACATCAGAACTGTAGATAATAAAAACCGGTAAAAAATTAGTAAAATATCCTTTAAAGTTGTATCCTGTAGCTGCATTCAACAAGGATGCATCTTTAACAACCCAAACGATATGTTTCTCAGTGGTTACTTCCGAAACAATGGATAAGCCATCAAAAGGTCTGAGCTACCTTAGCAGCACTCAGACACATTTCCAGACATGTTTGTAAATATTGCCTTGTTCCCATGGTTTTTTCGAGAGTTAATTTCCAGTTTTTTGACTATATTTTCAGAAGGAAAGTGAACGAATGAGCTGTCATTAATTTTAAATGGGACAAAGCAGTGATTGGGAAGACAGTCATTCTTAGGATGTGAATCATGTGATAATCTTCTTTACAGTACAATATTCAAAGATGATTGAATTGCAAGGTAGAATTCTAAAATACCCAATATACCTATACCTTTGAACACTATCTGTGTCGGCAACTGATGCAGTCTCAGTCACTTCCCTAAATATATTTGTTTACAATAGTGAAATTGCACTACAATGTTTAAAATCCTATGTTCAAGTTGGTTCCTCATCCGCAGACAGACTACTCAAAGGAATTCAATTACGGTAAACATGCTGCAATTTAGTTATGCACCACTTTAATGTAAAACTCTGGCCTATTTCTGACTTTAATTACAAACAACGGTATATCAATCTATCGATACTACATAATCTATTGATTTTCAGTATATCAACACTGCTGCTCAGGACTTCATTATTATCACAAATGTTTCAAAAACACGGACCATGAAGATAAATATCATCATATAAAGCAGTATTTCATCGAAATCAAAAAATCAATTTACATTTTATGTATAAACAAACTTTAAGTAAAAAGCAAAAATTTATGCCAAGCACATGATTTAATCGTAATTTGTGGTTGCGATGTGTGGTAAAGCTCACCTCACCAGGGGAGTAATAAATCGGGTAAACAATGCGAAACCAGAAATATTATGGTCCTTCCAAAACACACCTTTTCTACACTCGTACTTTCGAATACTCGTCTCTAATAATCCGAATAAAATACATACCCTGGTGAATGTTGATATGTGACAGTCATCGGAGATCCTGCATCCAAATCTTCTAAATTTGTAATTTAACTGGTTGAATCCGCTGCAGCTAAATAAAGAAAATGAAGCATATCCTAAGTCGTATCTATGTTCAGTATATACTGGTCACTCAGTCTCAGGGTGTGATAAAATGAGAAGGGGATATTGAATCAACAATCTGTGTATGTCTGAATGGCTACTTTGTTCGGAGAAAAGATGTGTCCGTGTCCAAGTGTATTCATTGATAGTCAGAATATTGAGTTTATGTTCCATATCTCTGGTTGAAATCCTACCTCACCAGGTTATTATAAATTGGATGGTCAATACAAAATTGAAAAAATTCTAGTCCTTCCAAATAAAAGCAGCTCCTTATATATTGCTAGATAGCAGTAGCTGCTTGCACAGGAACTTGTACAGAGAGAAACAGAATTTAGTTTTGTAGTCGTATAAAAAATACTTACAATATGATGAAGCAGAAGTTTGTTCTTGCGAAGATACCTGTTGTTTCGAAGATTCACTTCTGGACACTACATCTTCAGTGTTGCTGAAAAACATATGGTAGTCACGTATTAGAAATGATTATTAAACTAAATAAACTTTTCAGAAAGTTGAAATATATAGTAAATATATACTAGCAATATCAGAATTTTCAAATAGATTTGCGATAAATGAGGCAACATTCGAGGCAAGGTAACATTCAAATTAGAGACGGATATTGTTACATCATGCTAATACTCGTCAGATCTTCAATATTATCACAGCTTGATCAAAAACACGGACCAATGAAGAGAAAAATCATCACACTGAGTATGCATCCCCTAATCAGACAACACCAAATATGAAAGTTAGGAATGCGGAAGGACTGTGGTGCACTTACTCAATATACGCCAAGAGAATTGGTCGGCAAACCACGGCTCACAGGCCAAAAGCCCCCCCCCAAACAACTTTGTAAGTTGTAACCATTGCCATTGTATGGGGTTTGTTTTGTAGTAATCATCCGAACATGCCTACCTTTAGTTGTAATTATTTAAACACAGAAATAAAATCATGGATGTGTCATAATTTAAAGTTTACTTAGCGATTGTTTATAGGCAACTACTGATGTAGATCACACGCTATTATATCGACCCAGTAGTACATAAAGTTTGCCCACCAGTGAAGTAGTACAGAAGTTCCTGAAGGGAAGTGCCTCAAAACTGCAATCGGAATTCTTAGTCAAATTTCTTTAGACACATTGAGAGAATCAGATTCACATGGAACTGAATATATGAATATAAAATACACACCTATTTAATATTTCAATATCGGCCTAGTTTTCATTTGCTGTATTGGCATTCGACGATATAACAATTTCATCCTGAATTTAACAAAAGGTGTTAATAACATTAAGGGGGGATAAATAATAAATATTATATTCATTTGATTAATTTAAAACAGAAAAGAAGACTGCACAGCTGATCAGGACTTCATTATTATCACAAATTTTCAAAAACACGGACCATGAAGATAAATATCATCATATCGAGCAGTGCAATCAGTGAATCATAGAAACATTAAAGAGTATAATAAACACTATTTTTTTTTAAATAAACAGAGCTTTAAATTGGCAAAATCAAAGTCTCTTACCACTTTGGAATCCTGTCCAACATCCATCATATGATCACCATCTAAAACTTTTTTTCATCTGAATCGGAAGATTCGACGCGGAACTACCTTTTAAATAACTTTCATTGCTACTACCACTCTCAAAATCATGGTCAAAATCAGCCTTCCATCCAAGAGCTAAAAAATGAGTTAAAATTTATTATTTATGAATAAATGTGGAAGAAAAAACTACAAATATTACACCAGTATGATTAATAATTAAGTATTTCAATGTAAAACAATTCGACATTAAACTTACATTGTGAGGTGTCCATACGCTCTTCTGCATCCAGAAACTTAATTGCCTTGGGTAACGGACTACCAACCGGACTTTCATTACTATCACTACTTCCAAGTATTACTGCCAGAATATGACCGATGCCTAGAAAATAAAATTAATCATAAACGATTAGAGAAATTTGTATTTCTTTTGGAAGCAGAATACAGAATTCAATTTAACATATATTTTATTCTGCACCGCTGAGAAGAAAAATTTCCATACTGCGAAACAAAAAACCATAACGCTAATACTCGTCAGATCTTCAATATTATCATTGTTTGATCAAAAACACGGACCAATGAAGAGGAAAATCATCACACTGAGTAAGCAACTGGGAAAAATGAAAAAATGTTACATATTACAGCAATTGTGAAATTTATTAGGAAAAAATATTAATAGTTACTTCATTTGGACCCACCTGGAAAAGTAATAAAAGATCTCCAAATTTTGGCGTTTAGATATATATTAATTTGCACATTCTTAGATGAATATATCACAAAAATTTGGGTGATCTGAACAAATATCCAGCGAATCAAGGGTACCTACATTACAGTGACAGTGGGTGTTGTAGATATCGTGTTCGATGTTGGGCTTCCTCGAACGCCGTCAGCAAAAGTATTTGGTCTTCCATCCCTAATATCATCATCACCTAAATAAATTGTGAGTGTAATATATTGCTTACCATAGTTAAAACATGCACTCCTACAAACAATGCAACATCTTCTGGAACCAAGTTTAGATTCAAAGTGCACCATACAGCAAAATACACCAGGGATATCAGAATGTTAAAATGAATTTAATTTTTGGGTAGAAAAATAAACCAATCATCAGGATGTTGTCAACACAACATCAAAATTTATAAACACTTCAACATCCAAAAGGAAACCAAAATTATGTATCACATCGTGCTAAGCTAATACTCGTCAGATCTTCAATTTTATCACAATTTGATCAAAAACACGGACCAATGAAGATGAATATCATCATACTGAGTATGCATTTTTTAATTAGGAAAGTAATGTAGAAAATAAATTACCTTGTTTACAATAAAATACTAACAAGACACCAGATCAGTGAAGTTCTCAGTTTTGGATCAGTTTAACACAATTTACAGATAAATCTAAACTGATATATCAAAACAACTCGCACTAAGCTACGTGTTCATTAAAAAAATATTGACGGAGTTAGAATTTCTTAATCAGTCAAAACACAACAATATCAGGTATAAAACAATAATATGTCGAGTTATCGTACTTTTATTAGAATGTTCTTCATCATTCAAAATGAGCAACTCTGGCTTTACAAACAGCTTGAAACAATCGTGCTGATGTCTGCATTTGAAAAAAGTTAAAAAAAATAAATAAAAATAAACAGAGCATCATGGCCTATGAATTGGACTCGACTCTGAATGCATTGTGGGTTGAAATCTCTGGTTCAAATCTCATGCTCCCAATCTGTCTGTATGTCACAAGTTTTTCATAATGTAAATCTTGGAAGTTGCTAGATATTTAGATTTAGTTGGACATAATTCCCCCCTTCTGCGCCTAGTTGCTGATTTAATTCATTTCATATATTATATTTTTGGTATTTTATGTTTTTGTAAGTAAGTGCCTGCCTACTAAATTTACAGGCGGACATAAGACTTGATGTAGACCAGAAGTCATTCAGGATGTAATAAGTTCTAACCCAAAAGTCAAATGAAAAATAATAGACTGTTTATCTCAAGTAGTTAGAGTTTCTATTATTCGAACTCACCACTCAAAAATCTTTTCAACATTGCGCAATTTACTTCTTTTTCTAATCCTTCAACAATAGAATTAGTTATATTTGTGAGATGACCCATATTTGCTTTCACATGTCTATGATTGTCTTCTCATGCATCGATGATTCGTTGAATGATTCGACATTCTTCGAAAATCTGTAGCAGAGAATAAATATGATAAATAACAGGTTTATGATTGATTCAAACATAATACAGATCAAAGTACATTCTTATGTGATGATAGTGAATAGATGTGGATAGAAAATTTTAAAGATAAGGGATCAAACCAAAAGCATATCAACACTTAGTTTACTGTGACCAGTGACTGTTAAAAAAATAAAAATAAAACGATACAAAAACTGATCTCCAACTACTTTTAGTGAAAGAGAAAATTAATTTCTTGTTCAAATGATAATGATCATGTTTCAAAATGTTCCATCTATTCATGTCCAAAAAAACGAACAAATTTATATTAGTAGAGTCGTAAGCACAGATGACACCTAAATCCTTACTGTTTTAAACTCAAAACCTTGATTGGAATAAATAAGTTGTAGGCTATTTGAATTCTATAATATTGCCATTAAAAAATTTCTTTAAATAATGATATCCAAAAACAGGAAATATGTAAAGTTCATACATGAGCAAGAAGAGGAGCAACAACTCAAGGATTTCCTGTTTTTTCTTCGTGCTTTTGAGAATCCGAATCATCTTGATCTAGTGGAAATAAAAACATGAAAACAACTTAGCATGCAATACAGATTTAACATTAGATTTTGAAAACATCTAAATATAAAATAACCTTTCTACTCATTTTCAATTCTAGAAACTGAATTGGTATATTTGACAAATCTTCTTTCTCACCATAGGAATAAAAAAATTTTAATTTTAGTTCTAGCTTCTAGGCTATATCCCATTCTATATCTGTATATGTTGCCCAACTACAGAACTAGAGCCTTGCGCGACTGTGGCTCATCGTGCTAAGCGTTGGGAATACGCTCGCCACCGCACCTCTGATTACTGTGTGGGTTTGCATCCTATGCGGGATGGTTATGGTTTAAGATATTCAAATGGACTCATTTAAGATGTAGGCTAATAAGGAAATAAATCTATATTCTATTCGATAGATGTATCACTGCTTGATTTTTATTATAAAACTGTAAAAAGTATCATGGGTTCGGTTTTCAACTTTCTAAAAATATGTGCGGCCTGCCAATACAGCAATAACTTGCAACCCTTAATTTTGGGCCAGCCAGCGACAAAAGGTTGCCGATCTGCCCTACATGAAGATGAAATGGTAACCGGACGAGAGGCCGTGGTTCGTCATATGATTAAGCTGTCTTATCGGCTTTCCTTTCCCCGGGGATAAATACCGTAAACGCAGGTAACTTCGGATGGTTTATAACTTCGGATGAAATTTTCAATCGTTTATATCTCGACTAAATTACGTCATATTCTGCTTCTGGCAGTTTCTATAGAGAGTCCTTATATATCTTAATCTCTTATCACATTCAGTCGCCTAATAGGATTTATTTTTTGACACAAAAAATCACCTTTTTGCCAAAAATTGACACCTCGCTTTTGAGCGGCTAAAATAGCGACTTCTATCGACGCTAACTTCACTAAAAGACCGTCAATCGCTAGAGGGCATACACAATGTACAAGGAAAATTACAGTGATCACGAGATGTCGTACGAGATTCAAGTAAAATATATTATTTTGATTTAAAAATTTCGTCAAAATATCGACGTTACGGTGCTTACGCTGAACGTGACGTCAACAACGTGATTCAATTTCGCTCCATTTAAGGCCGACGTCACATTGCGTAGCTCGTGCGTAACTCGCTGCGACATTTGAACGCCAGACTATGTGGCGCCACGTGTAGTTAAATATAAAGTGAAAACTCCTACCTGATCCTCGTCACCAAATCCTACAGAAACTTAATTATAGCCCCGGTCATATGCTGTTTATTTATTGTGAATCCGATTAATGCACATTAAATTTATGTGTTAACATTTCGGCATTCTTCGACCGTATAGATGTTGTTGATACGTAAGGCTGATGAACAGCCAGATACGCGTATCTATACTATCACAATGACAAGGTTTTACGATCGGCGATGATAATATATTAAGAGTAGAATGTTGCACAGGTGAGCATGAAACTCTGCACAGGTGCACACAGCAGGAGGTTGGAGGTTTTTGGCGTTTTTATCCGTTTCATGTCTATCTGCCTGTGAATACATTATATCTGAATTATCAACACGGCCACAAGCTACACTGTTCCATATTGTTGTCCACTTTTACTACCTACCGTAATTCATCATCCATTTTTCTTTTTTATTATTTTCATTCGTTTCATTTTTGTTTTGTATTAAAAATTGTTTTCCATTTTTACTTTCACGACTTATTTTATTCGTCCGTTTTTTATTTTCATTTGTCTCATGTTGTCTCATTTTTGTTTCGTATTGAAACGATCATAATAGCAAGATATAGCACTTTCATGAAATTAAGAATAGTCAAGAGATAAATGGTTTAGTTTTGCGAAACGTCAGGAATAGGGCTGGGCAAAATTATTACATGCGTTGTATTTTGAAGCATTTAGCGGTAATAATTATGGCGCGACACTGTCAAAATCGTCGAGTAAAGTGCTGAGTTCGCAAATTCCGCAGATAAAATTGTGAATTAGTCGGTAACGGTTTTAGCTATAATAACCAATGGGGTATTGTTTTGTTCAAAAAAAAAGTTAAAACTTGAGGGAAATAGTTATAATTAGTGTCCGATCCGCTATCAGGACCAAAAGCCTTATGACAAGTATAAATGCATAACGGCCGATTTATTCAATCATTATTATAAATAAAAATTCAGTATTCGCACAATCGCGGGTGCAAAGCATAACAACATCAATCATCGTCTTAATAAATATCTCCATCTCGACGACGATAATAATATCACCGTTCGCTTTAAACTCGAACGATTAATAGTATACAAACGGTGATAAGTAAGATCAAAGCCAACACATATGATTAAATCAGAACAAAATTAATTTGGGTTTTGAAATCAGTCCTTCTTGTCTTCAAGAGCTGTTGCCGATGTAAACACACGGGTACACCAGATATATAAAACTTTGATGTCCGCCGACCCGGAAGAATTGATAATCACAAAAACGGCCGTCATAGATGAACGTCAGTGTGCGACACGCAAAACGGATCACGGCGTCGTAAGTTCTACGCAGCGACGTTATCACGCGTCACTGATCACGCAGACATTTCTCTCTCACGACGAAGTGACGCAAAGCGAAAAGTGGCCATCCGAAGTTATAAACATTTGGAATACAGATCGGCAGGCAAATAAAGTCAATTATTTGAATGAAAAAAAGTATTTATTGATATGAAACCGAGTTTATCGCGAGGAGAAAGGCTTCAATGTATTATATTCCAAGTTTAGCTTCAATTGAACAATAAACGGCGGAGAAATTGTTCATAATATAGTGAAATCATCCGAAGTTACCTGCTTTTACGGTATGTAAATCCTATCCTACAGACAATACTTACTAAAATCAATTGAACAAATTAGATTCAGCAATTTCCTATATGGTATTTCCTAATATTTATTAGGTCACCATGTTTCCATAGGCCTATATGCAATCTTCTAAACACCTACTCGCAGATTGTTTTCTCGTTTTTCAGGATACATTGAAATCATCGAATGACGAAGTATGTAAAAAAGTTTACAAAGACCGACTCTGATGTATCTTCCGTGTTAATCTCAAAGGTCTGGATTTCATGGCCTTTTTGCACGAGACATCAAGCATGCAATCAGAAATTCCCACGTGCAAATCATAATTCCCGGATCACGTGCGTGCAAAACGTCGAACGTTTGAGCTTTGACCCCAAACATTATTTCTATACCCTTTCATTAACGTTTGTAAACATGTAGGCATAAATAATAAAAGCAATGCCAACTATTTTTTACATCTTTGCCTGCTTTTCTTATAAAATAATAAAAAATCACTGATGTTCGCTAAACTCGGTTCAGTAGATGGAAAAACTACAGCTCACGAAATTGCAGTAGTGTCTACCTCTATTGTTACGCAACAATAGAGACAGGCAGTACGTAAAAGGAATTAAACGACGTAGAAAGGTAAAATGAGTTTATTGATTCATATACAATACACGCATATAAAATAATTAACATTATAACATTCAATCATATATTAGTTATGTTTATCACAATTTTATTAATTTTCGGGACGCACGCAGTCTTTATCTGATCTCTAAATTGAAAACCTGATGACTGCCCCAAGTACAAGCTTGAACAAACAAAAACCCGATGTACAGAACAAATAAATAAAAAGACCTGCTCGCTATAATCCATGGCTTGCATATGAAAAATTGGCCATTTTATATTTGGTCCACGTGATGTGATTGTACTGTTTTATAACAAGCCTAACATTAATTTTTTAAAAATCTATTCCAGTTATCCCCCATCGTTTTCAAAGAAGGTTCAAAAACTGTATTTGCAAAATACAATCTTAATTAAAGTTCGCTACAAACCAAATCTGTTTAGTCGATTATTTTCACAGTGTGGAAATTAGAATAACAAAACCCAACGGTGAGTGACATCATAGCATTTCAAAGCACTTGCCAAAGAAACTACAGATTATCCAGCGCATGTGGAGTACATAAAACCAAATAAACTACCACAATAATATAATTCAGTAAAAGATGAAAAAGGCACAAACAAGGATTGATATTTTTAAGTCGGAGAGATCGGTAATTCATATTGATGACAGAGAATCGCAATCTCGTACATCTGCACCCGCACCCGATATAAGGAACTGTGTTTCGATTGCACCAGTGGACATTTGCACTCATGAACATCTGTACCAATGTGTTCTCATGGTCGTTAACCAATATTATTCTATTATATTTCGGAGTAACCCCCGAAACAGCGTTATGGAGTGCGCGTTCGTAACCTCGAAACAGCGTAAGTCGCGACCGTCGTAACCCGAGGACTCCCTGTATACTATATTTAGTTAGTTAATAGTAGATATATCAAGTTAAGTAGGCTATTACATCAGCTGTTACACCACGTAGAATTGCACATTTACAACAATGTACATTTCCACCCATGTACATTTGCACCCTCGTACGTTTGCATCCACAGACATGTGCAACCACGTATATTTCCCTCATAGAGAAAAACGTTATGTGTTCAAGTCCAATGAATAACGTGACCACTCTACGTCACACTTCCTGCTTATCAAACTTTTCTGAAATAGCTCTCTTATCAAGTAAAGAGCGTAATTTGATATGGTCACCCACGTACATTTGCACCCGTAAACTGCACCCAGGATATTACCATCTATATACTTTTGCCCCCACCGACATTTGTAATAATACATTTCCACCCATAGATTTTAGCACCCGCATGTAGATTACACTCGCGGACATTTGCATACATGGACGTTTGCACCCGTGTACATTTGCACCCACGTACATTTGCATCCATGAGCATTTGCACCCACGTACCTTTGCACCCCTGTACATTTGAACCCACATTCATTTGCACCCGCGGACATTTGCACCCGATTACATTTGCACCCGCGTACATTAGCACCAGCGTACATTTGCACCCATGCACATTTTCATCCAAAGACATTTGCACCCACGTACATTTGCACCCCACAGACATTTGCACCCATGTAGGCCCACATTTGTACCCATGCAAATCTGAATCCCATGCACATCGCGTTCGAGTTTGCAGTGAGAGTTCGTCTTCATTACAATTTAGGATGTCTCTATTTCGGCGCGACCGGCAATAAAAGTATAAAACCTCTTTCACTTCATAGATCGGTATCCATAGGTGTAAATCAGGGGTCGGCAACCATTTGTAGCTCGCAGACCAAAATTAAGGGTTGCTAGTCATTGGCGGGCCGCACATATTTTCAGAAAGTTGAAAACCGCTCGGATGATACTTTTCATACTAAAAATCAAACATTGATACACCTGTGGAATAGAATATAGATTAATTTCATTTCAAAAAATTCCATTTGAATATTTTCAGCGCCATTGAACACTTAGCAACAACTTTTCTGCGTTTTGTTGCCATTTGTCTAGTTATAATTAATATAGGCCCAATAAACGAGTAATTGTGAATTTTAAACTTGTTAGATTATAATATAATTTAGTCTACACGTGTCTTGCAATAAGTTCTGCTACCTGAAGGATATAATCGTCAAAACAGCTGTTTTGTTACTATAATTTAGTGGAGGGTCGCGGGCCGGATTATATTACTCCGCGGGCCGGATCCGGCACGCGGGCCGTAGGTTGCCGACCCCTGTTCTAAGTGTTGAAAGAGAAGCATTGGAAAAAAACAGATTTTGATGACGTGATTAACCAGTTTGCGACAGTGAAATCAAGAAAAATAAATTTATTGTAGACTATGTAAATCATCTTTGACAGTAACTGAGTGGGATATGCTATATTTTGTAGAGCTTTGCTTTTTTAAATAAAATGTTCCATTAAAATTTGAATTGTTTTTACATATACAATTAAATGTAATAGAAAATATGATTGAACGTGGAGGTCGGGGCGCCAATTTTATAGTTCGCCCCGGGCGCAAAATATTCTGACTACGCCTCTGGAGCAAAACAGAGAGCGGGAAACGATTTTGACCCGACGAAAGCATGATTTTGGAACAAGTTGTTTACACTTTACAGCCGTTTCTACTCTTTGTATTATTGCGTCGTAATGGTGTCTTAACCGATGCGGTTTGTTTTCCTCGATGAGTGTTAATGGATGAAAATCCTAATTAATCGCGTTTAGGTTTGCAGCGAGTTCGTCTTCATCACTATCCATAACATTAGGATGTCGCCATTTAGGCGCAAATGGCAATGAAACCTCTTTTACTTCAAAAAATGGTATCCATGGGATGGGTGTATATCTTTACGGGTACAAAATTCCATGGGTGCAAGTGTCTATAGATGCGAATATCCGTGGGTGCATACGTTCATGGGTGTGAGTGTACGCGGGTCAAAAGTACGTGGGTGTGAATGTACGGGTGTGAATGTACGTGGGTGCGAATGTTCGTGGTTGCAAACTGCAAATGTCCATGGGTTCTAATGTACATGGGTTCAAATGTCCACGGGTGCAAATGTCCATGGGTGCAAATGTCCATGGGTTCAAATGTACATGGGTTCAAATGTCCGCGGGTGCAAATGTCCATGTGTGCAAATATACATGGGTGTGAATGTCCATGGGTGCAAATGTTCATGTGTTCAAATGTCCGTGGGTGCAAAAGTATGCTGGTGCAAATGTACGTGGTTTCAAAGATAATGGAACCACAAATGAATTGAAAAACAAGTCACTTCAACAACATTTAGCAGAACAATCATAGTTTCATTTCGTGTTCCAAAATAAAAAAAAATTGCGGCCTTCAGTGGAGGCGAAGTTCTTACCACTTCATGGCAGCTCCTGCCACGAACGAACCGCGACAGCTCTCGCCATGGTTTTATAGTGCTATTCAGTAATCCGTATTAACGGTATCAATGTTTCAGATTTTAATTGATCATGCGGAATTATATCTACTTAAACCCTAACCCCAAATCCATCACTCATGTATATATATCATGTAACGTACTTGTACGTTTTTTTAACTTTATTTTAAGTTATGCTCGCCTTCCAGGTATCTCTGTATTTGTTGTCTGTTTACTTTTTTGTATTGTTCTGTATTTGTTGTCTGTTTACTTTTTTGTATTGTTCCGTTTTAGTCCGAAATAAAATGAATGATTGATTGATTGATTGATCAAAACTGTATCCATAATAAAAACGTTCCAACTTAGCAAATATTTGTCACCATAAGGGACAACCCTGTCTTTACGGCCCACCTGCCAATTTTACCGAATCCCATGCAGGGATGGTTATGTGCGAGAGGATTGCTGGACTCCTCGCCGTCGTTGGGTGGTTCACGTAACCGCTGGTCGGTTACGGCTTCCTCCACCACCAAGTCCATGCTTCCGAAAACAAACAATACAGTAAAACTAATCCCATACCCGACTTGGAATGGTAACCGGACGAGAGGCCGTGGTTCGCCATATGGATAAGCCGTCTTATCGGCTTTCCTCTCCCCCGGGATAAATATGTAAATCCTATCCTATCATACCTGCCTTTGGTTTTCAATTTGCTGCCCCGGTAACGGCAGCTCGTCATTGGTTTGTGGCAGCTAAAAAGTCAGTCGCCGTAGGCTTGGCTTGGCCGTAGCGGCCATGGTATGGAAATACCGCCATGGTTTTGCGGCAGCTGCAGATGCCACAGAATACTTAAAACTGCACTTGCTTCAGTGAGTACCATGTGCAATTATGAGGCGAAAGATGCATACCGCGAGTTATATTCTGATATATGAGCTAGGTTTTGTCCAGCCGTCTGCAGTCCTGCTTGATAAAAGTCTTACGCAATTTTCTAAGTTAAGTAGTGGCGATACAGTATGACAGTGCAGTTTTAAGTATTCTGTGGCGTCTGCAGCTGCCGCAAAACCATGGCGGTATTTTCATACCATGGTCGCTACGGCCAAACCTATGGCGACTGACTGGGGCTCCCGAAGTATGCGAACCAAGATGGCGGACATCGGAATGTAATATGTGTACTAGGTTAGGGTTAGGCCATAATTTTAGGTATAAATACTATGGGAGGCTCTTGGCTAGTCTCCGAACTGATAATAGGACTAAAATATGGAAAATTGGAAAAAAATTATCGCCTAACCCTAACTTAGTACACATGTTACGTTCCGATGTCCGCCATCTTGGTTCGCATACTTCGGGAGCACCGACTGACTTTTTAGCTGCCACAAACCAATGACGAGCTGCCGTTACTGCGGCAGCAAATTGAAAACCAATGGCAGGTAAAATTTGGCTGCCGTAACCACGGCAGGTGGGCCGTAAAGACAGGGCTGTCCCTTATGGCAGGGGTTCTCAAACTTTTGGTGTTGCGGAGCCCTTGAAAAGGTTTACTATTATTCACGGAGCCCCAAAAAATAAATGTTAAAATTGTTACTTTCAGATTAATATTCCTGAGCAAGTTAAAAGTACTTTACTTAATTTAAATGCTGAACCTTAGGGTTAATACAAGTCATACATAATTTTAAATTTCAAACATAAATTATATATATACTGAAGCTGTAAATTTCACACTTGACAAACATTAATAAATTAGTGGTCGAATCTTTTCCCTTTTGACATTTTTGGAAGACCTAAAAGGCCGCTAATAACGTGCGCGATTGCATTTTGTTCGATTGCCGATTTTTTTCGTCAGCATGGCGTATCTTTGAACCTTTAAACATCTTTACCGCCGGTGTTTATTCTCCGTGAATCAAAAATTTCCCTCGGCATATATATACATGTATTGTTACACATTGACGACGTTAATTGCTTTTTTGTTCTCGTGGGGAATTATGAGTTCAATGTGAAAATTATGTTACCATATTATAGCCATCGGCGATGAAATGCTAAAAATAATAATTAATAAAGAGGTAAATCCGCAATTCAAATTTCTTGATTGAAAAACGGCATTCTAAAATATTAAAAACTGAAACTTAGAAGAGAAGATCACAAGTCTGGTTTTCAGCAGACTCATCTCAGATAGAAAACGTTTTTATAGACATTGTAAATTACAAAATTTGGTGTTATGTTAGGTTTTCATCGTAGTAACTGCGAAATCGAAACACAGTCAATTGTGCGCGCGATGTACCTTTTTTCCCATTCTGAAACTACCGACGGAGCCGCACGCAGTCAATTGTGCACGTGATCCGCGATGTACCTTTTTTCATTCTGAAACTAGCGACAGAGCCGAATGCAATAAAATAAATTTCAATTGTTCGTGTTTTGCACCGACAGTGTGAGTAACGATGAGCACAATTACATTATAACGACGAACCACGTTAAATGCTCGCATCGGTCATGGATTGAATATTTTACGCAACAGAAATCTCGTTATCCGTTTTTTTTAATCGCGAAGAATGTTGCGCGGAAATTTCCGATTCCAATTTTGAACCATTTCCCTCTTAAAAATCCTGGCTACACTCCTGATTATAAATAATGTCATTTTTTTAATTTCGCCTCTTTACCATATTTCGGGGCTATATTGTTGTCAGATTTTATCTGAGCTGTTATCGCTTCTTTGAACTGTTACAAAATTTTGAGTTCGTATTTGAAAAGTATTCGAATAGCTCGCGGAGCCCCTGGGTTTCTCTCGCGGAGCCCTGGGGCTCCGTACAGAGCACTTTGAGAACCTATGCCTTATGGTGACAAATATTGGGTGAGTTGGAACGTTTTTCTTATGAATACAGTTTTGATTGATTTGGGGTTAGGGTTTAAGTAGATATATATATAATTCCGCATGATCAACTAAAATCTGATACAATAATTTGTGAATATACCTTTAATACTGAGTACTGAATAGCGCTATAAAACCATGGCAAGAGCTGCCGCGGTTCGTTCGTGGCAGGAGCTGCCATGAAGTGGTAAGAACTGCGCCTCGGTACCGGTATGCAGTGTGCGTTGATCAGGCATGCCTCTACTGTACAGCTGTATGTCAGCATGTGTAAATTCTGAAATTATTGATTTTCAGATCTTGTAATTTATGAACGGTCACAGTGTTAGAAAAAAATAGCAGAACTCTGTAAATGAAGTTAACAAATTCCAGAATTCAGATATGTATCATGCCACTGATTTCAAGTTTTCTAAAGTGAGTACCGGTACTGAAACTGAACTAGGTTATATTAAAAATAACTAGCCTACCGGGTACTGAACCACGTAACTCAATTGTCCTATTACTGTATAGGCCTAATGAAAACTTTGTCATAGGCAAATCTCGTTCTAGGCTATTTCAGTCTCTGGTAAACATTAAAATATGGATGTTTCAAACCTGAAAACGATTGCAACTCTGATTTCATAGCATCGTAATGATTTGAATTAGATAAACCCTCTTTGATTAATATTTATCAAGCAATATTCTACATGTAGTTGAAAAGTTAATATTGCATTCAAAAATATGCATAGCAAATTTTCTAATTTTATAAATATCTTTCATACCAGGACCCGAAACAAGCAAGAAAGATCAATTCTGATCTGAATAATCCCAAAACAAAATATGATGGTTTGGTGAGACTTAACAAGCTTCTTGACTTATGTGATGAAAATATTATTTCGGATAATGCGGCAACATGGATTAAGTCACTGCCTCATATAATTCTCCAAGTAAGTAATTTTATCATCCCTGGAGAGAATTTGAAGTAAGGTGGATCATTTTACCCAATTTTTTTGTTATAGATCTAAATATTTGAAGCTGATCTGAATTATGAAGACAAAGATGGTGTTTTTATATATGTATTTCCACTGGGAAATTATCACAATCAAAGCTCTTTTTAGGTCCATGATGTTTCAACCACAAGACAACTTGCTGCAGAAAATTTCAGCTTACTTCTCAGTCAATCTTGTCAAATTCCATCAGTTTCGAGGGAAATTTCATCAACGTTGATACCAACAACATTAACAAGTTTATTGCAAGCAAATGGCAAAGTAACATAATATTTGACGCTTATTGCATATCCAAAGCAAGGCCCTAGCTGGGCAACAACATAGGATACAGAACTAAAATTAATGTAGAATGACTCAAATTAGCATGTTCATCACATTCTACTTCATTTCCTGCATATCACCAGTACGACTTCTTGAATGACAAAGCTAATTGACTTATTATTAAGAGTGGTAATGGCAATCCAACATATTTAAAGCATTTTGGTGCACAATGCAAAAAAAAAACGCCTTACGTGAATGAATGACCTTTATCAACTTAAGCATAGCAACATTAATTCAATATTTGTTCAGGATGGTCCAGTTGTTTCTGCAATTTACTCTATTCTGATCAACTATCCGACATCATGTGCCGATTTAAGATCTAGGATCGTAAAGTTTGTGATGTCCTTGATGATGTCACCTATCAGGAATAAGAGACGAAATGCAATAGAGTATGTTATGCTTGTTCCCAATTAGAAATCCTAAAATTGGATTCAATAGTGTAAATTCTATTCTCTGAAACGATACACATACCTAATCCATACTTGAATTCATTTATTGCTGTCATATTTAAATTAAAAACAAGAATATCTAATCTAATTGGTATCTGGACTGCAAACCCTCACTCACTGATGAAGTGGTGCCTCACTGTGTGTTAATTTTATCGATATTTTAACGGACTCTGTTCTGAAGTTACAATTCTTGTCCCTCTTGGTAATGTTTTTCAAAGAAAATTGCCTTGAACTGTCTCAAATTTTCTTTAAATGGTTTGTTGGTTTGTTTGTGCTACACCAACCTAATTGCACAAATTTTCAGTATCTCTTGGCATTTTCGTGATCTCCCGTAACTTGTTCGTAGGTGAAGGTTCTGTACTTCCAAGTTGTGTGGTTTTGAGAGCCAACTAGAACCAATTCTCTCATTATTCAGATGCTGGGCTCAGGTTCCTTTTCTTGGTGGTGGAGGTTCACAAAGATCAACACATGCACAACAATGGCAAAATCAACTTGATCAAACTATCCAATCATTAAAATTTTCATTTCGTTTGTACATGGGAGAAGATCGTGAAGGTAATATTCACTTTTGATCTGGTTTGTGATCAATCAGTGTAATTTAGTGCCAGAAGGTGAACCCTAACATACTTAACTGAATTAATTGAATGTTTCAATTTCTGATGTGCATCAAGTAAAGAATTTTGGCTAACAAACTGAAGATATAACTGTGATACAGTATTAATAAGATTGAGAATTTGGTGATGTTTATCTAAAATCAGTCAATGATTGATGCCTGCGCAAATCTATTTATCTTTCAGATGTTTCAGACCCATGTGTTGGGAGCCTCTCGCTCCCTTTTTTGCAACTTCCTAATACAGAACCAGAGCTTTCAGATGTCTTGATACAAAGGTGCAATGCTTTTATGTGTTTGATAAATATTAAGTTTTTGTTTCGCCTTCTAGACCAGGGGTGGGAAAGGTTTTTGGACCAGGGGCCACAAATTTTGTCCACCCAGACTGGCACACCATGTAAGGGGACGAAAAATGTTACATTTATATACAATATTTGCAATGTTAGAAAAGTGAAATTGGGAAACGATAAGCCTCGTGCCAAAACTAAATTTAATTGCAATCGCAACAAATTTCTTGAGCTAAAACATCAAAGTTTGGTTGTGGCTGCATCAGACGGGCCAGATTGAATCACCCAACAGGCCGTAGTTTGCCCATGTCAGTTCTAGAAACTAGCTGCATGATTAGGTCGAATGTTTTAAGACTACACCCTGCTATTAATTCTGTTTCCCACATTATATTTTTTAGAATTTGCACTTTATTTGAATGTCTTCAGGCACTGATGAATGTTGATTTTCGAGCAGTTGTACAAATTCCAATCAAGTCAATTATGACAACTTTGTTTGATGTTCTTGATATTATTCCGTCACAACTGGTGGGTTTTCTTTCCTCTTCCTTTTCATATTTCTTTGATCCAAGACTAATAGAAAGTAAAATAAACCTGAAGTATATTTTAAAACCAATGATGCAATCTAGACAACTACTATCTAATTCTTATCACATTACTAGCTAACACCCCTGTGTTCGAGATTATGGTGTAATATCCCAGAACTCTATGCTCTGAAGTAAGTTAGTGTTTCCAGAGGGTTTCTTGTTTCAAAATATTGGCATGTGAATATTGAATAAAATGAAAAAAAAATTTGTTTTAAAAGATTTAGGACTTCACTGTTGTCTTGTCTTCTCTTTCAGTTTCATTCTTAAATATACCAAGGTTTTTACTTTAGGGAAATACATCTGAAATGTTGCATCGTGCTTCATTCATACCTCTTATTCAAGGGACTGCTTTACAGCTGTTTGGGAAACTAACTCATATGTAAGCCATTGCATTTTTATGATTTTAGTTAGTCAATATTAAAACAGCAAGTCATTGCTGCTGATTTCTTGAAAAATTTATGCTGTCATTAAATACTATTGGAAAAAGGTGATTTATGACTCTTTGGTTACTAAATATTATTTTACATGAACAATGTAGAATATTCTAATAGTTTCTGAAAAATCATGATATTTCTTTCGTGTTATTCTGGAAAGAGTGTCACACAAACCAAGCTCAATGAACTCTTTTTAGGCACCAAGTTGTCCGATGAAACGAAGTATTCTATATTTTCAGTTGTAACCGGAACCTATGTCAATATTCGTCAAGAGTTAATAGAACTTTATATTCTTTGCTTGATTTGTGGAAAGACAAATCACCTGTTCACGGAAAAAATAAAAAATACAATTTAATAAGGACTCAAGTATATACAGCTATATTGGAATGGATAAAGGTATATATATTTGCACATATCACCACTTTTTGAAGAAATGTAGGCTAAATGATTACTGAACGATGGTATGCGTTCATTTATACTTTTGTAATATTTATTGTTATTGTGTTTTACATATTTAGAACTGCGGAGTAACATGTAGATTCTTATGTGGACCTAATCATCTTAACCAGATTGTTTTGAAACATATTATCGATGATTTCATTCCTATGAGTAATACTCTGAAGGTAAGAAAAAGATTATAATTCGCAATTCAAAAACATAGTGCAGCCTTCTATAGAATTAAGGTTGTTTACTCATGGTCAGGAATTGGTCCTGCACATATTTCTTTTTTTCACCAAGTGAGACTGCCTGTATGATAAAGGATCGACTATTTTTAGGTTACCAATGCCACAGTTCAAACTAACAATAGCAAGAAAGCAAAAAAACGAAGACTAAATGAAGCATCACAAGAATTACTTCACAGCTCATCTTGTGATAGAATTCGCAATCCTAAAGTTAATTTACAGCTTTGCACGAGTACTTTGAAAGGTGAGGTAGTTTTTTTGAATGGATCATATGATTATAACACTTAAATGTATGAGATATTCTAGTAGGGTGTCTCAAACTGAACCCGAGCCCCTTCAGGAGGACATGTATCGCTTCGCTGTGGGTCATGACGTACTAGCTACCATTCATGATGACTTAATTAGTTTAAAGCAAATTGACTACGATGAGGTTAATTTTTTTTCTGAGTGTAATGAATTTACTTTTTTTTTTTTATTTGTTGACTTTTGTGTTATAAAATGTGGCGCATGAAATTATTGGTGGGAGCGCATTTTAAGAGCTGAATTAGGTATTTTTATATGTTTAGTCTCTGGAAGGAGTGTTTGGATCATGAGAGTTTTAGAACCACTGTTCTAGCTGTCTAATATTCTTTCTAAAGATGTCTGAATTAAACGTACTGTTTTACTGAAAGTTCTCTTTTTCTTTTTCATATTACCTTTCATAAATTAAAGTGTTTTCACTGGCAGTGTATAATTTGTGGTCTTTGGCTTAAGTGAGAGATTAGATTTAATGGTGAATGTAGAGTTATCTTGGATTATATGGACCTTCAGGTCTTCAAATTCCCACTTCTACTCCTGGGTAAATTCCACGTCTAAAACTCCATGTTTTTTGTCCTTGTTCTCAGTGATATTGGAAGCCATTAGCACACTCGGCCATCGCCTATTCAGTGAAATGCACAGATTATTGCAGGAAAATATTATAATCATTGTATTAAAATTACAACAAGGGGAAGTAATGGATCCATACACAAGGTAATAACTGTCTATTTCCCAGTTGCCCATTTTCAAGATGGTCGTTTAGAATGAAACTTGTTTGAATTTTTAATGAGGCATTGTAGCAAACTTTTCTGGACATTTTTGAAAGACACTCAAAGAATTCGATGTTTCCCCAAACCTTGACCACAGAAAAATCCTTTCTATGCTTCACTATTGCAAAACTATTGACGCTTATTTTCAGTGTTTTCACGATTTGGCATTTACCATCTGGGTTATGCTTTCATAACCAACATTTTGATTCAAACTATTCAACCACTTGCCATTTAGTTTTTGTTTACTGCAACTGAACTAAATTTTTTTCTACGAAAAAATTACTTAACAAAGTTATTTGATCTATGCCTAAATTTGGGAAACACAAAACCACAAAAACGAGATAATGTTTACTAAGAAAGTTGATGATAAGGGGAAACATCCAGTGATATGATATTATCCAACTGTAGAAGAAATGTCAGGTCGGCATTAATTGACTCAATACCATCTAATTCATCACATAATCATCAAAATGAAATTTTCGGACAGATTCATTTTGACAGTGTAAACGCATAAAAATTACCTTATGCAACTCATACAACACAGGCTGAAAGACACTCTGCAGTGCGTGTGCATTGCATATGATTTTATGCCGGGAGTTCAGTGGCTGACATATTATCAGTGTCTTAAATTTATTACAGATGTTCTGCGCCTCGTTTGTTGCTGTATAAAGTACTGCTTGCACTAACTTTGTCTCCACCACTCAGTGTAGCACCGCCTACTGCTCTGGTGGTGAAAATATTTTCATTCGCATTGTCAAACGAAAAAATTCCTGAAATAAAAAGTTTTTGTACTGAGGGAATATCAAGCTTAAATGTTGTTATTCACCCTTGGAGGAACTCATGGCATATGTAAGTTAGATATTTTTATCAATATTTGAAATATGCCCTTTTGCGGTTAGCAGCTTCACTATAATTGCAATGCATTCAAAGTGACAGAAGTATATATATAAAGAACTAAATATTTTTACAGATGTTCATCTAATAACAATGAAAGTAGTGAAAAGCAGGATCTCATTAAAATAGCTCCCATTATTGAACCAATGAATATAGAGCATATTGAATCTGATATTGATGAAGAAAATGATGAATGCGAGGAAAATGGAGGTATGCCAAAATCAATTGGAACATATCACCTAAAAGCAGTCTCATCTTTGATTTTCGCCTAATAGACTTTTTCAAATTATAGCAGCTATGACATACAATGCCCAATGAACTACAAGCACTAAATAGGAAAGTGTAATTTGGAAAAAGGCATAAATTTATTTAAAAATTTGTTATCATATAAGACATGACTGGAAACGAGGATTTGTTCTTGTACTGTTTTATACAATAGACTCAATTACTGGCACAATAGATCATAGACGTACCTAGTAATTGCCACTGATTGAAGATTGGATGGAATGCCATGATGTCATTCTTAATGATATCTTATATTCACAGATCAAGATCTTGGTGACAATGTTGAGATGAAAGAGCGTACCTACCAGAATGGCATGAGTGAAGAAAAATCTGAGACTGAGTATCTTAAAAGTGAGATAATAAAATTAATCTTTATCTGATTTATTAAAACGTTTTCTCATTTTTAAAACTCGCTTTTTAACTCGTGTAAATGATTGAAATCATTATTTGTTGCTGGCAGTGAAAATTGTTTACTTTCATGAGATGGATTTTTTTCTCTTTGTATCACAGATTTTGTGCATACGCAAGAAGCTTTTTCACTGGAAAAACTAGCCACTAAAGTAAGCATTGCACAAGCAGAAGATGTCTCAAATAATGAAGCGATTGGAGCGATAAACTGTGACATCGCTATAGAGAATATAGTCGATGATGATGATTTTGTACAAAGGAGTGAACAAACTGCAAAACCTGCTGATCTACAAAACAATACAAGAACAACTTTCCATTTACCTAAGGTTAACTCATCAGGAAATGATGGTATTAATGCAAGTGTGACTGTGGCGAATATGGAGGAGGTTTGTTTATTTTTTTATGTTGGCGATACCTGACACTTGGAGACTAGATTAAAAATTACTAGATCTGTTTTTATGGCTCATTTTCTATTTTAATATCATAATTTTTTCAGTGCGGTGTTGAAGATATGGAAGAAGTCAATAAAATGCTTCTTGATTTTGTTGATGCTTCACCAGATGAAGATGAATGAGTCACATCATCTAACTACGAAAGCACAGGTGTACACTCTCTTCCCAGGACCAGTTTATGGACCCGTTGTTTTCATTATCTATGAACTAATCATTGTTCTGGGGATGTGTGAATCTAACGAAGCCTGGTTCAGTGAAACATGCACTACATAGTTATTTACCATGCCTTGATATGGAACAGTGATTTCAACCAGTGTTTCATAAACGACATTCAGATGTTCAGTGTCAAATGGTTGTTTCTCACTTTTTTTCTGTTTGACATATTTATGATAACGAAATAAAAAAGGTAGAAATGGAAAATTCACTGAGCACATATTTGGTTTATAATGAGTCTGTTATTTGATAACAAGAATACGCAGTGCGAACTGTGAATCTCGTTTCAAGGTTTTATTCAGATTTATCGGTAGTGGCAGTTTGCCAATGTTTTGAATGATGAATAGAAAAATTAAAACGTCGGGAATTGAGAACCTGTGACTGTTTTTTTTAATCCTTGCAAGAATAAAAGACTTGTCTTTATTCCAGCATGCTCTGACGTCCATCGCATTAAAATGTAATTGTTATTTCTAGATACTTGCAGTCTTGAATTAGATTATTCTCATTGGTATTTTACCATTTTGTAGCCAGAGTTTAAAAAACTTATTTGTACTTTCGTTCATTTTAGCCTTAGATTTCTTAGGTCTCTTTATTCAGCTCTAGACGTGAGCTATCGGACTTTTTGCTATTTCTATGCTAGAATGATCAGGATAAATATTACGGTCTTTTATTTCTCGCAAAATCTGAAATTCTCGTTTAGTGTCTTGCAAACGGGACTCGTTTGTTGTACCCGGCGCGGCGGTGTGGCTCAACGGGCTAAGCGTTAGGAATACGCTCGACACCGCACCTCTAATTACTCTGCGTGAGTTCGCAGGTTCGAATCCCATGCAGGGATGGTTATGTGCGAGAGGATTGCTGAACTCCTCGCCGTCGTTGGGTGGTTCACGTAACCGCTGGTCGGTTACGGCTTCCTCCACCACCAAGTCCATGCCTCCGAAAACAAACAATATAACTAATCCCATACCCGACTTGGAATGGTAACCGGACGAGAGGCCGTGGTTCGCCATATGGATAAGCCGTCTTATCGGCTTCCCTCTCCCCCCGGGATAAATATGTGAATCCTATCCAAAGTGTTCTGCAGACCATGAGCATCAATGATATAGATCAGAGTGGTCCAAACGTGGCCCGCGTCGCACTTTCTGAAGGGTAACAAAAATTTGATGTTGTTTCGTGGTAAAAATAACTAGTTGAGCTTGGTTAGTATGAATTGTTAACTGATTTTCTATCTTTTTGGTCGGGAAAATATGCTAACAATAAAAGCACGGAGGTTTTTGCTTGTACGATAAATCACAATTATCGATCAATGTGTATGTATGCACAATAAATGTGTTTGTATCGTTTTGTATTGTACTGGTAACCTAATCTTGGCACTATTATGGCCCGCGAACAATGCAAAAATAATTTTGTGGCTCGCGAAGACGACAACCCTGGACCAACCTGAATTATAGCACATCTTCCCTCAGCCTATTTTTAAGCTCTTGAAAACATTCAACTTCCTCCCTGGTGATGAATTCCTCGCCGGTTGCGAGACGTTGGTATATATTAGAGCTGGGCTATTCCTTATATATCAAGCAAGATGGGTCGTGAAAGGGATCAATCGGGGTCGAGGTAAAATCTTTTTCGATGCTGACTTATGTTAAAATTAAATATCGATCAAATTTTGAACCGGTACTGAGATCCACCATCACCGAAATAGAATGACTACTTCAAGCACATCGGGCTCATTGAAGGTATTGTCAAATTTACTATTTTTTTCAATATTCTCCGTATTTTTAAAATTTACTTGAATTTTCATTTTCGTCCCCGGGTGTTGCGGAAAATTTAGCTGGGTCGTGAAGGAAAACTTTGAGAACACTGGGTTACAGCATCATGGATCGATTAGGGTTTTCATATTTATTTGGGGGAGATAGGATGTTATAATTATATTACATGTTATAATTTATATCACCACGTCATTCCGTCCGGTTACTAGTTCTCGTCAGATGTGGGAATCGTTGGCGGAGTAAGCTATGTTTCTGTATAGATGCCCTTGTTGTATGCCAGCTCTTGATAAATATATATATATGTGCGCGGCATTGCTAACTTGTTATTCAAATGCTTTTGTTGTATGACAGCCTTTTAAATATAAATAAGTGCGCGGCATTGCTATTTTGTTATTAAAATGCCCTTGTAAAGACGCACAGCACATTGATAAGTATTTGGTAGGGCTGGTATCGGTAATAGTTAACGGTTGCAATTAATTTTGATAAGACGTGTAAACTGCAAAAGTAAACTTGGTAGTTGAAGCTGGTTTTAGGGCAGATTAGCAGTTACGGAATGAATTGCCTCATACTTAATCTAAATACCCTCCGAAGAGTCGAAATATACCCCAGTTTTGGAATCTCTGACCGTTAGAAGGGTTTGCAAGAATTTTGATTCCCACTATTCAAAACATCATGCTGCTTTTCAACCATGCATTTCTTCATCTGTTTTGTACATTTGATCAATTTTTAGTGATTTTTTTTTCATTTCTGATAGCAAGCGATGTGTCCCATAGATTTTTTTACTTGTTTATACTTATGCTTTATAGGAATCCCAGGCCCAGAATTTACAGCATTCAAAATCAGCTTTATTTATAATATATATATTTACTGCATGGCTAATTCTGGCAATTTTTCAGCTACCATAATCGTATAGGAACATTTGAATCATTAGGTTTTCATTAATCAGAGACGGAGGAGGTCGTTAGGATTCTATTACATTTCATTTTATCTATCTGAATTTTGCTGTTTTATTTCAGGTGCAACACTCTTTTACCCTATATAAATTGTCCGTGGATCCCAGCAATTATGTGTTTTCTATCATTTTAAATTGAGTTGCATTGCCCGATTCTGAATTGTGTCCATATTTTTTGTATGCTCCTATTATTCCTATTTTATTTTTTGGTGGGTGGGCGCGTACTTGTACGGTTTTTTAGCCTTATTTTAAGTTAAGCTCGTCTTTCAGGTATCTCTGTATTTGTTGTCTCTTTACTTTTTGTGTTGTTCTTTTTTACGTCAGAGTGCCGAAATAAAATATTGATTGATTTATTGAGGTGTAAACAATGTGTAACCAGCGCTTGTGGGCAACTTGAAAATGTAAAGGAAGCCCAAAAACATTCTGAACACCCTGGCAGGCTTCAAAATATTGAATACTATTTTAAAAAATTGTACGTTGTTAACGATCAATATAATATGAATCCGGGTCTTTGGGAAAGTGTTTATATTTTCTTGCCATATATTTATCCGCCGTCTACAGTGCATTGCATCCAATTATTTAGCTCCATTATTGCACGCCCTTTTTACTTGTTCACAAGTGTACTGGATTAGTAATTTTCACCTATTGTCTGGTGTCGTTTTATCTTTGTTGTTACCATTAGCATCACGTGCCGAATTACCTGTGTATTCGTCTGTCCAAACCAATCGAGAAGCAGATTTCATGACGCCCATTTAAAAGAAAAAAATGGTTTACGCCTATATGTTGCAATGCAAAGGGATTGGAATTGCTCGCAGGAACCAGATTGAACTGAATTGAGAACTCGTTTCGAATTCCATTCGAAATTTGCACTTCTTATGGGTCGCATTTAGCCCGCGGGCCTTGGGTTACACACCCCTGATCTAAAGAACTGTGGGACTTCAAATTTGGAGATTTATTATTTTTCAAATCAATATTCAACCAAAATATTTAAGATCTCTATCCTAAAAAAAACTCCTTAAACAAATTTTCTGCATTGACAACATAAAAACCACTTTTGCGACATTCGTATCTAAAGACTCGGCATTGTAGTATAGGATAGGGATACCAGGCTAGCAGCATGGTTTGGAGGCGAATTAAACCTGTAGATAACAGTGAGTTTCAACAGCGAATGCCAATAGTATGCCCTCAATTACACTGTGTAAAGCGAGGCCGTATCACACACCATTTCCTACGAAGCGCTCACATATTGTACAAGAAAAGCAAACACCGCCGTCGAGGAACGGAAAAATACTATGCAGAACAGGCGGATGCGGATGCTTTGATTGGCACTGTCACTCCCACTCATCCTTCAGAAAGTCTTTCAATATATAAAATATGGATACTGCATTGATGTTATTTATTACATTTCATTCATTTTGACATTCCCACTTGAAAATTATGGTGAAAACACTGATGAAAGCAGCAATAGAATGCTAAAATTGTTCACGATATTTAAAAAGAAGGCACATCTAATTTGAGGTCTAGATGTATTATTTCTTTGACACAAATTATAAAAAGTTGATTTAGATTTTTGTACATAAATAAATCTGAAAACAATTCCTACGCTGCAACATGTAATTCAACGCACATCATAAAATATTTTACACTAAAATACTGCATAAATCAATTATTATTGCTCTGGATAGTCTGTGAAAAACCTAAATACTAGATATTTTGACCACATTGTAGACCGCCAAACAAAAAAGACAGATAATTTGGAGAGTATATATATACCTAACATACAATGCTTCAAAAATATTTTTCAAAAAAAATTACATATTCGGGTATTAGACATGCTTGTTCTGGTATTGTTATGAAGTATTAACATGATAGTGTATATTGTCAGATCACAAGACGGGTCTTGCAAAATAATTAAATGACAAACAAAAATTACCAATGAATCGAATCATTCTGTACATTATATTATAATATCATTATTCCACTTAATGAGAAATCTTTTCAAACATAAGTTACATCTTAGCTTGGCTCTTGAAATCATCGAGCATCTTGCGAATGCGACCTCCAAGGTCAGAGTGTACTTGGGAAAAGTTTCCAACCTGAAATGGTGGAATAATGAAAACTGTTAGATACTGATGACTTTTTAAACTTTATAATAGAAACGTAGAGACCCAGTTAAAAGTTCAGAAACAGGTGTGAATACAGATGCTTAAGGCCCAGTAAGTGTGAGGGGTGAAAAATCGTTCATTTACTGAGTTTATGATTGTGTGGTCAACTTAAAATAACCTTTTATTATTTTATTATACCAAATGAACAGTTTCATTTATTAAATTATGGGCGCTGCAGAAGTGTGTGTGAAGCAATATTGAGGTACCGGTAACTAATTTTGTTCGCCTACTTCAAGTTGTCTAAAGGGGCTGAAACCCATGGGCAGGGGGTATATTCACTTGGCTGACACAAACAGTCACCAACTCGTAATAGAACTAAAATGAGGAAAATCCTTATAAAATTATGGTCTAACCTTAACCTGGTACACAACACTAAGGGAGTACCAAATTTTCTGCTTTCTTGCCGAAAGGAGACTTTTTTTTATTGCAAGCCCATCTTTTCATCGTCATCCACTTAAACTAAATCAGTGATATTGGAAGAGATTCGACCAAGCAATAATTTGATGTGAAGAGATTCGACCAAGCAATAATTTGATGTGATATTTACCGTTCTCTCCTGAAGGAAGCCTTGGGCATCCTTCAAATGTCCAGCAATGTTTTCAGCCAATCTCTGACGTTCTGGTTCGGAAAGAACTTTGCTCCAAAAGTTTGTCACCTTGTAAAATATCAATGAAAAATTTTTTCACATTCAAAATTAGAAAACATACAAAAACTGGTGGTGACAACAGTTGCTCAAACTACATTGAACAATAGCAGAACCAGTGATGTCCAAAACGAACTAATATCCAAAAGTACCACATTTATGACTTCAGAATATTTTAAGGTATAGACAGATGCAATCAGATGTAACTATATAAAAAATAAATATAAAAAACGATAATTATTTTCTGCATCTTATTTAATCTACAAGATTATACATTGATTTCTTCCATTTTAATATAAATATCGGTGTCTGTACAAGAAATATTATTTAAGAATGTATGTGGAATAAGATCAGACTTTCACAGTCCACTGTTTTCCATATATTATTAGGTATCAAATATATACCTGCGAATAGTTATCGTCATCCCTTGTGCTGTATTTCTTCACATCTCCACTCACACTGTACACAGACAAATCAGGTTGAGTATCTTTTCGAGCGTCACCATCCTGGGGTCCATTGAAGCTGTTAGGATAGTAGTTGGGAGCGTTGCCTGAATTACATGAATATCAAAGTCAGACAAATAAGCAATTGTGATATGCTTTCTCACAATGGCACCTGCGTTTGATATTTAATGATAATGAACGAGAATATACAAAATTCAAGATATACAATTTAATTTGGTATTTAATGGGCTGACCTTCAATTTTACTGGATTAACAAAATAGTACCTTGGTTGTCTGTGACATTCTGAGGCCCATCACGTTGATAGTTAGCAAGTCTTGCACGGTATGGACAATTGATCGGTATCTGCATGTAGTTAGTGCCCAGACGATGGCGATGAGTGTCTGGGTATGAGTAAAGACGTCCCTGTTGTAAAAATATAAACACAATCAAACAAAAATTGATTAAAGTTATTATAAACATCAGATATGACTTCAAAAGCATTTTAACTATATGGCAAAATATCTGTCCCCATACTACCTATCATACATACATGTAACATCTTGTCAGGACTTGGCTCAATTCCAGGCACCATATGAATTGGAGCAAATGCAATTTGTTCGACATCAGTAAAATAGTTTTTCGGGTTTTCATTCAAGACCATTCTTCCAACTGGAATAAGGGGGTAATCAGCTTGTGGCCAGATCTGAAAAAATTAGAATTACAGTTTATTAAAAAACCATTAGACTGTAACTCTCCCCATATTGCCTTGTGATTATGATGTAAAAAATATATTCTGCAAAAAGGAATGATTGAAAATGCATCATAGAACAACAGGTCAAACTTTCAAAATGAATACAGTTACGACATAAGTCCTTTAATAATATGTAAATTAGTGCTTTAATTTCACTAGTACATGCCAGCAGTCTGCCAACTCCGTGCATATGGAACTTGACACGGCGACATAAATCTCAGTTAAACCGAAGCATGACTGCAAATCCCATCTTAGCAACATTATAATCAATAGGTTTAATAACCTATGTTTCCTGTTAACGCAGCAAAAAGATTAATTTAAAATACTAACTAATCGTGATATAGCATTTTTATTATTTTCAGTATGTTATTCAAAACATTATGAATACCGTCGATCATGATGTCAGAAAAATAGTCCAGTCATTCTGATTAGAAAACTAAGCATGCATGATTCCAATACACGACTAATTTACATTTTTATTAATATTCCAAATGCACCCAAACCAACTTTTCTGCAAAGCCAAAACAAGCAGCAAAATATTTGCTAATAAGATTTTTGCTAAATTAATAATATTTCGTGATATGACAACATAAACTGAGGCCAATTCAACCTAAGATCATATTCTTTTGTATTAATTAATCAGGTTGGCTTGATGGTAAATGACATGATAAACGCTGAAATGCTGTATTAAACATGTTGAGCAAAATTTAATTGAGCATTAACATTTCGCAATGATTTGCAGTTTTGGGGGTTTGTTAAGTTTAAAACAAGTGCACAATGTATACACAACAATCCACTTCATATTTCTATATTTAGCAAAAAAAAAAGAGTTGTTCAGAATTTTTAAATATTCAATATCCCAGATTACCAACATCTTTTTGTCACATATTTTCAGAATAATGAATTGTTCTGTTCGAAGGTAATACCGCCCCATACAAATCAGACCAAGTCGTGATTGGTGTTGTTTTGTTTTTTGTTACAAAATGAGTTACAGATGTGCCATGTCATATGGGCATGTATTATTTACAGGCCATGACTGAATAGGAAAATTGTCTACCATTCCACAAGGCACGGCTCTTAGTTAATAATTTATTGACTGTAGTTTTATTCAGGTAATCTATACAAACTAACACCAGAATCATTTGTCCAACAAACAGAAACTACAATACCGAATGCAAGATAATATTTAATGTAACTGACTTAGTGCTAGTCAAATAATTGAATGTCTGCTGCAATGTTATGATGGTTTAATCATGAATGCTTTGAACTGTAAAATAGCAGCCAGAAATAATTTTGCAAGATCAGCACTTGTCAGACACCCAATGTTGCTAAGGTAGCCTACCCAATGTTGAAACTTGAATTCATTTTTATTTCTTTGTATGTTAAACTTACGACAAAGATTTAAAATTTTACGAGAAAAAGATTGTATGAAAAAGTAGTAATGATTGGCACTAAAACAAACAAATGGTCTACAGAAGAAGCATCTTGTTTTGTTATACCTAATTGTGTGGACTATGCTTGTTTCAAGCATGAAAAACAACAGCACAAATAGATTCAAAACATACAACATCTATCATGTGACATTAATTAAGTCAATGCAGCAATAAATAATCACATGCAAAGTCTTATCAATAAGCAAATCTGCAAAATAATGTGATGCAACAAAATGTGTAGTTTGATTGATGTGGTGTTGTGTTCATTTCAAAAGCACTTTTTAATCAGGCTATTTTAGAAACACTTTTATATTCCACATATTAAATCAGTTGTAGGTTCAATATTGAGAGTTGAGACCAATACAATCAGCATAACTTGATGGGTAAGTATCTATGAAATACTTTACCAATCCTTATTCCTTTTCAGAGAACTGAGATTTATGGAATTTCATTCAATAAAAAATTCAATTGTAGACTTGTAGTACAGTATATCTAATATACCCTTCAGAAATATTGTTAAGCAATGTTTGCACCAGAAAAACATTTTAAATTGCGGTGATAGGAATAGACGAGTTTTACGAAGAATCAAACCGCATAAACTTTCCCTAGATCTAAGTAACGGCAGTCTTTTGTCAAATATTTTCACTCAGTTATGATAAATCAGGACTGTTATATGATGTTTACATAGCCTCAATGGCAGTTCTGTGAATCAAGAGAATTCCTGACTACCCCTATTATAATATTTGCTAAGTCATTCATGACTGATAATATCTAATTTAACTTGTTCTTTCTTTATCTGAAGGTGAATCGAGCTCACAGAGCACCAGATCATGTGATGGCCAAGCATGGCCAACCTTCGTGTTCTAAACTACCAGTTTTTAATTAAAGTAAAGCCCCAATACTTAAGAATATGGTTTAACTGAAAGAACTTCTGACCAACATTTTCATTCAACTTCAAATTTTTGAAGTCTGCATATCAATCCAAATAAAGAGACAAACTTTGAATTTTCATATTGGGGAAATTTATAATCAGTTGTCCCACATGTTATGTATCACGTACACATATTTTATTACATTTTTCAAAAGTACACACACCTTTGAATTAACGAAGTTAGATTTATGATTGATAAAGGTTAACGGATTGTGCAATTAACAAAATTTCTGTAAACAATGACAATAGAAATTACCGGTAGTTCAAAGTTATACAAAAGTCCTACTGTTGTAAAACAAAATGAAAACATATTCAAACCTACCTTAGTGAGGTCAAATGGGTTGAATGGCAATTTCTCAGCTTGCTCAAATGTCATCACCTGCATGAACAGTAAATGGTTCATTATGGAGCAAAATCGAATACCATATTCTAAAATTCTTCTGTGTCTATAATTCAGAGAACATCATTATAAATATAATGGACCGTTGGAATAATTGTGCATTCCAAACTTTATCGAGATAAACACCAGCATTTTCATAAACAATAAGCCTGATTAAATTTAAAGAAACGATGTTTGCCAATTTTTAGAAATTTTAAGAGAAATCTAACTTGAACATTGCTAATAAAATACTACTTAGTTTGTCGTTTCGAGTCGTTGACATTTCAAACTCTGGAATTTCAATTCTAGGTAAGCGCTGCCCAGGATGCTATTTTGACAATAAACATTTCATTTTATACCTTTTTCAAGGTACAGTACTACCTTGATGGATTGGATTTTGTACATACTATAATATTCCATCATGATTGGTTAAAGTACTTTTTTATAATTCTACTTTACCTGAATCTTGAAAGTCCATGATGGGAAATTTCCTTCGCTAATGGCATTGAAGAGATCTCTGTTGGCATAGTCTGGGTCACTCCCTGCAAGTTCATTTGCCTTATCAGCCATCAGATTTTTGATGCCTTGGTCACACTAAATAAAAAGGCTCATTGAATTTTTTATTTTACACTGATTTTATTTAATCGTTTCATCATATTTCAACAAAAGAGATATACAATAAAGAATTTGCTTCAACTCTCCATTCTGTAAAATTAGAATTGAAAACTTTCGCATTGCAAAATAGGTGTCCATAGAGTTTACATCTAGTTAATCCATAAAGAATTACAAATAAAAAAACCTTGAAGTGGAATTTGCAGTAGATTGGTTTTCCATCCTTATTGACCATCTTGAATGTGTGACTTCCATATCCATTCATGTGGCGATATCCATCAGGAGTTCCTCTGTCACTGAACAGGAATGCAACCTGACAATGATTAAAAAAGTGAAATTCTGATTTCCTCTCACCGATATGTCTATAATTATAACTTCTCTGTTCTCTATTTATTTCTAAAAATTATCCTTATTTATTCATTTTTATTTTATATGATGACTTAATAAATAGTATTGTTAATGATACCTGGTGAGTCGTCTCTGGACGAAGTGAAATGAAATCCCAAAACATATCTGGATCTTTAAGATGAGTTTGAGGATTTCTTTTCTGAGTGTGAATGAACGATGGGAACTGGAAAGGAAAAATTCAAAGGGTAATCAATGCTGTGTTAAATCCTTGTTCAAATCCGAAATATTTAATAATCTGTGCTATCGATTGGGTTTCTACGATACTAACTACTTCTTCATCTTCTATGTTTCCGCGCCGGTGGATCGGTATGCATATAATGCGAGGATGCTGTTGCATAACTATCCTAAGTGATTCAAGAGTTTTGCTGCACACTAATACAAATTTATTTTTGTAACGTTTCATCTGATCAATGTCAGACTTCCTCAGACATACGTAGTTCACAGTTGAACTATTGGCAATAGACAATAGTGTCTGAGGAAGTCTGACCTTGGTCAGACGAAACGTTACAGAAATATATTTACGTTAGTGTGCAGCAAGACTCTTGAATCACTTAGGTTATTCAATAATCAATAGAATCATATACATCAAATCATCTTACATCATATCAAATAATAGTTGATAAATATCTAGTAAAAAACAAAACTCACAAAGATGGGATCTCTAATGAAGAAGATAGGTGTATTGTTACCAACCAAATCCCAATTACCATCCTCAGTGTAAAATTTTACTGCAAATCCACGAGGATCTCTGGCAGTATCTGCACTTCCAGCTTCACCCCCTTTGAATGATAATTAGATGTTTAGAATTTTACTCATACACTAACATATGAAAAATAAATATTGCAATGTACACTGGTATATTCTACTTGGGGTATGTCAAAAATATGTATCTAGAATTTTCAAACACAATTTTTTTTTTAATCCGGGCATTTTGATTTCATTCAATAAATACAAACTCAAAAATACATTCAAATATATTTGATGCTTTCACTGAATACATTTACGGTATGTGCATTTTCGAAATTGCAGTCAATACGAGAAATTCAATTATGCAATAAAATAATAATATGCCAAAATTACAAAACTGAACGAGACAATGCATCTGAGCGTGATGAGACAAAATTACGGTAATATAATATGCAAAACAGGAAGAACTTTTCAAAATATTGATAATAAGCAGCAGTACGCAGTAGTCTTGAACATCCTACTAGTTGCTATTTAAGCCTGATTTTTAAGTAGTAACTCACTAAAAAGAACAAACGTTATTAGTGTGCTACAATAAGAATTTCACAAGGATATAGACAATACTATTCATAATTGTAAAGGCTACCAGCACAAAATACAATTGCTTTCAAATACATTGAATCCAGTACAATTTGAAAATTGTGAATCGTGCATGTTTCACTACTGTATTCAAATTTCGATATATATGAAAACACCTCACCCACAGTTGAGAATCGAACAGCAAGTGGAGTTCTTTTTCCAACCTTTTCAAATATCTTAGCTTTGCAGTACTTTGTGATGTCATGGGTGACTTCGAAATACCCTTTGGCACCTGTTATAAATCAATTGAATTAAATCTACGGCAATTGCAAGAAAGTAAAAACATGGATGTTTGATTTTATGCACAGACAATTTATATCAAAAACAATATTTGAAAAAATTGAATTTGAAAATGACATGTGGTAATGACAAACAGCTTTATATATTTTCACTTTAAATAAAACTAAAGTATTCACCTCCTCCTTTAGCATGCACAACACGCTCCGGAATTCTTTCTCGGTTGAAGTGTGCCATCTCATCAGTGAATGCAAAATCCTATAAAATAAAATTTGATCGTAAAATAATAATTCAAATATTATGACGCGAGGGATGTTACCTGTATATTCGGATAAGGGAGTCAAAATAACCAATATATTGTATTCGTTAATATAGGCCCTATTGAATAAATACGAGAGTGAGACATATCGCAGAATGAGAACAGAAGGGGCCTAAGTCACATTTTTGCAAAATTCACTTTTTTCAATATTTTGGGGTTTTGAGCCATGCTCTACAAGGTGGTGGTCTTGAAATCCTGAATTTTCTCAATAATAAAAATTTAAGCTGGACTTAGGCCTGTAGAAGTTAAGAACAGAATGGGCCTAAGTCCAGCTAAAATTTTTATTATTATGAAATTCAGAATTTCAAGACCACCACCTTGTAGAGCATGGCTCAAAACCCCAAAATACTAGAAAAAGATAGTCCCAAGTTCCAATATGATGGGCATGAACATCAGAAATGAAATGTCCGAAACTAACATCCCTAAAAATTTCTTCAGTGCAACCTAGGCCTAAGTCACCTTGTTTTACCTTGCATCCCATACAAAAAAATTCAGAAGTTGTTGAGAACAGAATGGGCCAAAGTCCATTATGGGGTTAAATAAGCAGGAAGGAATTGAAGCTGAAGTGCCAAAAAATATTGATTACAAAGATATTCACATCCACATTAAAATAACCAGAGCTCAGGTCTTTACTAAGTGTGAATATCTAGAAATTCAAAAATAAAAAAATTCCAAATTGTTTTTTACGTTTTTCTCAAAACTCAAAATTGTGATTTAGGCCTGTTCTGTTCTCATCCGGCGATATATTAAGTTTTTCAATGTATAATAAATATATAAGGATTCGACAAACACCATCAAGGAATACCTGCAAAAGCATTGGCCCTCTTGGTCCAACCGTCATTGACTGCAACTTCTGGTCAATTGGTGCCCCAGTGCTGGAGGTAAGAGCTCCACCATTCTAGACAAAACAATTATATACATATAATTAAGGTTCAAAACCATGAGCACGAAAAAATTTTAAGGATTGTTTTTGTATATTATCAAGTGTTCTGTTGTATCATTAAGTTTTACTCACAGTGAGCACAAAATTAAGAGAATTATATTGATAGATAATCCATATGGGCAGTAATATAGGCAACGGAAGCATAGCATCATGTAATATGTATATCCTGCAATTTACCAACTTCCGAAGATATCATATAGCTTAATTTCCTTTTCAACTGGCGAAAGGATGTATGAGCAGCATAACTAGTATCTAAACTAATCATACCAATATATGGATTAGTATCCCCATTGTTGGATATTTCGTAATTCTGACTTGAAATCATTTTCAATTTTGAATTATAAGTAGATTTATTTACAGGAAAATCATTTTTTTCAGTAAAATTCAACATAACCTAACTTTCCATACAATAAAAAATTAATGTTAATTTCAAGGACTGAGTCTCCAATGATCATGAATTGTCAAAATTATGAGGTGTGAGATAAACACTTAAATTACAATTTTGATTCGAAATTTTTTTGCTTTCTCACACTGGCATCATAAGGCTCCAGACAAGTATTGACTAAGATTTACTTAAAAGAATATTACTTTCATAACAATATTCATATTATAGCTGTAAATTTTTGCATTGTTGACAATATCAGAATATTTGAAAAGCCAATGACTGAAACCTGGAAACATGACAATTATACAAGATTAAAACATAAAACAAACCTTTGTGGCTGTGGCATATTCTTTCAATTGGTCAGCAGCTTTAGATCGTGGGGATGCCATGTTGTTCTTTAAAGAGCTCGTTTAGTAATATAAGATATACAGGTTTTCGTTATTGATCTGATAAAATATGTCAAAATAAACAATGTTTAAAGTACCGGTAGACTATATCTATTTCTGTACTTCATTTCACTATTTTATATTTAAGATTAATTCAAAAACATCTCTTTATATTAAAATAAAAGTTATTGAATGGAAGAGAGTGATCATGACGGCAATAGTCTACTGCAATATGATGTAAATTTATAACAATATTAGAGTGCAGCATCAAAGAAAGAGAGAGAAATTTTATTCCCACAATCACACAATGTCAGCATTCAGACATTCTAACAAATTAATATAGAACATGTTCATATCTGTCTGTAGGAACATCACGTAGTCGAATTGTCAGACGCAAATTTTGTCTACTGCGGCGATAGCAAAGGGTACCGTATTCTAGAGAACGAACCAGCAATAACGAAATAATCAGTTAAATATTAACCTTATTCACAAACTTTGTGTATGTTACAAACTGGCACAAAATCACGCGAATAGCCTATACAGTGCGATACTTGTTTGATACCAGCTAATTATTTAACTCTGCTTGGTTCTACAATAACAGAATAACAACTCATGAAATACGATATCCATGCAAACACGCATAATCTTATCTTTTTCTTTTCACAAATAAAATCGACTTACTGACTTATGATAACCCAGCTCCTATACCTTCATATCTATCATTTATCATTTAACGATTTAACGGCAAAGACCTGAAGTTATTTGAATGCAGCTCCCATGCAGTGCACGCCATATATATATACCGAAAACTAAGCCATATTTTCCTTGTAGTTCAGCGAGACGGGGAAAAAAATCTCCAATGTAGCGATGCAGAAATTTGCTGATTCATTGCACGTGCGATCATGCGCATTAGTAAGTTGGTTACATCAATCATGTATGGGCCATTAATAAAAATATTGCGCGATTCTCGAATTTTGCAACGCGATATCCCTTCTATTGGGTAGACTGAGTTCAGATAAGACTATGCATTCCTTACATAACAAACACGCACGTGAACTAAACAGCGATGTAAAAAAAAATGACAGAATACCCGAGAAAAAAAGATTTTGAAGCTACCATGAACGCAACCGCACAATAAAAAAAGCGGATAAATGAGAAATAACTGAAAAACATAAAATTCAAAAAAAATATTGAATATTCTTAGTATACTCTAGCCAATCATCAAATTATTTATATTGTTATATATAATTTTCATAGGCAATTTTAATATTATCAGCCCATTTTTCAATGAGTCGAACTCATTTGCGCTGCACTTTCACGTTCATATCAATAACATCGGTGGTACCTACACACGAGCGTCGGGTGATATTTACCACCATCACTTTCGAGTGCGACACAAAGCTAGCCGCAATGGAATTTTGTTGAACCTAGTCACAGCTAACAATATGCCTAATCCCTTTTGTTTTTAATATATAATATACATATTTGCTTTGTGAACAACTTGCATATAGATGCACTCTCGTGAATAAAAATGATAATTCACGATTGCACTTTCATCCTATCAATAAAAAGAACAAGAATAACAAGAACAACAACAACAAAAATACCAAAACGACCCATAGGTCCACTACGTGTCTAATAATACATATGGCTATGGCATTTTGGTTCAAACAAAGACTGTTAAGGTCGTAACTCAAAACGTGCAGATACAGTGATTTCCCTACACCCCCCCTATAGGGGGTGAACACCCCCCCCTAAAATTTCAAACACCCCCCCTAATTTTGAGGTGCGATTCCACACTGAGGGGTTCTAAACCGCAGTCTGCGGGCCAACTACGGCCCGCGTGACGATTTAAAATGGCCCGCCGAACTTGAGTGAAATAGTTTAACCCTTCATGTGGTACCTTTCCAGTTTTAGATACCATCTATTGTTACATCATTATCACAGTTTAAGCACGTTCATTTCGTAACAATTGGATTATTCCGGTATCTTATGTATAGGTATGGGTATTATGATTACACACTGCATTATTTTAGATATCAGCCATATATTAAGAAAGCTTAAAGATGTCACAAAACAAAAACTAGGCACTGAAAACAGACGTTTTTTAGATGAATGACAGCGTTTTTATTTCTTTATTGAAAAGAATCAAACTTCAGCGATTTGTTTTCTTACAAAATATTTCAGTTGTGAAGGAATACAACATAGCGACATTATGATCAGTTGACGAGCGTATTTCAAAATTTAATTCATACAAAAGTCAAACAAACATGTTCAAAAAAATTAGAAATGTGTAACAAAACAAGCCATAAGTAGCCATTCATACAATGCCAGATGAGCGAGTAACTTCATTAGTCACTATCAGTTGCAAATTACTTGTTGAAACGTAGTAGTATATATTTACGGTTGAAAGCCGTGCTTGTTATCTATTCCTCGGGAATTCTATCAGCTAAATTTTATAAATATTGATTTTATTGCATAACAAACTGCGATGCTATGTGTATCTAAAATCAAGCTTAGAGCCTATTTTGGTGCCTATTTCTCAAAATTTTCTCAGGGCGCTTGAGCGCGCCCTGAACCCCAGCCGTGTCGTCCCGCACTTTTCCTTGCTCCCCTTTTCTGGCCCTACAATTTCATTCTGCTGTGGATTTTGGCTGGCCGTCAATCAACTTGGGGGGCCCCCATGTACATCGTTTCTTAAATACATACCATTTTTTTTAAGAATACAAATAGCCTAGTTTTATCTCTAATAGCAAATTATTTACCACCCCCTAAATTTTTAAACACCCCCCCTAAAGAGAAAAGCTGGGGAACATACTGTGCAGATACTTTAATGCGCCCTATCATGCTTTTGTTTTATCGCATGTACGTACCGTAATTCTATTACAGTATTTCATCAGTTTTTTTTTCTGAGAATCTCGCACGCCCTTTACCTAACGGGCGGCTGCTCAGAACGGGAAGTCATGATGAAACGTACGGCATCAGTCCGCTATTCCTAAAAAGACCAATCCCCGCCATCAGTTCAACTAATTGCAGGGAATTTTGAAACTTCGCCGACAAGTTCAGAACATAGCACTGTGTTAGAAGTCAACGGTCCTGCTTTGATTTGGGTGTATGTATCCATCCAACACAAGAGCTTTGGCGATCTTATGTGTGATAACGGTTCAACCGGAATTCAATTTCTCATATATACCGGTATGTATTTTTATAATATATATATGGCAAGAAATAAGTATTGAATCTAGAAATTCACGTCAAGATCTCCTCAAAAAATATTCGACGTGAATCGTTTTCAATAAACACTGCTCAAGGTGCATAGGTATTTTGCTTAAAAACAGCCCTTTTATGTTTTCTGAAAACATGCATTAATTCGTCAACAATTTGTATTGTTAAGTTCATTTCATATGATAGAGCTTAATTGTAGCTGAATTTTATTTGGCCATGTCTTTGCACCTATGATGTATCTTTTAAATATTTTTAATCAAAATCACGTTAACCGTTAGCGGTACCAAGTCTTAGCGAATATTTTGATTACTTGCTAAATTGTTCATCCTATTTTTAAGAATATTTGTGGCCTCCGTTTGAACCTGATAGCCTTTTAGAGAATAAAGATTTTTCTCTGATATTTTAAGATTTATCTGACATACAAAAAGTGTCTTGTCACTGATACAGTGCAGATATGCGTAATTGGCGAAAAACCATCAACAAAATGACCAAGCACTTCTAATATTGATAATTGCTCTAGGTGACGTCAAGAATTGATCAATTAATACATTCACGCTTACTAGTGGATTACTAAGCATCATCGCCCATCGGTGATTTCTTGTTTTCACGGACATTTGGGTTTAAAATAAATTTATGCTTCCTACCGTATAATAAGAAATCATGCTTAGGTGTGTAGATGAAAATTTGGGTATATGTTTGGGTAATACACTTAAACTGCGCTTTGTTGGTACTGAGATATGACTTATATATTAATGTAAATGTGGGGAAATGTAATATGCTTCAGAATTTCATGTTACCCAAATTTGTCGTTAAAATCCAATCCTTCTTGAAAAACAATAGATATATATCTACTTTACATTAAAACATTCGCAGAACCAGGTTCGACAGTTTGAAATATATATATATATATATATATATATATATATATATATATTTTCAATTTTTAAAACGATGGTTATTAGCGACTCTTTAACAAAATATGATATAAAATTGATCTGAGATTGATACCATCTCAGAGTCGTAAAGCTATGAGCTATTTCATTAAATACTGATTACAGAGGAAATGTTAGGCATACACCTGAACCTTCTTGCAGTTTTATTATAAGTAGGTAAACGTAATAAGCAGAGAATTACAAAACAACATCCGCATAGCCGCTGATCATTGGCATTCACCATTTTTTTTGATGTGTATCGTTTTCAACATATTCCACGTGAAACATGAATTAATAAAATCTATATTGCAATGCAGAACAATTTAGCAGAATTATAGGCATAAGAATCGTTTATTCAAAACAAAATCGGTACAGATCACCCGCTAAAACAGTGGATTCTCGCCTTAAGTAATTCTAATTTGTCAAAAATCGGGTCATTGTTTGATGGTACAAACTTGCATAGTTTGATTTTTCCGCAATTCAATAGTACATAGTTGCCAAGTATAGACCGTCTTTGAAAACAGGCGATTATATGGCGCATTACCAGAAGCGGGTACAAAGAAGTGATGTTGTCGGATGTAAAGCTGGTAGTACTCCATCACAAGCACTCTCTTTGCAGATTCTTGATACCAGTCTTAGTTTAATATAGTTTTTCATATTGTCTGCCTTCCCTTCACTGGGAATTTCGTCTCGGGTGACATGGTGTCGCTATGACCATTTTGTAAGTAATTGTCTCAGTTCATTAGACAAAGAAGAAGACACTCCGTCTCTGTGAACGTACTCCGGTAAACCGACCAAAGAAAATAATGATTCGAGACATTTAAAGACAGTGAAAGTAGTCATGTCATCAGCAGTTTTTCTGCACACGTGTCCCACTTGTTCCAGGTGTCCCACTGCACCACGTGTCCCACTTGTACCACGTGTGACACGTGGTACAGTGGGACACGTGGTACAAGTGGGACAGGTGGGACACGTGGGACAGGTGGGACAAGTGGGACAATTGGGACACGACATTTTGGAGACACCCCTTCATAGGTTGAGCCTGGCATGTTTTTCCAACTTTGTGCATTGCATATTTTTCATTACTCGCAATCGACTACATTGCTAGTTACGAGCGATCGTTCTCAAAGTTGAAACATATTTGAGATTTTCGATGTCCAATTAGCGCCTGTCAAGTTCATCTTTGATTAGGATCTAAAAGAAATTCCTGACGAGCGAGGTGAAAGAGACTATCGTTCAGGCATTTGTTGACAGCAAAGTAGCGATCGGACATAGAAATAAGTGACTTGCTTTTTGTTAATAAATGATACATGTGAGTTTGTTGCTTAGTTTGAATATTTATTCAATAAAAACCAAACGTTTCTATCTTACTTGTCCTTTCATTTATTTATTCTCAATGTATAACGACATCTATAATCTGTTTATCACTCGTAACATTTTTGAAGTTAGGGATAAGAGGCATCATTATTAGAAACTCGCCCCTGGCAGCAGAAAAGTTTAGAACGCACCGCAAGTGTGACATGTGCGACACGTGTGATACGACATTTCTGAGACAGCCCTCTTTTGTCAATGGGATGCCCTAATTCGGATTTATTGAGTGTTCGAGACCTAAAAGAAATCGAACTTTCTCGTTGACTTAAAATGACTGCAATGACAAATACGGACGCATCACACAAAACAACAAACGGTTCTTCATATATGCACCCAAGCACGTTTTTAACAAATGGGCTTTAACTGATTAAAAGAAGACAATTGCGTTGCCTCTAAGAGGAAACAATATATTATTTGAAATTGGCGTCAATTTTTTGAAAAGTTTAGATAATTTTAATAGTAGGCGAATAATTCAATGCAACGTTTCAAATTATTTTCATTTCAGGTGGTTTAAGATCAAACCTTGCCCCCCGCAGCACCCAATCGTTTATCATGTTGCAGTCGGTCTTTTCATACATTTTGACGTTATCTATCACTGAGCGATATTTTCACGTTCGATAAAGGAGATATGAACAAAATCAAATTAGAATTGACCCACAATAAAAATCATTGATACAGCACTAGACTCATTGTTTTATCACATAAACAAGAAGATCGGGGATGGATTTCAAAATTCAGCAAAATAATCCATTTTGTTATACGTTGGCGGACAGGCGCGAGTCACGGTAAACTGACGGAGGCCCCGAAGCGTGATTATCGTCCTCGCAAATAAAACTACATCTACTCGTTTTTTTTGGAATGTAAAGTAGGTGATAGTTACATTTACACTCGATCGTACCTGATTAAATCGAAAACAAAATGTAATGTATGAAGTATGATCATAATTCCTAATCGCTTCCAATAACTACAAGTTTTTAGGATGTGGGTATTATAAGCTCCAATGCAATAATTTGACAATCTTGCATTGAACAGAAAAGTAGCGGATAAAAAGGATTTTTTATTCTACATATCAAATCAAACCACTGATTGCGAGACTGTTCTTTTGCAATCAATTAAATTGCAAATAAATGATTAGTTTACGCGAAGATTTTGTAGTCGTTTACCACCACTTATTCTGCTTGTTTACATCACGCGGTATTCCGATTTATTGCAAAATCAAAGCAGTGTGCAAGTAAATACAAGAGCAGGTTACCCGAATTAGTTTGTCACCGCAAGATAGCCTAATCGAAGAAATTCTTGAATTAAGACTTCTGTCTTCCATGTGTTGCTAAGTTGTTAAGGTTTGTGTGTCTTGCAATTAAAGTTTTGAGTGTAGCGGGTTGCACTGTAGCCTATATCCCACAATCATAGCTCTTGTTCTTCCTGATAGTGGAGCAGGCCAATATCGAATTTCGATACGAGAACTACGACAATAAGGGAGATACAGTAATCCCGACCCGTGGTTTTCCGAATATAATAATGGATATCGCTATTGCGAGCGTCATGTTTCTATGAAAGCGTGCAAACCTTTAGTAGGTTTTGTTTAAAGGGATTTGTTAAATATATTTTAAGCCTATCAGGAAATATAATTCACGGGATTGAAATTCTACCCGAAAAGATTAGGATATGTTTCGCTATTCCAAGTAAAATAACAAAACAAAATTATACAATTCATAATTATTCATTATCCATCAAACCCTTGTTATTGAACAATATAACATGGCACGTGACTTAAATAGGACCGACATACATTTTGATATACTGTATCTAAATTAGATTCAGAATATCACTTACACTTACAGTACGGTCAATTCTATCTACAGATTCGCGATAGCTCTGTAATTCATGACTGGCTTTGAACGCTTTTGGATACATGCGAAATAATTCACCCTCCATATTCAAGAAAATTTACCCTTTTCTGAAACAAGCGTCGATCTCTGTCGATAGGTGTGACGTAGAGGAAATAACCGGATTGATTATACGCGGTTGTGGCGCGCGAGATGCGTCCATGGCTTATATATCTGAATTTTAAACATGTATATCTTTGTGATATTCTTTCTGGTTTTGAAAATTTGAGTTTCTAGAAAAGAACAGGTGTTTGTGTAGATTTCTATATTAATCGAATGATGGCAGTGAGTCACATAATATAAATGAATGATGATATAGTGAGTCACATAAAAAGTCATACATTATTTACACATGACAACTAAGTTGTATATACTTGTAACTTTTTTGCTATGCTATAGCATTTTGGGCGCTACAGAAGTGTGCACCAATATAGATGTAACTAATTTTGTTCGCCTATCTCACATCAAGTTGTGTAAAGGAACTGAAACCTATGGGCAGGGCGTATATTCACTTGGCTAACACAGACAGTCTCCGAACTCGTAATAGAACTAAAATAAGGAAAATCGGAATAAAATTAAGGGCTAACCCTAACCTGGTACACACACACTGGAAGTACCAATCATTTCAATACTTCATTCTAGACGTAGTTTGAAGCTAATGAAATTAATAGCATCGTATTGTTTTTTAGTCGAAAATCCTATCGATTTAATAAAATATGCGATTTTCTGAGTTGTTTTAATAAATCAAAAGAAGATTTCGCTCAAGTTAATGTCAATTTACACGGGTCTTGAATTAGTTAATGCCGATGTTGGTAAAGTCACCTTTAAAAAAATATCAAAAGCGCCGCCTATATATTGGTAATACAAAAGCAAAATTACTCCACATCACGTATTTTCATGTTTGGTGGAGAATCGAGAAAAATAAACAGTCAGCCTGCCAGCACGCTCACATTACTCTGTTGAGCCGACTGTTAGGACTAAAATAGCTATAGCAAAAGTATTGAGATAATGTTCGGAAGGTACGTTCGGAATTTTCGACGTTTCAAATTATGCTGACACAAAACATCTAAAAGCCATTTCATATCTTTATTTCATCATTTTACAGCGCTTATTTGCAATGAATCCATTAAAATTCATTTCAAAAGTAATTGGTGCTATAGTTATTACTGTTACTGGATTGATATGGTGCCTATTTATTTTAATATGGATTTGTGGTTATAGATTTGCTAATCTATTTCGGCAAACAGCGAAGGGGAAAGACAACAAGCCTCTTCATTATATCGCATGGGACGAAAAAACGCGGAAGAATCCAGGTGCAAACACAAAACCTTGGAATCATGCTTACGTCACAGTGCCAGAATCTGGAATGAGATTTCATTATGTCTATTCAGGAAAAATGCCGAATCATCTTGCTATTTCCGACATTGACGGAGAGACAATTAGTGAACTAATAAGTGCAGAAGATGATGACACAAAATTGATATTATGTCTTCACGGATTTCCAGAGAACTGGTTTAGTTGGAGACATTTATTGCGTCACTTCGACAAATCGCCAAAAAACCTTGACAACTATTTTGTTGTTGCAACTGACCTTCGTGGATATGGCGATTCCGACAAACCGAGTAAACTCGATCAATATCATCTCAACATTCTTGTATCGGACGTGAGAGGTGTCACACAGCAACTTGGATACCAAAAGTTCTCTCTTATTGGCCACGATTGGGGAGGTCTGATGCACAAATTTATCCCGAAATTTTGGAAAAATGCATCATATTGAGTTGTCCATATTTTCATGCAATTTCCGACACAATAAGGCAAAAACCATACCTGGCTATAAAGATGACGTACGTGATATTTTTCCAAGTAAGTAAATATTTCCTATTAATTCACTCCGAAAAATGTGCTATACGAATGCTTATTCATACATGTCATACTTAGCCGTGGGTGCAACGTATGTGTTTTCCTCAGGTGTGGATCCCTTTTCTCTATACTTTGAAATGATCAGTCAATTTTATACTGTATTATGAACGAACAGAAATTTCGAAGTCCAAAAAAATTGCATTTTACACTAATTCAACAGTAAATAATGAGATCGATTGGTTTATTTCAGATGCCACTGCTTCCCGAGTATTTCATTAATTTTTTGAATCACGAATTTCTTGATATATGCTTGAATGGATCGAACGCAGGGATTCAAAATTCAGAAAATCGCCTGACAAAAGCTGAATTGGAAGTCTACAAATACAGCTTGAGAAAATCGGCGGCAACGTGCGCAATCAACTTCTACAGGGCAGCCATTTGGCCTTTCTGTAAGTTTCAGCACCTTCACTACCCTCGAATCAAGAGAACGGGGAAGCGTTTACACGGAGTGCCTAATATGCTGTTATGGGGAGACAGGGATAGACTCTTGGATAAGTCCTTCGCTGAAAATACTAATAAACATCTCAGTCCAAATAATGGTAGTAAGGTTATCATACTGGAAGAAGTTAGTCATTGGATTCAACAAGATTCGCCCCAGAAAACTATAAAACATATCGTAGATTTTATTCAGAGTTAGACTACACAAATTAGAATATTCACTCCACGATTTTCACACTCCGTAAAGTTACCAGCAGTGCCTATGAGATTGCTTTGTGTGAAATTCTACAATAATTTTCAGATGTGAGTTAGGTCATCGAATATAACCAAATGTGAACTGCTTTTGCTTTTCGAAGCTTGTAATGGCGAGGCACAGACCATAGGAAAAGTTCCCATTACAGCGCAATCCTGCAGGTAATTATGGGGAGGTAGCGCCAGTGTTGCTTGCGTCGGAAATACTGGAAGAATCTTTCGAGCAGAGAAGTTTTCAATTTTCTACATTTAAATCTAATATGCCTATATATATCTGACTTAAACTGAATATGACGAGGTGCAAAATAAGTAATGATAATTATATATATATATAATGAAATTACAGTGTGTGCACATCACAGCAAAAATTACAAGAATAGATATGTTGATTATTGAAATTGCATAGTGATTATATAGGATGGGAAGAATTAAAAAAATGGCGGAATTTCATTCTTGTTGCGACCCGCAGATCACAGTGTAGTTATTTCAAAAAATCGACAACATGTTTTATAATCTCCTGTGGTGAATCTTGTTGCACCCAGTGACTTGATCCTCTGACGTATACTACTTTACTGCCGTTGTTTGTGTTGAAGTATTCTCCGCTTTTTGCAGCCAATTCTTTTGAAAGAAATGCATCTCTATCTCCCCAAATAAGCAATATTGGTACAGAATGCAAAGGCTTGCCCACTGATTTGATTCTGGGGTAAAGCAGTGGCGGCCCTGGTTGATTGAACGGCCAGATTGCCGCTCGGTAATAATTGATTGGTCCATTCATGGAGTGACTAAGGCTATACTTAAATACTTCGAACTCCTCGTTTGTCATGCGATTTTGTTCGTTGGAAATCCCTTCTTTCTCTCCTTCAAAAATCTGATGCATGAATTTGTAATCGGATGAGTAGAAGGTCCATTCTGGAAGTATTGGAAGCTGAAAAACGATATTATTGTTAGAAATCAGGCGGAACATGCAAAAATCAGTAATAGTTCATTCTGAAAATGCCTCGGCTAACGCGATTAGAATGAAGAGATCGAAATTATAGTCAAAACGAAAAAGTTGCTCAATCGTCTTTCTCTGTTGGCAAATGTTCCAGATAGAAATTGCAGCTATAACTAGTTTCATCGGAAAAATCATTTTTCAAGGACAAAAAAAGTAAGTTTGTATGTAAATCTTAAAATTGCGTGACCAGCAATCAATTACACAGGTGCATGGTTATAATTTTCACCTAAACTTGTCTGATTGTCATCACTTTGTAAATATATATATATTTTTTATCTTAATGAATCGGTTTGCTCAGCCCAAAATGCGATAAAAGTTGATGAGGTTTCATGCTTATCACCAATTCAACCCTAAATGTCAACTGATGTTTGTTAAAGTTGGTATAATTCAGGAAATTAAACGTTTATACTCTACAGTCTACATTGCCACTTCCAGTCGCTGACAAATCAAATTTTGAAAAAATGAGAGTAAATCAATTATACATAAATGTAAACGGAAAATGTAAGAAATATATTATTACCTGATAAAAGAACATGTACCAGCTTTTTAAAAATTGTCCGAAGCTTCGATTTTTTGAGAATACCGGCGTGTATACTGCATTCATTATAATGCACTTCTCTAAAATTTCCGGATATATACTGGCGACACGGAAGGATATGGCACCACCCCAGTCATGACCCATCAACACGAATTTATTGTATCCTAGTGCCTGAGCTATTCCTCGTACATCAGACACCAAAAGATTAATATGATACGCCTTTGTAGACTTTGGTTTGTCGGTATCACCATATCCTCTAAGATCGACTGCAACGACAAAATGATTTTTCAAGTCTGATGATGGATTGTCAAAATATCGAAGCATATGGCGCCAACTGAACCAGTTTTCGGGAAATCCATGAAGACATAGAATCAATTTGGGTTCGTTATCTTCGTCGTCGTGAATATTCACAGTTTCACCGTCAATATCTGAGATGGTGATGTGCTTCGGCTTTTTTCCGGAATAAACATAGTGAAATCTCATTCCAGATTCCGGTACTGTGATATTTGCATGATTCCAGGATTTCGTGTTTGGTCCAGGATTATTTCGGGTTTTTTCGTCCCATGCTATGTAATGAAATGGAGGAGATTCCTTATGCCTGTTTTTGCGGCAAAATACCTTAGAAGGTCCTTCTGTGATTACAGAACGCAGTACACCAAAAAGCACGACAACACTCCAAAAAGATCCAATCGACAATATAATAGCAGCGGAAACTGATTTTATAACGAATATTCTAATGGTTTCCAACATTTCAAAATCTTTTATGTTCAAGAAAATATCTACGAGACCAGATTAAGCCTAAGCCTGTTAAACAATAGCATCGATAGATTGAACACAGAAAAAAAGTCGGACACAATAATATAATATTTGCTTCCTATACATGTTTCAGATGTTAATATAAATTAACATGACAAAATGTAATGGGCGCGGTCGCTCGTATTATCCTACAGTTACTTCATCCAAGATTAGTTTTTCTTTCAGAAAACTTGCGCATAATTGAAAGCGCATCACAATTAACTACACAGCTAATGTACATAATGTACGTTTTGAAATCACGTCAATCTATAAAAAATAATTCGAAAAAAAGGCAAAAAATAAACAAGTTCAACAACTAATATCTGTTTGCGTGTAACATAATATAAAGTTTTACTTATAAATAAAAAGGCACATGTTTATTCTGCGTTTGTGATTTGTCGAGAACATGCGAATCTCACACGACGCAAACATTGTTATATTTGATTGTGAATTTGTCAAATATATGTACAAATTTTTGAACTGCATGTTGAGTATACATAAATCATAAAGTTTGGAAAAAAGAAAAAAGAATTTTTGAGTTCGATTACTCAACACATGATCATTCACACATTCTCGTGACTAAAGTTGGAAGTTAGGAAAAACGTGCTTTTTGGAGTAAAAATATATGCAGTAATTGAAGTCAACATTGATATTAGGCATCATAAATTTCAAAAGTTGATCAAACTCGAAATTTGCATAGAAACATGATGTTTAAGTTCTGTCTAATTTGATACGTATGTATGAAAAACAATTAGTTTCGCTTTTCTAGAGCACGACATAAATTTAGAAATTCAATTTTTCTTTATTCCATTCCGGAATAAATTTTTATTTTTTTCGAAATGCTTGTTGGGTACTGCAGAGTAAATTATTTGTTCGCAAAGGACTTGTCCCATTTACAGTCCATTCACAAAGCATTAGGTTATAGACAAAATTAAATATATAGAAGTCAAATCTCCAATCGCCATAGCCTTGAATATTGAGTGCCATCATTTCTAGAATATGGGCCATTGAATACATAAAACAAACATATTTGACTAAATCAGTATACTTGTATACAGTATACATATCTGCAACTGCAAGGTTCATGTCTTAGGAATGAATCTATTCATCCATGGGTGATTCATCCATGAGACATATAGATAAGTCAGAGACATATTTCGATTAGACTGATTTCAAAAAAATGATAAAGTTTTTTTATATATTTCATTAGTTACACTTGCTAGCAATCATTTCAGGAATTCTACAATATTTTTCATTGCTTCTTTCGGTGCATCTTGCTGCACCCAATGACTCGCTCCTTCAACGAACACGACTTTGCTTCCATTGTCGGGATTAAAATATTTCCCGCTGATGTCCGCTAACTCTTTTGTCAGAAAAGCATCTTTGTTGCCCCAAATCAGTAATATGGGTACCCCGTACAAAGGTTTCTCTTGACTTCTAATTCTTGGGTACAATAAAGTTGGTCCTGGCTGGTAAAAGGGCCAAACATTGGCGCGATAGAAATTTATCGGGCCGCTTGTACTGTGACGGACACTGTACTTGAAAACTTCTAGCTCTTCGTCAGTCAGACGATTCTCGCGATTTCTTATTCCTCCACGATTGCCATTGAATGCGGCCCCAAGTAATCGATAATCCGACAAACGGAAAAGCCATTCTGGAAGAAACGGTAGCTGGAAAGCAAAAAACGATTTAGAAAACAAAAATACTTCAACCTGACATTCGCAAGAACTATGTCAAGGTCAGTAACATATACAAAGCAAAGTATATGGTGTGCAAGAATCAACCGTGGAAGAGTTCTACAAAAGATTGAAACAAGATAAAATAGAAAGTTGGTCGGATAACTTGAAAGACCTAGAGCAGGGTGGTCCAAGATTGGCAGCTCCGTGGGCCACAAAATTACTTTTGCATTGTTCTTGGGCCAAGAACTTTGCTCGTTGCCTCAGCAAGCCATAACACTGGTCAATTCAGTGACATTATGTGACCACATGTGGCCCACGGGCCTGGGTTTGGACCACCCTGGCCTAGAGTGTATTAGAAGTTAGCAACCGAATGCCGCTCATCTGGTCTCTAGAATTAAAAAAAAACTAAAACCTAAAGTATATATGAGACGATTGTAACCGAGTGCTATTCAACTTTGTTCATAAGAAGGTAATTTGGTGATATGAATATATATATATATATGCTTTTCTACAATATTATACCTGATAGAAAAACATGTACCAGCTTTTCAAAAACTGCCCAGGATTTTTCTTCAAGACATCATAGTAAGCTTTAGTATAAGGTACATTCAATATTATGCACTTTTCCAAAATTTCCGGGTAGATCTTGGCCACATTAAATGCTATCATACCGCCCCAGTCATGTCCCATCAGCACAAATTTTTCGTATCCTAAAGCGTGGGCTATACCTCTAACATCAGATACCAGATTATTAAGATGGTAGGACGCAGAAGACTTTGGCTTGTCCGAATCGCCGTAACCTCGAAGATCGATCGCCACAACAAAATGATTTTCTACTTCTGGTGGAGGGTTGTCAAAATATCGGAGGACGTGACGCCAACTGAACCAGTTTTCAGGAAATCCATGAAGACAGAGAATCAATTTGGGCTTGGTGCCAGCAAGAGAAGGTTCGTCTACTATTATCGTTTCCCCGTCAATGTCAGAAATAGCAACATTGTTGGGCTTTTTTCCAGAATAAACATAATGGAATCTCATTCTCGTTTCAGGTACCGTAATGTACGCATGATCCCATGGTTTTGTGCTTGGTCCTGGATTTTTACGGGTTTCTTCATCCCACGCTATATAGTGTATGGGGGCAGATTCTTTCTTGCGATTTTTGAAGTACAAAACCTTTCGAGGTCCATGTGAAATCATAGAATACAACACGGAAGCTATAACAAAGCAACTCCAAAACGATGCTATTCCGACAATGACGATTGCTGCAATTAATTTTACCACAAAATCTTTGAAACCAGCCATATTTAGAATTATATTCTGAATAGTAAGGCGTCACCGTCAAATTTATTAAATACGTAAAATATGAATGATACGAAAATATCTGAAATTTTATTAGAAAATTAACTTCAACTGTTGCAATTCAACTGTTGGATTATCTAGTTATTCTAGTGGGTCAACACGGGGTTCCTTTGATCTATATTCTAATCCATAGAGTAAACACCCGAAAATCTTGTAAGCCATACGCTTAGACGAAACATTTTGATATTTATAACCAGTAAACAGCACGTTGTTACGCGTTACCCGTAAAATACAAGAAACTTACAAATTCAATATTGTTCGTAAAAGCCGTAATAGGTTCATTCCCACTGATGGAAGCCGAGAGAAACTAGTAAGACCCACGATCTTTTTCGAGAAACTGTGGATTGAAATAACGACTCAGACGCCAAACGCATTTATTATTACTAACGCATTAGAATTATTACTATCTAGGCATATACACTTAGAATTAAATCTGTGCTTAGTGGCGCAAAAATATCGTTTATGATCTATTCTTTATGACGTTCCGACTAAATATATTTTATGACTGACTCAATATGAGACTGCTGACGAGTTGGGTGTTTAATGCAAAAAATCAACTCCGCGTAAACTTTTTATCAGTGCACACTGATTGTCCGAAGTTCAAACTATTTGGTTTCAAAATTAAAAAATAGTTAGCTGGTACATGACCGAAAACTGACTAAAATCACGAATACCGATCCTTGTCATTTTGCTTTATGATTGCTAAAAATGCACTGCTATACTGCCGTGTTACTGCATGAGTTCATCTATTTCCTTAAACTACCATTTTGACTGGTTTATTCGCCCAAAAGAGATACAAATATTCAATCTGCATTTGGAAATGCTCCATTACTCAGTAAACTACAAATAGCTTACAGGAAGCTAGAATATACTAGCTCAATATTTGCTTTTTCACGGTCCATGGTTTTAAACAAAGCCAATATTTCCATTCACAACAGAGTACAAAATAATGTAACATTGTATAAATACAGATGAAAATCATATTTCAAAATACCGACGAGAACTAAGTAATAAAGGCAAAAAATTAACCAAATGCTGACAACACATATAGTTATAGGAAAGATACTATCATTCGATGGAAAGAGGATCCGAATAATTGAAATGCGCGCGCAAACCATTGAGGTTATATTCATCTCAATGGTGCAAACAACTTCGCGATATAAGCAAACGATAAATGGGAAAAATAAGTTCATTTTGAACGCTATACATTTTATAGTTCAACGACATTCTCCTAGTAGGCCTATTTGATCGCAGAACGTCTGTGTATACAGTGTACACTCTACTCTGATCTCGGACATGTATCAAAGAACACGGGGCGAATCATATGGCAATTCTAGAGATAAAAAATCTCGACAATTCTAGAGATAAAAGATACTTGCGTGCGTTTCAAACCACATATCTGATGATGATAGAGTTAGGTTAGACAATCAATTCATCAGCTCATTTATTCCGAACTAAGGTATTCTTCAAAACCAGTGGGCTCACAAAATGTATGCTGAACATTTTGATTAAATTGAGAACCATCGAGTGACTGTTCAGATATTTGATATATTATCTGATAGCACATGTCTGTATGCCTTTGTGAACAATTAAATCGTCTTTCGAGATAGGTGGTATACTTAAATCAAGTGTCGCTACTTTTCTTTCATATTAAAGTGATATGTTACACTTTATTGGGCACAGACGTAGTGTATGTACCAGGTTAGGATTAGACCGTAATTTTTTTCCGATTTTCTTTATTGTAGTTCTATCGCGAGTTCGTGGATTGTCTGTATTAGCCAAGTGAATATACCCCCTGCCCGTAGGTTTCAGTTCCTTTAGTTTAGTTTATACAACTTGTGTATATGTAAATGTAAGTTACCTCTATATTGGTACATACACTTCTGGGGCGCTCTTCATTGGAAAGCCTAACGTTCATTTATTTGAAGTAAAAAAGCAACAAACAATTTCAATTCGAATTTAGTGTCAAATAACTTTACACAAGTTGCGTCTGATTACTTCTTAGATTACAGAGAGAGTGTTTTCATTTGAGTTCAAAAAAGCTCCTAACGGAATGTAATCACGCACCTCCTTTCCACGTTTGATGTTATTGTTCCATTATTAGTGGATACATTTCTTTTATGCATGAGAGCAAGCAGCTGTTACTGACCAACAAAACATGCATTCGCAGCCATTTCTATGATGTCAGGGCAGTATGTTCCCCAGCTTTTCTCTTTAGGGGGGGTGTTTAAAAATTTAGGGGGTGGTAAATAATTTGCTATTAGAGATAAAACTAGGCTATTTGTATTCTTAAAAAAAAATGGTATGTATTTAAGAAACGATGTACATGGGGGCCCCCCAAGTTGATTGACGGCCAGCCAAAATCCACAGCAGAATGAAATTGTAGGGCCAGAAAAGGGGAGCAAGGAAAAGTGCGGGACGACACGGCTGGGGTTCAGGGCGCGCTCAAGCGCCCTGAGAAAATTTTGAGAAATAGGCACCAAAATAGGCTCTAAGCTTGATTTTAGATACACATAGCATCGCAGTTTGTTATGCAATAAAATCAATATTTATAAAATTTAGCTGATAGAATTCCCGAGGAATAGATAACAAGCACGGCTTTCAACCGTAAATATATACTACTACGTTTCAACAAGTAATTTGCAACTGATAGTGACTAATGAAGTTACTCGCTCATCTGGCATTGTATGAATGGCTACTTATGGCTTGTTTTGTTACACATTTCTAATTTTTTTGAACATGTTTGTTTGACTTTTGTATGAATTAAATTTTGAAATACGCTCGTCAACTGATCATAATGTCGCTATGTTGTATTCCTTCACAACTGAAATATTTTGTAAGAAAACAAATCGCTGAAGTTTGATTCTTTTCAATAAAGAAATAAAAACGCTGTCATTCATCTAAAAAACGTCTGTTTTCAGTGCCTAGTTTTTGTTTTGTGACATCTTTAAGCTTTCTTAATATATGGCTGATATCTAAAATAATGCAGTGTGTAATCATAATACCCATACCTATACATAAGATACCGGAATAATCCAATTGTTACGAAATGAACGTGCTTAAACTGTGATAATGATGTAACAATAGATGGTATCTAAAACTGGAAAGGTACCACATGAAGGGTTAAACTATTTCACTCAAGTTCGGCGGGCCATTTTAAATCGTCACGCGGGCCGTAGTTGGCCCGCAGACTGCGGTTTAGAACCCCTCAGTGTGGAATCGCACCTCAAAATTAAGGGGGGGTGTTTGAAATTTTAGGGGAGGTGTTCACCCCCTATAGGGGGGGTGTAGGGAAATCACTGTGTCAGGGTCACCCAACAAATGTTCTTCCATAAGGGTGGAATAGTGAAGCGCTTTATATTTTTGGCCTTCATTCCTGGTTGAGCAAGAGCAAACCATTCCTCGTCGCCGTATCGTTTATTCGTTTCATTTGTTGGACACGAAATTTTTCTATTTGTCATTATGAAAAAATGGCTTTTCGCCTCAACTACTGGACCAACCGCTTTCAAATTTTCAGTTGTTAAGATTGTACGCGTTCTTTCTATCTTGAATATCTAGCGTTTCGTTGCACCTCAGAAGTAAGTCTGGGCTTGTTGCAAGGGAGACGTAATGCTTTTTTTCGACAGGACCTGTTGCGAGTCGATTTCGTTTGTATTTATCACATAGATATCAATTACAAAACTTTTTTCAAATGTTTTTTTTTCTCATTTTTGACGCGACATGGTTGAGCAAAAGAAGCACGTGTCTCGAGAAATGGCTGGCATAAAGCGCGTAAATGAGCTTTCCAACAAGATCGCAGTGAATTTTCTCGCACAGAAAGTTAGGACATTTTTTAGGAGAGGTATACAAGAGGCTCAGAGGGAGGACGGTGTAATTGAGTTAGACAAGACCATTTTTGCGTCATATTAAAGCATGATCCATGATTCTTAGAGTGTTCGTAATCACGGTAGCGCGTCAATTTTTCCATATTTTCAATTCTCCAAGTTTTATGTCTGTGAGTATTTGAAAGATGACCGTACATTTGAACCCACGTGCATTCGAACCCATACATTTGCACCCGTATATTCGCGAGTTCAATCTATATGAGGGTGCTAAAATCCGTGGGTTAGGGTTAGTATGGGTTCAAATACCCTTAAAAAAAATTCCCATAGGTGCAATAGTATGCAAGTGCAAATGTCGTGGGTTCAAATGTAATGGAACCATTTGAAAGCTAAGAAATATACAAAGATTCTGTTATTAATTGAAAGAAAGTAATTTGAGGGAGGGCGGTTCAATTGGTTTGACACGACTACTCGGGTAAGAAAAAGTCAGCTAATCCCAATGATAGCAGTATGTAAGCAGATGCGTTGGAATTAGTACGAATAGAGAAAACTCCGCATTTGAGATTTTGCAAGTGACAATAAGATCATAGTTAAAAGAATTATCATTTTAATTTATCCAAATAATTAGATTAAATACTAAATTGAATTTATACGAGTCGTTGATTAATACCTGGGTTCGTTGGAGATGTCTCAGGGGTTTGAAAGGAGTCTAAAAAAAATTCAATTGTTATTTAGGTACATTGCAATAAAGGCACAGCAAAGTGAATATTTTACTGAGAGCGAATAGACAGAGCGATAATTTACTTCACTTAACGTATTATAAAAAGCAAAACATAATTTTATAGCAAATTGAAATTTCAGATTTTCGTTTATTGCAAGACATTCATTCATATTAGCTCAAGTTGGTAATACTCTTACGACTGAGCGATACTTAAACGGCGATGTTAACAATATTTTTTCATTGTTATTGGGGCATTACATTGTGATATATACTGATAAAAAGCGCTTAAATGATGCTAAATTGACTTTCCTTCTAAGTCTAGTAGTTTAATCAAAAGGTCACAGAATATAATGAATACTTCTTGAAGACTCAAATATCGGAGACAAGGATCACAAAGCCCATTCATCTCCCGATCCATATTTCCTAAAAATGCAGAAATGTCGAAGCAACATCCCAAGCCGTGCGTATTATTTTCG